ACCCAGAAAACATGTGCAATTCGGAAGTGGGCGACCGATCGATCGAGTGGGAAGCCGCGGCGAGGCGAGGCGGCAGTCAGTCAGTCACCAACGCACATCGAGTGTAAGGTTGAGTAGGAGAACGTACGCGGTTTGTGTTGTGGTCAGCGGCACCGACGCCCACGACACCGTATACCATCATCCCTTACTTACTTTCTCCCGACAACTGATATATATCTTCCACCACCTTGACTTTCTCTTTCCCCGGCCCCCGCGGTGGGTTTTTTTTCTGCTTGCATCGTCATCGGTTTGTCTTGTCCGTACGTACATCCCTGTCAGTCGGGGAATCATATAAACAATGTTTTGGACTTTTGGATAGCTAAGACTAGGGGTGTTAATAGGTTGGTGGTTTTTCGGTTAAACCGAAGCCCGAACCGAAAACTGCGGTTATTCACCGAACCGATAACCGAAAATAATGATTCGGTGTCGGCTTCGGTTGGCTGTTTTGGGGATTTTTGCTAACCGGCAACCGACGGTTGCAACACCGATAAATCTCGGTGCACCGCCAAAACCGCAAAGTCCTCTAGAGACTCTCCCTCTCTGCTCTCACCATCACGCCTCATACCTCTCCCTGAACTCCAAACCCTCCTTCTTCACTCGTCACTCTCCAAATCCCTTCAATCTCACCTTCCTCGGTGTGATTCCCTTCTTCCTCATACTCTTGTATTCCTCTATCTCTCGTAATGGTGAGATTTGGCGGAAAGATTTGACGGCGAGGGTCGTGGTGGCGACGAACGAGAACTTTGACCGGCGATCTCTTCCTCTCCTTTCTTCTCGAAGCACGATCCAGAACAGTGGAAGCAGATCCATCCCTCAGTCCTTCTTCCTCTTCCTCCTGTGTTCCTCCGTTTCTCCTTGGCGATTTGGCAGAAGCAGATCCTTCTCCGCCGTCCACAACGCGATTCGGCGGCGAGATTCGGCAGTCGGATCCAGAAATCCGGCCAGATCCAACTTCTGCTCCGTGCATGTTCATCGCCGGTGAGGAGAAGTATTGGGTGGAGCCTGGAGGCGCAGAATGGAGAGGGAAGGATGAGCAGAGAAGACTCGAGAGGGTGGATGCACTCGGTTTCGGGAAACCGATCAACCGATTGTATTTTGTCGGTGTCGGTGTCGGATAACCGATAATCATATCGGCGTCGGTGTCGGTGGGGGGATTTGGCTCTTTAATGGTGTCGGGTAACCGACCCGTCGGTTCGGTTAAACCGTAACCGAACCGACTATCACCCCTAGCTAAGACCATCTCCAACAACAAGGCTAAAATGCCAAATTTTGGAAAAAAGTCCCTCCAACAACAATGCTAAAATGCTTAAAAGCCAAAAAATGGGAATTTTGTGGCTAAATTTGGCACACAAACAGACAAGAAATGGGAAAAATCACAAACCCCACTTCCTCTTCTCGGTGGACGTGCCATTCAATTAAAAAACCCATGAACACATGTAAATCCCCTCTAAACCCATAATTAAAACAAAATCAATCAAATTAAACCTATTTTTAATAATTGACCTGCATTAATACGTTATTGTTTGCATTTCCGGTCTTATTCCACCAATTATTGTATTTTTGTCACTAATGACGTCATATTTAATAATGTATATTTTTTTGTCAAAATAAAAAAAAATTACATCAAAATGTTCGTTCTAATTAATTATAACTACCTGCATACAAAGAATCTACAAACTATCTAATTAAAATGATGAAATCTACACTAATCTAGATTACCATAAAATAGAAGGTTTGGCATTTTAGCATTCCTTGTTGGAACAAACCCCACTTTTGGAGTGCCAAAATGCCAAAACCCTTTAGCATTCTAGCATTTTCCCAATTTCTTGTTGGAGATGGTCTAAGCTAGTATGTACATTATTTGCATTAATATTTGTATCTAAAAGGAAACAACGACATAGAAATATGCAACAAAAAAATAATGTATATGCGTAGAAAAACATACAAAAACAAATAAGTAGCTTTTAAATGCAAATAGCCTCTCCCTCCAAAGCCATTTTGTTTTTGTAGTGTAATTAATTAATTAATTAACTAACTCGATCGTCGATCTTGAGCCCTTCACCAGAAATATATGATTCCCTCTCCCCGTATATATAGAGATAATCGATCTGATTCCATGCATTGGTCAACACGTACGTAGAGTAAGAGTATTGTGGCGCATCCCCACTTAGCTTGCTTTGATTTTTTTCTGGATGGGTTGTTTGGATTTTGGGTCCCCTCCCGCTCCCAACAAAGATAGATAGATAGATAGATATATGTAGAGATAATCTGATTCTCATAATTAAGTACTGGACTGGAGTAGCTAGTAAAAGTCAACTGCATGCCTTTCCTTGCCAACGCAACAATGAAAGAAAGAAAGAAAGAATAGTATATGGGATTGGGAATCAAATCAACCAAGGAGTAATTAATCTCTTCGATCGGCCCATATGATCACTACTTAATTAGCTACCGAGCAAGGCCTGTTGGACGAATAGAGAAGCCAGGCCAGCAATACCCAACTCATGATCGATCAGTTAATTAATTAATTAAATTATGGCCATGCTAGCTAGCTAGCGTTAATACATCCACATCAGGAGTTAGCTAGAGGGAGGGAGCTAGGGAGGAAGTTACGGTGTCTCTGTATCTGATGCTGATCACTCCATGTCTCCATCCTATCATAGCTAGCTATGGTAGGTTAATTAGATAGCAATGAAATGGAAAGCGTATGTATATACCTAATGATACATATGAATATGATTAAGCGCGCATAGGTATATAATATTTACCACCAGCCTGGCATAAATAATACAATAGTAAGCTAAGCAATCCACCTGTCTAGTTAGGCTCTCACACCCACCAACCAAACTCTGTATTGGATAACGCACAATATAATTAATACACATTATGTACCCTCCTCTTCTCTCCCTCACCCTAGTTGACATTTATTTAAAAAAAGAAACATACAATTCAGCCATTCAGATTATTAGTGCATTAAATTAATACATAGTTAATTAATTGAGTGATGATCAGCTAAGTAGTCTGTAAGGTAATATCTGGATTAAGTAGTCATCACATCACATGCAAACAAAAAATGAACATGAGTCGGTAGTTAGTTAGCTATAGCTAGGCCATGTGTTGTAGCGTGGTGTATGTTATAACTATGGACGGGGGAGCATGCAGTGTGCAGTCCATCGATGGAGTTTTATAAAATTCAAATCCAAAGGCCTGGAGGGAGGGAGAGACGCTTAAATTTTGAGGAATAAATTATATATCAATTAGGAAGCGACGAGCTGGACGTAGGTATGTTGGCAAAAGTCAGCTGTGTAAGGTCAAGTAGTAGTAGCATGCGAAGCGAAAAGGCTGGCTGGCAAATTAACGCTGCCTGCATCTGCCTGCCTGCATGTGCATGGTGGTCAACTCAACTCAACTCAACTCAATGGTCAATGGTAGATAGTACTACGGCAAATCAACCCATGGGATAGGGATAGCCGGATAGGCAGGAACCCACACCACATGCTGCTAATTAATCACCATTTCACCACGCCACACTAGCTTTTCTCCATTATTGCTTCACTAATTGCATTCTCCTGCATATATTATTATTATTATTATTATTATTATTATATGATAAAAAACGAGAACATCAAGATCCATAGCTTCCTTTCCCACAGTAGGTAGTGCAACAAAATAATGAAGAAAAGCTTCATCTAGTTAGTTAAATGTCATGCCAATTGCCAACCCGGCCATACATATAGGCATAGCTCTCTGTAGTGACCTAACTATTATTTAATGCCGATTCCTTGCTCAGATACATAGCCAACCAACACTTTATGTCTATATAACTTGAGATGGATTAGAGAGTTACGTTGTTCAAATGCGGCCCATCACTGTTCAATATCCACCTCTTACCTATAACTACCTACGGCCCATCAACATGAAGCAGGCTTGGGTTTCAATTCATCTCTCTCTCTCTCTCACATACACTGGATCCAAGGTGCTGGTTTGGCCCACATCCATCAATCGTTATACAAGGAAGGAATGGATTCTTCTCCAGGAATTTGGGCCCAGAATTTCAACCAGGGCCAGGGCAGGGGGAGACTACAGAGACGCAGAGATGGAACTACTTTGATGCCTCGCTGGCTGGCTGTCACTGAGGCATCTCCGGTTCTACCGTCTTTTTGCTTGGAAACCCAGATTTTGTAACACAATCATATCATCAACCATTCTTCTTTACTCCAAACCTTGGGAGTCTCTGCCTTAATGGAAGTGGTTTCACATTCCACCGCTTACAAGCCAAGCCGCTCCTCTTTTTGACTTCCCCTCCATTCTTTCCATCGCCTTTCTCTATTAAACAAATACTAAACATTAAAAGCCGACAATGCAATGCAAGTCCCTCCTCCTTAAACTTGCCAGAACCATCCATGCATCAGCTCCATAAATTATTACTATTCAAATCATCTTCCTTTTTCTTTTGCCATAGTTATTCAAATCATCTTCCCAATTAATTTAACAACCCATATCATATCAATTATCAAGGTATAAATCGATCCGCAAGTTGCAGAAAAGGACAAACCAAGTCCCACAAGCCAAATATTCCACAACCGAATTTATGTTCACTCTAAACAAACAAACAAAAGCTACCATTAGATTACTCAATCTTCCTACTTTGATTCTTCCTTTTTCTGAAGTGAAGATCAATCTTCCTACTTTGATATCAGTTTTATTGTTAATGGTAGTATTAAAGATACTATAGATTAATTATTTAGTCTGCTTCGGATTTATTGATCTTGAAATTTGATTTGTTTACTTCTAAGGACTGTGCAGAGACAGAGTGGTGCCATGGTGGTGGGGTATGCTTGCTTTTGAATTCCTTACCCTTCTTTTTCCTTCAAAGGGTACTTTTTCCCACTTTATGTTTGTAATTTTGCATCTGATAGTTATGCAACTATTATTTATGATGTATTCACATTTATGATTTATCTACTCAATCTTGGTTCCTGTCCACTGTCCACTGTCCAGCTGAGCTGAGAGAGAAAATAAAAGGGTAATGGAAAAGCAAAACTTTGAGGGGAGTGATTGTTGGACTTCTTGGGAGAATCGTCAATCAAGCAAGGCTGAAACTGTTGCCCTTTCAGCTGCCTCTGCCCTCTTTCTCTGCAAAACCCCCTGTTTCTCTTCTATGGCCAAGGTTTTAGAGCTCACTTCCATTCCGTGGAGACTTTCCAACTTCCTCTTTCTTCCTGTTTCTCTCACTTGCATTCTCTACTGCTTCTTTCCAGCTCACTCTGCCTTTCTGCAGGTTTTTGTTAGGGTTTAAAGAGCTGCTGCACTAAAAGGGGCTAGCTTTGGAATCCGACGCTCGTTGGAACAGGTGATTTTGGTTAGATTCTTCTTTTCTCATCTGGGTTTCCTTCGACGTTGCTGGTATCAGAGTTTCTATCATATGTTAGCATTGCGCTTTGGAAGAAAGTTTCTATTTTTGGGGGTAACCCCATAGTCTGAACTTGGGGAAGGTTTGAAGCCTAGATTGAGCTACACATGGGAGTTTAAGCGATGTATGATTTGTTTGCTAATGTTAATCGATTACTTCTATTGATGATGTTACTGTATACTTAAGGCACTGAGTTGGCACTTGGCTGACTTACTTGAGGCTGCAGATCTTGTCAGCTTGTTTTTTTCTTCTGTTTCTGTTTGCATTTTGTATGAACTTGAAGTAAAGCTTGCTGTATTTAACTGCCTCTTGTTGGCCTACTGAAACTGTAAGAGTAGAGAAAAACAATATATGTACAGATTGCCTGAATGAATTACATGGGCTGTTCTCCTTGAACTCGCAAAAGTACTATCCTATAACATTTCTGCATTTTGCCCTTGGTCTCTCTTGCAGCCTCCTTTCAAGGCAGCGCATGCTTGATTCAGCTACCCAAGTTTAACTTCCCGCTAAGGCTTAAGCTTAATAAGGAGTAAAGCTTCAAACTTTATCCATTTTTCAATCGGATGGTGCTTGCAAAATGGTTCGGAAGCCTTCTGTTACTCCTTATCACCATCTTCACCAATGCATATGGTAAACCTCACAAACTGTTTCTCGTTTCTTTGCTTTTTGTGTATTCACTTATTACGAGCATTTTTCAAAACATTCTATCTACACGCACAGGTGCGTTCGTTGGAGTAAACATAGGAACTAGTCTTTCCAACTTCCCGCCAGAGGCGGACGTGGTCTCCCTTCTCAAATCCAAAGGAATAACACATGTGCGCCTATATGATGCTGATCCGCACATGTTGAGAGCCCTCTCAGACTCTGGGATCAATGTGATGGTCGGAGTGCTCAACGAAGAAGTCCTAGGAATTGGTGAATCTCCATCAGCAGCTGCCTCGTGGATCAACCGGAACGTAGCAGCCTACTTGCCCTCGACCAACATTACTGCCATAGCAGTTGGTAGTGAGGTTCTCACTTCCATCCCCAACGTAGCTCCCGTCCTAATGCCCGCTATGCAGTACCTTCACAAGGCACTCGTTGCTTCAAACTTGAACTCTCGTGTAAAGATCTCAACCCCTCAATCTATGGATATCATTCCCAAGCCATTTCCACCTTCCACCGCCACCTTCAACTCTTCATGGAACAACACAATATATCAGCTCCTTCAGTTTCTGAAGAACACAGACTCTTACTACATGTTGAATGCTTATCCTTACTATGGATACACTTCTGGGAATGGCATCTTTCCTCTTGAGTATGCTTTGTTCCAGGAGCTTTCCCCAGTGAAGCAGATAGTTGACCCGAACACCTTGTTCCACTATGACAGCATGTTCGACTCCATGGTAGATGCTGCTTACTACGCAATGGATGATTTTGGTATGTCTGGTGTTCCAGTTGTTGTGACAGAGACTGGCTGGCCTTGGCTTGGCTGGGCGAAGGAGCCTGATGCCACCCCCGAGAATGCGCAGAAGTATGTTAGTAGTCTTATCAGGCGTGTTCAGAATGATTCTGGTCCGCCGAGTCATTTGAGCATTCCAATCAACACTTACATATATGAGCTGTTTAATGAGGACAAGAGACCAGGGCCGGTATCCGAGAGGAGCTGGGGCTTGTTTTTCCCAAATGGTACGGCTGCTTATGCTCTTAGTTTGGATGGTTCGGAAGAGCTCGTGACTGGGAATTCCTCCTCGGCGGCTACGTTTTGTGTTGCTAAGCCAAATGCTGACCCTGATAAGCTGAAATCGGGACTCGACTGGGCTTGTGGGCAAGGTGGAGCTAATTGTGCACCTGTTCAACAAGGGAGACCGTGTTTCCAACCTGATAGCTTTCAGAACCATGCTTCATTTGCATATAATGATTATTATCAGAAGATGCATGGTGCTGGTGCGACATGTGATTTCGATGGTACTGCTACAATAACTAGTATTGATCCCAGTAAGCCCCCTCTGTACTATTCTCTTCAGAATTCGTCTATGTTGAACCGGGGAATGTGGCACTTGTCATCTATTAGCCTTTCTACTTCTGCCATGCTTGTCCTGGAACCACTGTCCACTATGTAATAATTTGATAGAGGTTTAACCAACTAACCCAGCCGGTTAGTTTGATTCTAAAGCTTGGTTCTTTCTTGTCTTGCAGGTTATGGATCTTGTGTCTTCACCGGAAGGTGGGGTTCTGAAATGCTTTGAGTCTGAAACATTATTTTGCATTAGAAATAATGTACTAGTCTAAGGAGTTGTAGCATTCAGCTAACATTCTGAATTTTGACTGGTTGTTTGAAAACAGTTCAAATTCGAGCACAGGAGGAGGGGGGATGTTTCCACCCACGGCATTTGGACCCGTTAGTCCCCAGCTTGGAGGGAGCTCGAAGTTGGCAGTGACAAGAACTCGCGTTTTGATATTAGCAGCAGTTCTTGGGTTGTTGTTCTCAGTTTGAGTCCATGCAAAGTATTTTTTGCAGCATTGGTTGAGAGAATGGATGCTGGGTTTGTCAGACATGCCCATTAGATTGTGAAACATTTTGGTTCAATTTGTTTCAAATGTATTTTGTTGTTGACAATTGGTAGGGAACTTCTCATCTTGTAGTAAATAGTTCCTTTTGGCCTGTTGGTTAGTTGGTTGGCTGGTTTCGTCTTCTGTATTATGGTAGTGGTGGAAAGAATGTCCCTCCAAGTTTTGTTCCTTCAATGTTTGCTTGCAATTTTGGAGGCAATGCATTGATTGGTTCTTTATGAACCAAGGGTTGTTTGGATGAGGAATTGTAACGGATCAATTTGATACAATTGTCTCGTTTTGAGATAATTGTACCAAATTGCCTCGTTTGCCAGTAAAAAAATTGGATGGATCAATCTGTTTTAGGTATTTGGAATTGATCGGTTTTGAGTCAATTTCAATTACCTGGGGTGGGGCAAGTAATTCGAATTGAATCGTTTTAATTGCCTCGTTTATAAAACGAGACAATTGATCAAAATGACTCATTTCTAGATTGATCCATCCAAACGACCCCAAATCAAATCAATCCGGTATCATGATAGGACCGAACCGTTGTAGTTTCGATCCGAGCTTTCTTTGTGTCGAATCTATTGAATTCCCAGAGAAAAAATAGAGAAATAAACATATATCTAATTGAAATTCGATGTGGCGTAATACCCCACAGTTGTGTCTGCCTCGTCCAAGAGACCGATTTAGTGATATTTTGGTCCACAAGTGTACCTAATTGATTGGGAACTTGCCATGCACTGATTGGTTCCTCAGTGAATCAAATATTTTGATCAGTCATGTTTCTCAGTTTCTGTGATTCTTAATTCAGTTCTAGTCTAAAATCTAAACCTTTTCATACAACCTTACAAGTTACAAATACAAGAGGAATTGCCACAAATTGAACGCAACCCAATTCAGAATACATTCTAAAGCTGCTAACTTTTGTTTCTGTTCCTCATTCATCTTCTGCAACACTGCTGCTTTCACTGCTGAATATGCACAGCCTCTTCGCCTTACAGAACTTCATCAGGAAGAACCACCCAACTGCGCCAGCAGTCATTAGCCCACTGACCAAAAGAACAGTCTTTGTAGCAACCACCATGATGATCACCAAGAACCCAGAAGGAATCAAGCACATCACAATCAACCCGGGGAGCCTCATCGGAACCCTGTAGGGCCTCTTCAGCTCGGGGAGCTTCCTCCTCAGCCACAGGAACGCCGCGAACTCGAGCAGCATCCCCAGCGTGTACAGGAAATTCGCCGACGAAATTATGTCCGCGAAGTCCATGTACGAGCAACCCAGTGTGATCACCGTGGACACCAGTATCCCGACCCAGGGAGTGTTGAACCACTTCGATCTCAGGGCGAAGAATTTCGGCAGGATCCCCAAATCAGCCATGCCCAGCAGCTGGTACACGCAGCTGCTCAGCTGGGCCTCGAAGAGCCCCACAGCAGACAATGCCGCGCCGATCTCCACCCAGTATTTCAACCACTTCCCGGCAATTAGCTCTGCAGCCGTGGCGTGGAACCCTGATTCCCAGGCGGATTGTTCAACCGCGACGGCGCCGATCACGGCGAAGAGAGGGATCAGGTAAGAGACGCAGGTGAAGATCACTGCGATCAGTAGCGCTAGCGGGAACGTCTTGGCTGGCTTGTCGACTTCCCCGGCTAGTGTGCTGACGCTGTCCCAGAAATTGAGGTTCCAAAACAAGGTGTTGAAGAACAGATTCCAGTCCTTCTTCACCCCTTTGTCCCCGAGACTGATCCATCTGCGAGGTTTAATTTTGGGTATCGCGAGGATTGACATGATTATGAAGGGTGAGAGGGATACAATCCCCAAGAACACGGCGAAGTAACCTACTATGACTAATCCTGTGTAGTTGAGGAACGAGAGGAACAGAGTTGACCCCCAAATCGAAATGGTCCGCGGCCAGCCCGATTTCAGAGCTGGGATTACCTTCTTGAGGTAATCGATGCAGAGGACGGGGAAAGCCGCGACGTTGATGACGCCGGAGAGGAACTTCCAGGAGCCCATTAGGGATCCGAAGAAGGGCCCAAAGGCGCGGTCGGCCCAGATGACGAACCCGCCGTTGCCAGGGTAAGCGGTGGAGAGCTCGGCGGTGATGAGAGCCTCCGGGATGCTCCAGATGAAAGGGAAGATGAGGAAGCCGAGGATGGCGTAGAGAGGTCCGGCGGCCTGTACGGCTGGTTCCTCGCCGTACGGCCCGCCGGCGACTTCGAAGTAGATGAGGAAGATGAGAGGGATCAGAGTCAGCTGCTTCTTCTTGATCGTCTTCGTGGTGGTGCTTATGGGAAGCTGCTGCTGTGATGGGGATGAGATCTCATCCATGGCGGTTGACTGGGAGTGAGGTTGATCTTCAGCTCGTGAATTCATCATCGCCATTGGGTGATGGGTTCTGAATTTGTAATCAATGGAAAGAAAGTGGGAAGTCAAGAATCCTCCATTTTGTAAATGGAGAAATCAGAGGAAGAAGCTGAGACAGTGGCTTGTTGTATTGTACTATTGTTTGTTTATAATGGAGTCAAAAGTGTCGTTTGGTGGGGGGTGTGAAACGAATCCGACTCATTAAATCGCACAATCACCATGGTAAGAAAATCATTTTCAGAATCAAGACAAGTCTTCAATAATGATTTGTGTCGTCTTTTAGAACAGAATAATTGGCTTCTTTAAATGTTCTTCTTCTATGCTGTGTGGTGCCTCTTCTGCCCCAAAATTCCAGTGGATTGATTATTCGACCAGATAACTGCGTGCTTCTCCTTCCCCCTTTATGCTCAGCGATAGGGGGAATAGAATGTCTTGTTGGAGCGGGAGAGAGACATATTGGTAGTGTTCTAATTTACAACCAAGGGTTTAGTAATTCGACAATCTTACAAGTCGATACTACTTATGTGTTTGGATGAGTGTTGATGCTAGCCTTTGATCATATTATAGTTTACATGTACTACTACAACCGGAATGATTACGCCATTTAAGGATCATATCATAAGACATTGAAAAGTATGGTTGAGTCAACACCATTTTGAATCTTAATCTTGAATGCTTTTGTAACCTTACTATACTAAAATGGGGCCAATTACAGCATTATGCACATATCTACAGCATGATGTCCTTTAGTTGACAGTAAGATGAGAAGGGAGTCAAGAGACCAAGCTTTCTATGAGGAGCATTTATTATCTGTACAAATCTACAACTGTTATATACCAGCAAGGTTCCAGCTTTCCAAAGCTAGCTCACAGCAACTGCATGCAAACTACCTCACTCACTTTCTTAGGAACCAGTCACTCTTTATAGGCTTAAAGGCAGCCATCAGAACAGCAACTTTACACACAAGAAATCCCAACATTCCCACTATAAGTTCCCTTGGAGACACTAGAGAGGGATCGATATCTCCAAACCCGTATCTAGCTGCTGCTAAGGTCAGTCCTAACCCCAAAGCCAAACTCACTATTGGTAATGTTCCCTTAATAACTCCTCCACCAACCTGACTGAACATGTCATTTCGATCACCCGAGGGCATCCCCGAAGCTTCCAAACCATCCACAGACCTTTGCAGCAACAGCAAATAGGAGAATCCACACATCCCCCCGATCAAGAATGCAGCAGCGGGATTTTCACCAGCTGAGAAGTTCAAAAGCAGTGTACCGCCGAGAATAAGCATAGCGTCGTAGGATAGCAAAGACAGTTTTAAATCTGCATATTCTCTCATGCTTTCCTCATTGGAGACCTTGCTGCTAGGTGATGAAGTAGAATTTGTAGTCGATATGGTAAGAGGGTCGACCTCTGATAACTTGGAAATTTGACGAGGTCTAAGTTCTACCATAGATAAATCATCTTTCTCTCCAAGCAAAATGTCATCGGCATCAAACTCATAATGGAAACCAGAAAATGGAACTGTGCTTTCTTCGTCCACTCTGCTCAATGAAGCTTGGGGACCATCGAATTTAGTCAGGCTCGCGCTATCTAATCTCCATCGACCTGACATCAGGTATTCAAGAATTAGCAGAGAACAAGTAACGTTTTCATTAGCAGAGCTCACATTTACATGGCATAAAATAAATTTCAGTGACTCGGTATATGAAATAGATACCAAAAGACTAAATTCTAATTAGGACTGCATGGCAACTATTATAGAAATAGGGTTCAATTAGCCAAGTTCTAGAACCTAACCTGACTCAACACCAATCCACAAAGCTTCAATCCTTCCCAGTTGAGGTCCTTCAAAGAAGAACTCATCAGTGGCACCTCGTTGGAAATGTACCACTTCAGACTCGATAATGTCTGCTGAGTCTGCCAAACTGCTCTTTGAAATGGAAGGTATCCTCTGTAGTACTGCGCTGCCTTTATCATCCACCAAGCACAAGAGCACCCCAGCATTTTGATCATCTAGACCTGATCCATACATGTTGCTTGTCTGTAGCTTTACCTTGTAGAAATCAGGAGAATCGCCTGCACTGAATGACGACGAAATACTTTGCTCCCATGATGTCTCGGTGCAGAGTTTCGGTTCTGAAACCCCCAGAAGTCGTGAAGGCTTTGCATACTCCCGAAAATCTGTGGAAAGGAAACACTTAAGCTTCATTTTGAGACCACCAAGAAAGAGTGTTCATTTCTCATGGTTTCTGTACAAGATCACGAAATCAGATCATCATCAAGCTATATCAGAGGTAATTGATTTAAACCCCAAAAGTGCCAAAGAAAGTTTTCCCTTTTGAGAGCTCAAAATCGAAAATTCTAATTGATAACACTAATTGCTCAAGCTGGTAACCGCGAAACCAGCACACCTCCGCAAAAAATTCTATTACTTTCGGGGATCATGGGTTCCACCACAATCTCTCTAGTTCAGTTGCAAAATATAAACACAAGGGCGTCGCTAGGAAGAGGAAACCATTAACCCCACAACAACAACAATAACAACAACAGTGAATCAGTGATTCACTTGAGAACTGAAACAGGGTATTCAGAAGAACCAACCCATTAACCGGAAAGGCGACAACTTGAGTACTTCTCTTGAGCGAGTAACAAGTAAGGTAGAGAGAGCGTGTGGTAGATGAATTGAGGATGATAATAACCTGGGAAATCAGATCGCTTGTAGCTCTTGAGAGTCGCTAGTTGGTACCGTTTGCTGATATGGCGACGAAGAAAGCGCCGTTCTTTGACGGGGAACTGCTTTTTCTCATAGAGTCTGCCGTTCGTCGGAGCAAAGGGTAATTGGCCGAGGGGAATCGAGTCCATTTTCGTTGCCTCCTGCAAATTGCAGTTTCTTGCTCGCCGCTTGGCGTGAGTGATAAAACGAAGTCGGATGGAAGGGAACACCGAACACGAGAGATTCAACGGTTCGGTAGTATCGGACCAAATCGGTCTGGGTTTTGTTTGGTTGCAAAATCTCGACTTATCTTTTTTGACGTTTTAATACCTCCTATATATTTTGTGGCATATAACAATCGATTAGTGTAAGCGTAAACACTATTTATAATAGTAGGGTGATGCCAAATGAGCTGAAAAGAAAAGAAATTAATCATCTCATCTAACATAATAATATCCACCAATCTTAAAGTTAAAATATCAATATTATCCTCAAACTTTCCTGTATTTGTTAATTTGGACATTAGTCTCTCAACAACAAGGTTGTCAGCCCGCGGGTTGACCCGCGGGTCGACCCAATTTAACCCTGACTCGGTGAGAAAAACGGGCCGCACGGACCTGCCGGGTCGACCGCTACAAGTTACCGGGTTGGAGGTCAAATTGTGTAATTTTTTTCTTTGATTTGCGAAATGCGCCTATTTTCCGATTTTTCTTTTCGCCTAACTCAATTTTTGAAATCCTAAGTTGAACATTTGAATATTTATGTTATATAAGTGTGTGTGAATTTTCACTATCTGTTGGATCTAAGTACGATATGTTATTTTGGTGTAATATTATATGTTATAACTCATATGTTAGATAAGATTTGATATAATTTATGAGGATAAGTACAATATAATGACTCTTTCCATATTTCCAGGCCAAACCGGCTAAAACGGTCGACCCATTAACCCTTGACCCACTAGCTCGACCGGGTCTGGGTCAACTCGCGGGTTGACAACCTTGCTCAACAACTTAAGTGACAAACTCATCCACAACATTAATAATTTTGTGCATGCTAGGATGAAATCGTCCAAAAAGATATTGTATTAGCTATCGAACATGACAATCACTTCCACATAAATTGTTAATAAACATACTTAAACCGAAGATAACATAAAATTAGTAACAAAATCGTGTATACTATATATGAGGGGTATGGATCTAGTTAGCATACATGCAACAAGTCGGAGTGTTGCACATTAGTCGGCCAATGCATCGTGCAATAATGATATGATTCGTATTAGATTGAATCGGATTAACTCACTTGTTAATTGGATAAGACTTAATTAATTGATAATTTAGTTTCATAATTATTTTAGATTGTGTATAAATTGATAAAATGTCGTTTAATTGAGCTTAGCTTGGTGTTTTAGTTGTTATATGAGTTTGGTATTCTTCGAGAAATATAAGTTATATGTGACTAAATCGATATTGTACCACCTTCAACATTCCTATTCAATAAGGTATACATAAATCCTCTCCTTCTTTCTCGTTTCTTCCATAATCTCTCATTCAATAAAAGCTCTCAGACACAAAAAAATTCCGGCCAAACTACATAAAACACTGTAGTTTTACCCATACCATGTAGGTATGAGAATAAGTATTGTCGGTGAGGTCGGGTACCCACGATCATATGCTTAATTGACATCCCTATCTGCCACTACCAAATAGTATTATTTTGTCAACGAGCAAGCATGCATTCTAGATTTATCTTGAAAGTCATTTCTCTTGTGGAGTAATTGTTATCAATTTGCCGTATGTTCGAAATGTATTTTATGTGAGAATGTTGATGTTGCAAATATAGTTAGATTGCTTTTATTGCTAATAATTTATTTTGTAAAATATTTATCTCTCATCCATCAGTTACCTTTTATCTATTCCATTATCTTTAATTTCTTTGCTCCTCGTTTGTTTTTCGGTTGTTCTCCTTTTTTCCTCGAGTTAAACAGAAAGGGGAAAAAGGGAACTCTTATCAATATTTTTTCCTCTCTAGAAATTCTCTTTCTTGTGTTCTTTTTCAATTGGTTGTAAAATTGCCAATCGACATTCTCTTGTTGGATTTTTATTTAGAGAAAAACATTCTCAGGTACCCTAAACCCAATTCCAAATTCCATGAGTTCATTGAAAGATTTCCCTCTAGAAAGTAATTATTTTTGATTGTTGTCTCAACCAAGACACAAAGAGGGGGTAAGGCCTTTGTGATTGCGTATTTGCATTGATGGTGTTAGGGACTTAATTATGTTGTCTTCTTCTCAACATGAGGACCTCCATGTCATACAATGTGGACGTGATTGAAAGATGTTATCGTCGATGATTTCTCAACCATAATACAAGGGGAGAACATAAGGAGAGCTTTTATAAAAAAAATTCCAAAAGGAGTGGTGAGGAAGAAAACTCTGCATAAAATCTTTCGTGGAAGAAAGTGTTAACAAGTTTTGAAACATTATTTTGTGGGGAAATGGCGTTGCAGCCATTGAGAGCATTCTCGGTGGGAGCTCAAGCATCGCTTTCAACGGAAAAGGTGACGGACGATTCTTCCAACAACAACAACAAAACACCTCAGAGCACCGTGACCTGTGTTTACCAGACCCACGTTGCTGGGTATTGGCGTAACGTGACAATTACGTGGGGGAAGAACCTCATGAATTCCATCTCCCTCAACCTCATCATCAACAGCCTAGAAGGCGAGACATCCTACAGTTTCAAGCTCGACCTCAAGCCCTGGCATTTTTGGAGCAAAAGAGGGAGCAAAGGGTTCGAACTCGAAGGCAGCAACATCGAAATCCATTGGGATCTCCGGTCGGCCAAATTCATTGGGACCTGCCCGGAGCCGGCCGGTGACTACTACGTGGCCGTGGTGTGCGACGAGGAGATCGTCCTGTTGCTAGGAAACTACAAGAACAAGGTGTACAAGAGGACCAAGGCAAAGCCGACTTTGGTGGAAGCGGTTCTGGTTTCCAAGAAGGAGAACGTCTTTGCCAAGAAGTCGTTCGCCACGAGGGCTAAGTTCGACGAGAAGAAGCAGCAGGAGCATGACATTATCATCGAGAGCTCCACGTCGGGGCTGAAAGACCCTGAAATGTGGATAAGCATAGATGGGCTGGTAATGGTCCACGTCAAGAATTTGCAGTGGAAATTCAGAGGGAACCAAGTGGTGACGGTGAACAAGCAGCCGGTTCAGATATTTTGGGACGTCCATGATTGGTTGTTCAATGGCGAAGGAGGAGGAGGAAGCAACAGCGCGGGTAGCCAGGGTTTGTTCACGTTTAAGCCAGGGGCGCCAGATTTGGAAGAAGATGATGGCGGCGATAGCCCTCACGGCAATAGCGACGTCAGCGATGGTACCTATTTCTCCACCAAGAGTAACAACGGGGCATCCTCCGATTTTTGTCTTCTCCTATTTGCTTGGAAAATTGAATAAACAAGAAAATTCAATCATTGATCATTGAGTTGTTTTTTTTTTATTTTTAGATTTCCTGTTACTTTTTATTTTTTTACCTTTTAAAAGTGATTTCTTTTTTATTTCATTTTTCTTTTAAGTCCATTTATTTGAGTTGGTTAAGTTGAAATTAGTATGTATGGTTTTGCATATTTGTTTAGAGAAGAAAAAGACATGTATATGGGAGAGGAGAATGAGTGATGTTTTTTGGTCTTTATCTTTCAGCACGTAAAATCTACAGATAATGAAAGGTTTGCCATCCTCGGTTTGTCTTCTTAATTAGAACTACCTACATCTGCTTGAAAAAATGAATAATGGGGTTGAATCGAAAAAGAAAAGAAAAAAACGAGATTGAATGGCAAGTTTATCAAATTTGTAAACGTATGTGAGTAATTGTGAAGTGGTTTTGAGATGTGTTTCAAGAGTAACATTTGTGTTTTCAACTTGTACACTTGAATTTGGTGAATCATTTATAAGTCCATCTCTCAATAACTGAATTATGGTGCTGTTTGGATGAAGTAATTTGACCTAATCTTTTGAAAAATGAATAATTGGGTAAAATTGTATTGTTAAATAGATGTGTTATTGTGAATGCATGTATAATATTATACATGTATTGTTGAATTTGATGAATTGTAAACTACAACGTTTGGTATGTGTGATTGTGTATGTCACAACTAGGGGTGGGCATTGGGTGGGTCGGGTGGATTTTGACCATAAAATGCACCCACCCGCGCTTAAACGGATTGATAATTTTTAACCCACCACCCACCCACATTTAGTCTCGGGTTGGGTCGGGCGGATGGTGGATGATGCGGGTGGGTTTGTGGGTTCACCCAAATTACAATGTATATAATATAAAGGAGTCAACTTGAAATGATAATAGGTGAAGAGAATCATCGAGGGAAACAAGAAGTTGAAATAGGGCGAAAAATGTCGAATTAGTTCTTAAATTGGATAGAAATTCTATTATGAAAGAGTTTTCTACAAATTGAGATGATTATTAGGTGCAAGGAACTAAGAAAAATAATTCCACAAAGGAAAGAGCGGTGATCTAGGCACAAGAATTAGAGGAAAAAGTAAAGGGAAGAAGAGAGGATCTCTATTTGGAAGGTTGGCTTTGAGCTTCAAACTCCAGGAGCCGTCCGAGTTTATATCTAACGTCTCCACTCTCCTCTCTCTAGCGCCAACGACTTTGATCTTTTTGCTGTTGGGTTGAGCGGGTCACCCGCACACTCACCCACAACCCACCCACCATCCGGCGGATGGCTCCTAGCGCAACCCGTCACCCACCCACAGACCACCCACATAACGAAATTCGGGTCAAATGCGGGTGGGTCGGCCCAAACCCGCGGATGATCCGCCCGCATGCCCAGCCCTAGTCACAACAGCTAAAACCTGAGACTAAACAATCTCAACAATCACATATGAAAACTGGAATATAACAATCACTCGTTTTCTGTCACATCACAGAAACAATCCATATATTGTTTCTTCTAAAAAATAAAAAATAAAATGCCCACATACCACTCTACTTCATATTTATATCAAGATGCTCAAATGGTGAGCTTTATTTTAAATATACAAGTTAAAATGATTAATATTACTTCAAAGATTACCATTAAATGCTTGATGAGTTCTACTATAGGCTATCCGAAACTTAGCTAGTGTGCATTAGAGGTAGATTGATCGTTGGGTGGGTGGAACTGGTCTCACCCACCAAGTTGACCCACTTTCGTAGGTGCATACATGCTGCACTGAGATGTTAGAAGTGACCACCATCCCTCCATGTCAAAATATAAGAGTGTTCGTATATGTTGGACAATTAATTGACGATGCGACAATTTCTGCAAATAAGTTTGCATGCAAAGAGTAACATGAATCGAAAAATTATCAAACATACTATATTCGCCTATTTAGACGCTAATGGTGACTCCTTTCATTCTTGGGACTAGATGGTTGTGTGCGATATATGGAGCACCTAGGTCTTCAACTCGATAGTTAATAGAGGAATAAAACAAATTGATCAAAAGAGTAACGATGTTTCATAGATAGAACCTCTCTGTTTATATCCTATTGTTAATGTCATGCATAATCATTTGTTTACATCAGAGTTATCCTAGTTAACTTAAATTCGAGTTATCGACACATTGGTTCAACAACCATCAATTCACATCAACATAGGCTCGATCAGCATTCACACAAGCATTTTTTATCCGTTCATGGGTGGATCGACCAAAAACTGCGGGTGAACCACACACTTGATTATTTTAATTTTAATTTTCTCCAATAATTTGGTTTCCTATAAAAATATAGTAATTTGTTTCGGTAGAGAGAGGTAAAAAAGAAAAAAAGAATGGGAAAAAGGAGTGGTGATTATCGAACAAAATTAAAGAGAGAGAGGAGAGAGGCATTAGTTTCTTCGCCACCGTCCTTTCCCTATTTTCTCTCTCTTTCTTTCTCCACTCTCTCCCTCTCTCTCCCGAAAGAATTTTTTTTTCGAAAGACAAGAGGCTCTGAAACTCGAAATCTAGGGTTTCAATTTCCGTATCATACATTTCTGGTTCGTGTTTTGTTCACGGGTTGATTCCGATTGAGAGAAAGGGTAGGAAGAGTAGAAAAAAGATTGAAAAGTTCGATCGACAAGGGATCTGGATCTGTTGTTTAAAAGGAAGGAGGAAGAGAGAAAATGAGCTTGGATTCAGTTCCTTCGAGCACTCATGGAAGCCTCGACGAGCAGATTAATCAGCTTATGCAGTGCAAGCCATTATCTGAGCAAGAGGTACTCTTCCTTCTGCCGAGTTTCTTCCAGTAATTCCTCCTTGTATTTAGTCTTCGGCTTGATTTTTGCGAACTTTTGTGTGGATCCGTTGGTTCTGCTTGGGAAATGCTTACGAGTTTTGGTGAATTGGATCATTTCTGGGGATCTTTGTATCTATTCGCTTCAATTTTTGTTCTTCCATTATTGATGCTTTTCTTTGTTATTTGATCTGTTTGGCTGTTATTCCGTTGGATCTGTTGATGGGCTTGTTTCTTTTTCTTCCATCAAAATGGTATTGCTTCTCTCTGTTTCATGGATCGAACGATTTTAAGACAAATGCACTCTTGGTTGGGATGTCTAGTATTGCATTTGAGACTTACTGTATCTCGATGTTGGATTGGTGGTGTAGTTTCTTATGAATTTTACTCAAGAGGGCATGGATCTGTTGCTTGAAGATCTATCATTTATGCCAAAGCCTTGCTGTTTTTGGAGCTATATGTGGTCTTTCCCTGACATTGTTCAGAAATGGTGTATTTTCGGGACCAGGTTTCTATTGTTAGGGGCTTAGCATATGCCTACTCTTAATGTTAGGATATCTGAGCTACAATTGTGGGGGCATCAGGCATGAATATATCTTTGGGAGCAGAGATCAAAGGACCTCTGTTAGGGCGGTACACCATTGAATCTTCGAAGAGCCTCTGTTTAATTATTCGTTGAATGTTGGGTTGCTGTATGACTGGTGAAAAGATTTTATTATTATGCAGTAGTTTGTGTTTTGTGGCTGTTATTGATTCTATAATAACAAGTTGCTGTGTTGTTTGATGGCGTCTCTATTAAATTTGTGCTTATCATGTGAGAATCTTATCAAAACTGTGTTGTTCCGTGCCTTCTATGTGGTAATTTGTCTGGAGTTCCTTCCACCTTGCTATCTATGATATGATCATTGTCATGCCTTTTTCTGGGAATGGTAACAACTTTGTTAAATGTCCGTTGGATGTTTGTTATTCAAGCTTTCTGCCTGATTTTATCTTTACATTATAATAAATGCTTTTTCTGAAAGGTTTATTTTCACGATGCAGGTGCGGGGGTTATGTGAGAAGGCTAAGGAAATTCTTATGGAAGAAAGCAATGTCCAGGTATTTGTCTTCAGTACTGTTTGTTGATGGTAACTTGATAAATGTATTTTTGGCATGTTCCTTTCACCATTTAGCTATTGAGTTCATTCCCAGTGTAAGGAGATAAAAGTTCATCCTCCAATCATCTTAATCAGTCAGTTTAGTATCCAGCTTTAAGGTCTTGGACCACCCATGTTGTGAGCACTGATATCACCTTACATTTTCCTGTGTTGTTGTTTAGCCGGTCAAAAGCCCTGTTACAATCTGTGGCGATATTCATGGGCAATTCCATGATCTTGCAGAGCTTTTTCGCATCGGAGGAAAGGTAATTTCCGGATTTATGCTAACCTTTTTCCATCGCTGGATGTCAAACTTATATTGTATGTACTTCTCTTTGGTTTTGGTTGAAATCTGCTAGTGGCCATGTATTATTTGATGTGGACTTCTTAAATTTTTAATATCTTTTTTTGTTTGTGTAGTGCCCAGATACAAATTACCTGTTCATGGGAGATTACGTGGATCGTGGGTACTACTCTGTTGAAACTGTGACCGTAAGAAATATTCTGATCCTCGATATGATCTTGGTTTTGATTTCTTGCTTTTGAATGATAATCTGGAACAACTCGTGATTCTCTGTGCCTCTTTACAATGATACTTGTCAAATGATGTCTTTATAGGTTCTTCACTGAGGCTATTTCTTCTTTCTGTTTGATGTTTTCGAATTCCATGTTGACTCCATTGAATTTTCAGCTGCTGGTGGCCTTGAAAGTGCGTTATTCCCAAAGGATTACCATTCTGAGGGGAAATCACGAGAGTCGTCAGGTATGGAGTGTGAAATGTACTATTTTTGAATCTGCTACTACCAGTTGGCATTTCGAAGTGATTTTTTTGTTCAGCATTAGTATTCCAGTTACTTTGCTGATGTCATGCAGTTAGATGTCTTCTTTGGGTGGTGCTGGACTATTAATGCTTGAAATTTCTGTTTTCCAGGTTTCTTATAATATGTTTCTTTTTCTTGTTGGCTTTTTCAGATTACTCAAGTTTATGGATTCTATGACGAGTGCCTGAGGAAGTAAGTTTCTTCATATCCTTAACTGATTCCAGAATATATGTATATCATGTTTTTAGAAAGCGATTGATGCGAGTGTTCTTACTCTATTGTGCCTTGTACTTATTTGTTGTGTGCTGTCCATGGTGAGGTAGTTCATTTGAGATTTTCAGGAACTAAAGTGTTGGGGGAAATTTGGGTTCGATCTAGTTGTAGGACAATTGCTCCTGAGTGAAATATAATTAGTCTTCCATCTCTATTTGCAGGTATGGAAACGCAAATGTGTGGAAGATATTTACAGATCTTTTTGACTATTTTCCACTGACAGCATTGGTTAGTATTACTTCATATCTCAGAATTATACAAGATTCCGCTTGGTGGAAGGCTGACATTCATATGGCTTTACCTATTTAAAGGTGGAGTCAGAGATTTTTTGTCTTCATGGTGGATTGTCTCCTTCCATTGAAACCCTCGACAATATCCGCAACTTTGATCGTGTCCAAGAAGTCCCACATGAGGGTCCCATGTGTGACCTTTTGTGGTCTGATCCCGATGACCGATGTGGGTGGGGTATTTCACCGAGAGGTGCTGGATATACCTTTGGTCAGGTACGCAATGTCTCAATTGCTTGAATATTGCACACTATTCCAGAATTAACAAGTACTGGCGGGAGGCTGACATGAATCATCATTGTTCTTGTACCAGGACATCTCTGAGCAATTCAACCATACTAACAACTTAAAGCTGATTGCAAGAGCTCATCAGCTTGTCATGGAAGGCTATAACTGGGGTCATGTAATGCATCATCCTCTACTCAATGTTCTATTTGGTCGCATCGGTTCTATCAATTTGTCTAATTTGGTGGTAGTGCATATTGTGCTGAACAGGACCAAAAGGTGGTCACTATATTTAGTGCACCTAATTATTGCTACCGTTGTGGAAACATGGCATCTATTTTGGAAGTCGATGATTGCAAGGGTCACACGTTCATCCAGGTTTCTTTTCTTTCAGAACATCTCTCAAATCGAGTTCCTGGCATAAATGGGTTTCTTCCTCATCTGTTTTTGTTGTTGTTGTTCTGAGTGCAGTTTGAGCCAGCTCCACGGAGGGGAGAACCCGATGTAACCAGGAGAACACCTGATTACTTCCTATAAGCTAAAACCTCTAAGCATTGAGCTGCTGTGGATCCTGTGGCCGGTGCCTACTACTTCCTGCGTTTTCTTGTTCCGAGAGGCATCTTTTGTTTATCTTAAGAAGACTAAGACGGACGAACTTTCACTTCGACGGTATAGGGTAAAAGGTGGAGAAAATGCAGCTATTTAGATAAGGGGAGAAAGGTGGGGTTTTGAGCTTTAGCGAGGTAGGGTTTCCTTGAATGTGATTGTCAAAAGCAATTATGGGGTTTTGGTTCAAGTGTACTCTCAACAGGAAGAAGGCAAAAGCAGTGGAGTTGGGCAAATGATGCATGCAGTATATGTAACATTTTCAGGGCAAGACAGTGGGGGATCTTTTTTTTCTTCTTTCTTTCTTGTTTTTATTCCTTGATTTTTGTTCTTTCTTCACTTAATTTTTACTTTTCGTTTTACTATTTTTGTCCCCTCTTTTAATTTTCAATTTCTTTTCTTTCTTTCCTTTCTGTAGAAGGATTCTTATTTTGGGGAGAACCGTGGGGAGTTATGTAGAGGACCGATCAATCAGATAACTGGTTAATGGGGTGCTTTCTCGTGAGTACTTTTCAGTCATTGTTCCTGTTGTTAAGCTGTTGGCTTATTGACCTGATCGAGTTTTCTGCTGTAGGAACTTGCTTTACATATGGTATATGGTTGTCTGTTAGGCCCTGCTGTTCCTCAAATCGGGTTTCCTCGATTAAGTTTGTTTTTGGTTGGTTCTCCATTAGGCGTTGTACTGGTTTCGTTGTGACAGATTATGGTGATATCAAAGAGATTTATCGGTAAACTTTAAAGTTAAAACACCACATCAATAACTAAACCGAGGCTAAATATCTAAGGCGACCAAATCGGATTGAACTACACCAGACTAGCTGTACTACAAAGACACCCTGCCATCCAATCATTCTTCTATGCCAATTCAAGTACGCAATCTTTTGGGACACACGATCAAATTGGAGCAACAGAGATTCAAGGCGGCGGCAAGTTCATGATCATCCATAGCCACCATTCAAGAAACCGGAAAAAAGATAACAGGCCAGACATTTCAACTAACGAAAAGAGATCACACATGCTTAACTATCACTAGAAAGCATCAACACTGAGCCTACACAAGAACTGAGCAAGAAAACAGACGAAAAACACCAGAGATGCCAATATGCCTTTCTATAGACTCCTAATCTCTCCATCAAACCAACAAGCAATATATCGATCAGGAGTAACTTGGCATCAAAGATTGTCCATAAGAAGAAGCATTCGTTACCATCCTATCCACATAAGTTTAAAAACCTAGACACAAGAGAACAAAACACACAAAAGTTACCCCTCGGGCTAGTTAGATGCTGCATTTCTGTCTTCACCGAATCCAGCTTCCTCCTAATCGTTCTTTCAGCTTTCGGTGCTGTCCAGGATCAACTGAGCCTTCTCAATGATCAATTCATTCCTCTGAACAAAGAGCTCCAAAGCTGCAATATCGTGCTCCTTCCATCTTCTAGCAAGCTCGTTTCTTTTCGATCCTTCCACCATGTCCAATTCATTCTTCACCACAAAGCTCTCAACTTCAGCACCAGTTGGGCTCCAATCCAATCTCAATCCATCTTTCTGATCATTGGCCCCATTGATTTTCATCGCCTCTGCTCCTCCATTCCCTGCTCCCAAAGCAGCATTTGAAGCATTCCTATTGGCATTTCCACTGCTACTACCACCACCGGTTCTCTTTGCATTTGCTTGTTCTTTCGCTGCAACCAAATCAGCAGCCTTGGAAGCACTTTTACTGCTACTTCCACCATTAGTGCCACCGCTCTTCTTCGCTTTTCCATTCGACTTACCATCTGCGATTCGACCTAAAAGTCCTTCTCCCTGGCTGTCCCAGATCTTCTTCGACAAGTCGAAAGATTTCTGGTCATGAGCTTTGCTAAAACTCTTGTCCAAACCATTCTTCCCATTTGCGTGGTTCTTAAATTTCTTCCTAAATCTGGCAACTTTCTCCTTCAATTGAGCCAGCGACACATCCACAGCCAGAGACTTGTTGATGAAATCATAGAAAGCTGCCATGTCCTTCAAGGGATCGGCTCCTTTCTTCTCAGCGAACTCGATCAGCCCACTCAACACTGCGATCTCATCGTTCTCACCCCAGAGCCGCTGAAAGGGCACTCTCGGGACATCTTCGTTCTTACCGTCGTCGTCCTTGTCGCGTTCCGCCACCTCTTTCTGCCTCTTGACGTCCTTCGCTTGCCTATCAGTTTCACTGGCCCTCTTTGTCGCCGCCGTAGATTTTGAGGAAGAGGCAGGAGCCGCATTCGCTTGCGCTTTAGGCTGGGGCTTGGAAGCGATGGGCTTCACGTTGTGCAGAATCCCAGAGCTTTTCGGGGGCGGATCAGAGTCGGAATCCGTGTCGGAGTCGTCCCCGGACTCGGAATCGGAGCTCTGAACAGCTGGCTTCTTTGGTTGGCCTTGTGACTGGGGAGCCAACGTTTTCCTTCCCTGCGGCGGCAGTTCTTCGTCAGAAGAGGCTTCATGGGCGGAGGAATTTTCATCATCTTCCTCCGAAGAAGAGGGAGCGGGTGGGTCTTCCTTCAGATTCAGCCGCTTGGCGGCCATGGTCGAAGAGCTGCTGTGGTTGCGCTAGGGCTCGCGGAATGGGCGAATAATTTAGGCGAACTTGGCGATTGAAAATTTCTACTGTAACAATGGGCCGATATTAATGGTGGCAACCAAATATATAGGAGATGTTATTATAAATGACTGAAGTATAAATATGTAACAAAGTGGTCCCTTTCGTAATAGTAAATAATGCTCCTTAATCCTTCCATCGATTGGACTAACTAATCGGATGTTGCTGAAACACCATTAGTCCATTACAATATAAAACTAATAATTAAATGCTCTATTCTTTTTCTATCTCAAAAAATATTTCGAAACGCACCATCAAAATTCAGAATAACTTTTTGGGTTATAACTAGTCAAACGATATTAGTAACGTTTGAGATAATTCACTATGTTAAATGTCTCTCAAAACATTTCAAAACTTCCTTCTACCCTTAACTTATCAAGAACTTGGATCAAGACTTAGTTCATCCTTCTCGTTAATCATCCGTCCGTCTGATGTACATGTATATCTTTAATTAAGATCTCAACCTAGTAAACACATTGCAATTAAGATGAAATCCAACAATAATGATCACTCCATTTATCATTATTAAGCTTCCAATTAAGTTTCTTAAAAGTACTATAAATTTCACTCTCATGGCATAAATTATACAATCGAAATGCGCGGTTAGAATCAAATCAATCACTGATACTACAAATTGAACTGGTTCGTCCGATTCCCACAAACTAAACCACACTAAATACATGTAACATAGATGAGCTTAGCTAGCCTCTTTAGTTTCTTCTTATCTTATATAGACACACACAGTGACACAACCGGCATCGCTATGATACAACATAAGAACACTAAGAAGAGTCGGCAAATTGCTCGAGCGGGTGGGGATTTTAGTTAAGAAAGTAGCAACGCAGGTGGTCGAAATTGAGCTCTGCTGTAAGCTATTGGCAACATGAGCAGCTTCTTCCCTCTCCCAACATAAGCCCTCTTGTTCAAGTTGTCATAATCATTCTCCTCGATCTCATCCAATATACTCCTGTACACCAACAGCGCAGTCCACACCTGCAATCAAACAATCAACCTTCCTTCAGCAACTTACAAAGAAACGAGCCAGGGGCGGGGAAAAAAAAAGTTGCAAGAAAAAAAAAAACAGAGTCGATGGTCGAGTTTACCGGCCAACGGCTGGCGTCGTCGAGGTGAGAGGCTCCTTCCTCGGCGAGGTTGAAGTACGATCTTGCCCTCGTGATCTGAGCTTTCATGAATTCTCTCCACCCGTCTGTTACTTTCCCTGACATTACATCTCTGTCGGAAAGGCCGAACTGCGCAAGCTCGTCCTGAGGAAGGTATACTCTGCCCCTCAATGCACTGCGTGGCCCAACATTCAATCCGAAGCAGAGTTTAGCTTAATTAATTATCGTTGTCTGTAAGTGCATAATGCATATGTATGAATGTTGGAGATCCGGGGGCTTACTCTTCGCCGACGTCGCGAAGGATGTTGGTGAGCTGATTGCCAATGCCCAAGTAGAGAGCTGCGTCGTAGATGGTTTGAGCAGAGGCAGAGGAGGTTGGAGATATCCCCATGACTGGGACGCTCATCAGCCCCACTGTCCCGGCGACGTAGTAGCAGTAGAGGTACAGTTCTTCGAAGTTCTGGTACCTTGATTTCCATGTGTCCATTCTCATTCCGTCGATCATGTCCCTGAAAGGCTGTAAATCCAGACCAAGGATACATTGATTACCTCAGTTATAACTTATGTTACAGGTAAGTAATAAATGATTTGATTTTAACGCGCATAAGTATACTCAAATGATAGTACCGACGACAAATCTAGACATAGAACTCGACACAAAATAGTTATTATGTTAGTTGTTTGCTACTACAATAATAATTTTTCTGAGTCACCCATTTGTTAGGTGGGAGCTACCGAGCTATTATACCTTGATGTCAAGAGGGAATTGGGAGATGGTATGCGTGAGAGCAGCATCATACATGTCATAAGCACGACCAACAAATATGTCTTCTAATCTCTCTTCCCATCTGTTCAACACTGTCGAGTTGGTCATCATATAATCTGCATTTGGACCGTCAACCAGTTCATCTGTTCTCCTGCACCAAACTACAATCCACACACAACTCGAATCATCAGAACAAATTAACTTCAATCGATCTCATCAATGGTAACTCTACATATGAGAGAGGTTTTTTTTTTTTGAATTAGAAACTAATTATAATTGGTCAATTACAAATAAATGGAGCTTGTAATTACCATAGATTGCCCATATCGCCTTTCTCCTCTCCTCTGTCATTAGCCTAGTTCCTGCACAACATTAATTCATAACCAAATTTACACATCGTCTAAGATAACATAAAAATGATTGAAGGAACAGAGAGGAGAGACAGAGCACGAACCTAGGTAGAAAGTCTTGGCGTATTCAGCACAAATTTCCCTGCACCTCTCGTAGGATTCATCAAGGAATTCACCATCCAACTCTGGCTTAATCTTCCTGCTGAGTTCATGATCCGTACTGAAGCTGCTGCTGCCACTGCTATAAAACTCCTTATTAGACGACTGCCTCTCCACAATCTCCTCCACGCGCAGATCGGTATGAGGGATTCCTAATTGCTTCAGCAGCAACGAAGATCGATTCTTTGGAGCGATCGTGGCGACATTCGTGACCACTTGTGAACTTGCAGAGGCATATTTCCTCTTCCACGACGGCTCTGTAATGGTACTAGCAGCTGCTATGGCGACATTACAGGGCTTTAGGGTGAAGACAGAGCACATGGTGAGTTATGTTAATGTTGTACAGAGAAACTTGGGAAGAGATCGTTGTGTGGGAAGAGAGCTATAACAAGAAGAAGAAGAAGAAGAAGAAGATATATATGCAAATGGTTATGGGAAAGTTAGTTTTTGGTTTCATTATAACAACTGCCGGTGGATTATTCTTTTGTTCGGCGGTAAAGACAAGGATCATTGAAAGTATTTACTATTATCAATGCGTTAAGTTGTGTGATTAAAATTGAAAATGATTATGCACAGTAAATGAAAGGGGTGGTGGCCATCAATTGAACAAATGGTCACTAAAGTTTTGATATATAAGAAAGTTTGTCACTGAAGTTTGAAATAGGTAACATTCACTTGATTAATCTTAGTCAATTTCTTCTTAACATAAGCTTAGAAGGCATGATCGTGCAATCTAATTATAAGACTGGTAAGAACGAATTGCGATAGTCTTCATTTGATCGGACTAATGGTAAAAGAGACTATTTTGTCACTAAATAAACAACTATGTGAAAACTCCAAAGAGCAAACTGACATGTATGAAACGAGAAAGACGCAAAAAGAATATAGACTTAATTCAAATGAATATTTGAGAATCTTACAAATCAAACAGTGTACTAAGATGTCAGCCAATGTAGTACTCCTAGACTACGAGATGGATCCCTCGTACCAGAATCGATTGTGGAAGTGCTCAAACACGAAAGGAATGGAATGATCCCTTGCAAAAACTAAACGAAAAATGGCCCTCCAATGGGAACTACAAATCTACCACAAGAGAAAAAAGTATACTTGTCAGGCATCATCAAAATTTTAGATAGAACTAGTAGTATAAAGCGAATAGAAGAGAATCAATCCTTATAGCCATTATTATAATAAATGTATAATATGATCACCAATAAATGTGTCCTCAACTAATCAGATAAGAATTCATGCACATTCTCATTAGGTGATATGAACGACTCATTTCAAATCAGTACTCATTTCGAATTAAATTTGCCGCTCACTCTAATTCCTATCTATGCATTATGTGAAGAGTTTATCTTGCCCTCTTCTCTTTTAATTTCAATGAAGCGACATGCTAATACCAATACTCCAAACAAATATGTTACTATTTCAGATTTCGGTGACTGAATTCGTCAAGAATTCAATATTTAGTGACCGGTTAATTAGTAACTAGAATCCACCCAATAATCCAAATTGATGTAATATTGTAATGTCAAGGTGAGCTTGTCATAAAGTTGGGAGAAAGGTCATCGGTTTGTCCTAGTTGCATTAGGATCTTCGTCGAGGCTCGTTCATAGCCAAGCGGTTGATACTCTTTTTGTTCTCACTAATCATTCCACCCCTTGATTTTAATCTTTAGTTTTATGGGGGGCATAGATACACGTATCTTTGCCGACGTAAAAGGTGTCACTTCATTCATCGACCAATCAATCGTCGGCTCGATCCCGATAGAGCCGGCCGGCCGGCCCTGCCGGATTTCTATTTTATTATCGAAAAGGATAGACTATGATTATGTTATGATAACCAAAACACTCCATGTTATAACAGGCTGCAAACTCTTCCATCCCTCTCTCACAAGACTTTACATTCACTATATATATATATATATATATATATATATATTTTTTTGTGTTTAATCTTATTTTACTTAACAATAAGTTTACTCGTATTTCAGATGGCTCCATTAATAAACGAATTTCTTTCGTCCAAAACATCATGTTTATAACTAGGGATGGCAATGGGTTGGGTCGGGTGTGGGTTTACCCTATACCAATTCCTAACCCGTCGAGTAGAGTTTTCTAAAATACTCGAACAAATAATCACCAGGTATGAAAATTATATAACCATACCCTACCCACCGGGTAACCACGGGTATTCGGGTAACCATGGGTACGGATCCTAAACTATGAACTTATACACATATATGCACATACATATTGTTGTCCATTAAAAATTCTCAATACTTCTAATTGTTCTAACTTCAACAATCCACACAAATAAAAACAACAAAAACATAATAATTGTTCTTGCTTCTACAATCCACACAAACATAATAATCTTCTACATCTTCATCATCAATAATGGTAGCTAAAGTAAATTTCTCAAGCTAAACTAAATTTCTCAAGGGAAATTGACCCTTTGGTTAGCGGGGCGGGTATTATCGATTACCATACCCGTACCCTACCCTTTATTTTGAAACCGGGTATTACCCGTTTTCAAATCTATCACCAAACCCTTCCCCAAATCCATCAAGCAAACAAGTAGAACACGCATGTTTCGGCCATCTTCAATGAATCTACTACTAACTTAATCATAAAAAAAATTTAATAACTTGATTTATTTAGTAAAATCCAGTTAATGGATTTAAGTTAGTCATTTCATCTATCCGGTAATAAAGATAGATATTTTGCTCCTAATACCATGCTCATTGTTTGTGTTGATTAGGGTTTGTTTTGGTATGTAACTCCACTCTCATTACCTTTAACGTTATCCTTAAGCCTAACCTTCCTATAATTTTATCAACTACGATCCAGTCTTTTTTTTGTATATATATAATCGTAGTGAATGACTTGGCCAACCATTTGAAGTTATCAATCCAACAAATATATAAATAGGCAATAAATATATATAGAGGTTCCTTTCCAAGTTGCAGTGCTAGGAGGAAGTGGTTGAAGGCATTATTCGAAGAGGGCAAAACTAATGTAGCTATCAAAGGACAGCCATTGGAGGAACAAGTTAATTATATACATTAGGACGTAATTGTCAGCAAATATGGAGCACTTCTAGTTAGTTCTTATAACTATTATATTAGTTTTGTTCCCATTATTACTAGAAGATACATCTCTAATCTATGTTTTATTATCGATTGTTTATCGCTGGGTTTATTTTGATAATTTATTAGAAAAGAAGGTAAATTGGAAATCACCCTCGCTTTTTTCGTGATTGTTATAAAAATTTTTTCATAAAAACAAAAGAAAGAACATTGAATTTTGAAATTCTAATCAAGGAGGAAAATATATAAGAGTTTTTTTAGTTTATACAAATAGATAGACAAACATAGTATAAAAATAAATATGTTTATGAATTGTCTTTATACATATACCCATGGGAGAAGTGGCAAGAGTTTGGTGGGGTTTGATATGTAGGCGGATATATTGGAAATCCATCTTTCTCGATTCGATTCTTCAAAGGTTCGAATAAGGGATCTGTCAGAAAACCAGGAGAAGAATAATTGATTTTAAATCTCTAATTAAGGAGGATAATAAAAGTTAAGCGAGACTAATATAAAGAGATATCTCATGATACAATCCATAACTAAGTATGTATATACAAATGTGCATGAACAATCCAAAAAAATTCACGTCAAAATGTTCCTAAAGCAAACCAAACCAAACCAAATTTTGCATTACAACAGAGGTCTCTACATCAGCGTCAGTAGTATATTATATTTCACGTCCTGATGGATGATTATACTTTCATGCTACTCTCTGCAGCCAATTAACACTTGCTTTCGTCTGTCTATCTATCTAGTGACCGTTAACAGAAGATCCATTGATTTCTAAGAGTTTCATTTTGCTCTCACAAGCTTCGCTATGCGCGCAATTCATCCAGAGATGGTGGAATGGAGCTGTTTCGCTGCCCATGTTACGTCGAAAAGGCTTCGAAGCGAACCTGTAATGTCTTCTGCAATTGTACTCAACATCACCCTGCACTCTGTAATAACCCACCAAAGCAGAGGAGTTTGTGTGCAATGAATGGCATCTGGATTCAGTTCTTTGAACATACATAAACTTCAACATGCAAGCAAGAACAAAGAGACACATAACTAACTAACCTGGAATTCTACTAAAATTCAGCAGTGACATGGAAGCCAGGACCTTGTGCTCGTCCAGCTCACCATTCTCCAAGTTGTCCTTCAGACCAGAGATAAGGGCAGAGAATGCAGGCAGCTGAAATTCGGCATCCGATTCAGAAGAAAGTGCACAGCTCAGCCACACAATGGTGCTTAGGCATACTGTCACCAAATCCGCTTTACCGCCCGAGTTCAAGCATTGTGAAATGGAGTCTAGAAACGACTTCTTTCCATTGCTGAGCAACAATGCTGACAAGTTCCTCAACCACTCTTCCCCTGCCGCCTCCTCCTCTTCCTCTTCTTCTTCCTATATACACAAATTAAACATTTCACATCGGCCGATTTTTCTAGCACCACTGAATGATCGATGATCAAGCAACACATCTATCCTTCCGCATACTATAGATATACAACCAATCACTCTTTAACGATGAGCCAGAGAAGTGTTTTCCCAATGAACGCTACTGTCTACAATTAATTACAACACTACAACAAAATCGTGGTTTTAGCAACCAAGGTCGCAAAAGGTAGAGTCCAACAGCGAATAGATAATGGCGACCGGCCGGGGATATTTTACAATAAAAAAAAGTCGTCATTAAATGTCAAGACAACTAGAAATAGCGACAATAATACACTAGTCACTATTATTACCTTAACAATCGGATAGTATGAAAGTGGAGATGAAGGAATGAATACCTGAGAAAAAGAGTCATCAAAACATGTTGCTCCTTGAGAGTTGATCACTCCAGATGTAGTATTAGCATTATGTCCAGCTTGCTTCAGAACCCAATTCTTAATGAAGGACGACTGCCCGCCTGCAGCAGAAAACCGGCCACCTAACATGAGAAGTGCTTTGCAAGTACTTTCCCGAACCTTGTCATCGATTAGGCTGCCTTCGAGGGCCACTGCTATAGCATCAACTGCTTCCTCCCTATAGATGCTGTAGTAATTTTGAGGTGCAACCTGCTCACCAAAACGTTACTTCCTTCAGCTCCAAGAAAACAACACGTCTAATTAAGCATCAGCACTCATTATCTATGCAAGTATTTGAGAGCCTACCAGAAGATCCAAATGCAAAAGCAGTACAGCAATAGAGGGCTTTTGCTCAAGTTGGGAGCCCTGAAGATGAAGTAGCAACACATGCATCACACTGGTTATCTTCTCGTCCTCCAAGTCTCGAAAGAATAACATAACATCTCTCCTCCTGAAACAACCACATGGTCTCAATAGGAACCACTGACACAGAAAACAAACTTGGAAGAGCCAAGAGACAAAGAAGAATATAGATACCTGCTAAGACAAACTAATTCGGTGAAAAGGGAAACTGCATTTCGTCTGGAGTCAGGCTGCTTGCTGTGAAGTAAATCAACGAGGCACTGCTGATCAATGTTTCTACCGATCAGGCTTCTGCTATCCGAATCAGCTTCAATGCAACATGACAGAAGCAATGCAACGCGTGATTTCTCTTCTACATTTCCAAGTGCAAACCTTCTGATGAGAAACTCCAAGCCTCCTAGACAGACGAGATGTATGGCGTTTTTCACTCGCTCCTCTACATTGAATGTTGTCAGGAGCTTCTCCAATATGAATGTAGCCGTCTCATCTCGTTGCCTTGTTTCGCATTCCCTTGAAGTTCTAATGATTTCCGAGGCTAAAGCCAACAACTGACCGCAATGTTCCAGCTTCCAGTTATGAATTATTCGCTTCAGAATTAAGTTGGTAAGTGGCAGGTTCACACATTCTAAACTTTTCCCCGTCACTGGACAGGCACAGTTTCCCTGCTGATCAAACCACTCTGCAATTGCTTCTCTCTCGAATGTCTGTCCGGTTTCTAGAGTCACTGGGTCTTCAAACAACTCTCCAGTTAAGGGACAGATAAAGTCCTGAGGGATGCTTGCATAGAATGATCCTTCCTCAAAATATTCACAATCTAATTCATAACCAGCCCTTGGACTCATCACCTGCACTTGGGAAAATGAGAAGCTATAAGTACCTAACTAAATGCAACAGGTGAAACAAAAGATGAGCTTTATATCTTCTATGATACTGAGATTAAAACCTTGATATTGCCAGAGAAGGAACATACAGTGAGATCACTAGCCTCGTTAAAGCGTTGCACTCCAGAAACAGATTGTAAGAGACCTTTGAGTCTTAGCTCATTTGTTGCTTTAGACTGTGGAGATGCATTCAATACATGAGCAGTTCCCCGGGTAGAAGCATCATGCCACTCTTGAGAACTAAACATTCCACCGTTTGAATCGGTTTCCTGCTCTTCTCTTGCTCCAGCCAATTTCCATTCTTCCTGGGGTGCTGCTAATGGCTCCTGACCCTGCAGAAACAAGATAAGATTGAGGATCATGGAGAAAAGAAGATACACGGGGACATGACAAGTGAAGATACTTACACAAAGGGATTTGACATCCTTTCCCCTCTCAGAGTAGAATGTTGTTGTCAGTGCTTCTTTAACCTGAACACCAGAATCATCAGAGCTCCTAGCACTTTTCACAGAGCTGCCTCCATGATCCCCACTTTCTCCTGCCTCAGAATGACCAAGTTTACTCGAATTTATAGCATCGTAGATTCTTGGAGAATGATCCTTGGAACCCCCTTGTGATGACAGGCTCTGACTTGACAATGAAGGCACATGAATTGAAGGAACAGAAGGAGCTTCAAGGCCCTCAGTCAGCCAGTCCTTGTAGTAGACAGCAAACTGGTAAGTACCAGAATCCAGAGTTTCATTGTAAACTTTATCAAGGAGTTTAACTTTCCGTATCTTGCTTGGTGTGCACGGTAGAGACTCTGCCTCTTTGTTATACCACGACTTCAAATGCGAAAGATGGGGAAACAATAGATATTCCCACAGGTCAGGCAACAAAACTGTCCGTGCCCAAAATGGAGAATCGCAGAACACTTGGAGAAGATGTTTCGCTGAAATTCTGTCCTTGTTCTTCTGCAGCTTGTACACAACACTGAGGTAGAAATGTGCACAGGCAGACAACCTCGAGTTTGGAACTCCAAATGTGTAACCATCTTTCAGCTCATTTGAGTTAAAACCCGTGATCACACTGAGCTGCAACGCGGCTCTCTTCAGATCCTTCGCACTCACAAAATCCTCCTCCTCCTTATCCTTAGCTGCTGCTTTCTCCACTGTATCGACGGCTTCCTCAAGACTGGAAATGACTTTCCTCTCAATGCTGTCGATCTCTTCAATCTCGTTGAAATTGAATGAGGAGAAACAATTGTAACGTGCCATGGTCCGGAACTCATCATCTTTGAAGAAACGTCTACTGTATCCATTAAGGATAGAGACCATGGCTTGGATCGCAACTTCATCGAGTGCAAAACCAGCAACTTGAGGAGGAGTGACATTTTCAGCAGGCCTCCTCCTCCTCCTCCTATCCGCTTCGTTGTCCTTTCGAGCTCTTATACCATTTCCATATGAGCTATTCCCACTGCCATGGCTACTACTGCTGGCTGCATATTTTACCATATCAGAATAAATGTCCTTAATTCTGCCATCATCGTCATCTTCTTTCTTACCAACCTCAACTGTTTCGTGAGACGTTGGCTTGTTAGAACGTCTGTGGATTCTATCCCAGTTACCTTCTTCTTCATCATTTTTGAATCTACTAGCCACATAATCCCCAGCACGGGGATTTCTGCTGCTTGTGCCAGCATCGCTACTTCCTGAAGATTCACCGCCTCCTCTCGAATTGTAGCGATTCATGTCAGAGTTTGCCCTTTCTGTTCTGATTCTAGACCCAGCCGGTATATGATCCATCCTCTGTCGCTCTCCACGCATCCTACTACTTGCAGCAGCTTCTGCTTTGAAAGAGGCCCTTGCCTTCATCCTTGATCTTCTTCCTTTGAAGCCATCCTCTTGAAGCAACTCTGCCAAAGACGATGCCATTTCTTCGTCCCCACTCCCCACTAGAATGTCTGAGGACACTACAAGCACAGATTGAAAAGGGTCAATCAAACAGGAAAATGAAACAAAGCAATATGGAAACCTTTACAAATCAGTTTAATCAGCCAAGACATGATCTGCAAGTAGCAAAGAAATGGTGGAGAAATTTACCTTATTGAGAGTTCTATGGTTCTTCATTAAGGAAACAAACCGCTGTTCGATCAGTACCTGAGCATCCCGGGCCTGAAGCTGATTCTGAAACAGACACAAGGTTTGATCAATGATCATATAATGAAAATTTTGACTAGCTAGTTCATCTCTACAGAAGAAACAGAATATGTTATTTACCAAGGAACTACAACTTCAATCAAATACAGAACGGGATTACACCAATTACCTCTCACCAGATCAATTTTCTGTGATGGGTCTGAAAGTTTTCTTCCCAGAACAAATCAGCAGACAGATTTCCTATGATGATCGCCTTTATTGTACATAGGAGCTGGGGAAAGAAGAGAAAGGGGAGGACTCAGCTGGTGGAAGACAATAGAATCATCCTGTGATGTCTGCATAATGGAACTCCAACCAGCTAACAGGTCAAACAACCAAGAAAGTATTGTAAAGGACAAAGGCATTGGTTCACTCATTCAACGGATGATTCACTCATAGTTGATGTTACTCTCGGCCGGCCATGCCGGCTACTACTACTGTGCTTGAACAAAGCCTAATGAATAATCCAAATTATAAAATGGACAAGTACCTTAAGACTTTGAGAAGTAATAAATCAACCCCTAAACTTTTAAATACGCACATCACTGATTTATAGTTGACAAAATGAAGAATACCAGATGACTTTGACGATTGAGGATCCAAGGATGCTGCTGAGTATCACCACATGGTGGTCCATCGATGGACTCAAGCTTCGGACTCTCAGAGAGGCTCACAGCCGTGTTTTTTCCCCCCCCTTACTCAAAGGCTTCACAATGTCGACTGTCGAGAACTTGTATCCACTCATTAGCAAGAGATTTAGATCAATATAATGCTAATGAGTTGAAACAAATTGCAGTTCCTGCAAGTCTGACATCAGTACCAAAGAACCTCTCTGGTTTTCTTGTTTTAACTCTGTATCTCTCAGTGAATGAACAGAAGAGAACAGAGAGAACTTGTTTCTAGAAAACCCAGCAATGGCGGCATTGGAGGAATTAGCTCGGTGGGTTATTGAATTTTCAAGTACCCACCACACATCATCGGATCAAGAGATTGTGTACCGGTCGGAAAATCTTATTTGATTGGATATATGATAGGAGGGATTTCGTTTAGGATCGAATTGGGAATAACTAATGCTGAAAAGGAACGAAGGAGAAAAGGAAAGGCGGGTAAAATCCGGCGACGGATCAGAAGAATATGCTTTAATACCAACACCCGGCAGCGCCGCCGTCGCCGGGAGAACGGGTGGGGAAACTAGGAAAACTCCCGCGAAAACCAGAAAAAATCAGAAACGGGAAAGTTTGATTTGATATGATGGATTTGGTCTTGGATCGAATCGATAATCAAGTAATTATGACGGCGTGGAGGAAAAAAGGAAAGGCCGGGGGAAATCCGGCGGCAGCAGGACGCAGAAGAAGGTGCTTTAACACCGCGACCGCTAACCGCCCCGGCGGCCGTATGAGGCAGAGAACGGCTGGGCAAAGCATGAAAAAACCCCCGCGAAAGCAGAAACGGGTATTCTGAAACGGAGAAACGCGAAACGTTTCTGGTTCTCAAAACCAAAATCGAAACGCGAGAAATTGACGAGAAATTGAAATTGAAATTGACGATATACGATATATTTATAAATATCGCGATATTTATAAATATCGCGATATTTACGCGATAAATTGTCCTCTGCCGATATTTTGAATCCGGCGGAAGAATCGACAGCCGTCGATGACTTAATAGCATTTTTGCCGGTCAGAATATCATAGGTCACCTCGGTGCTGTCCCGATAAAGAAGAAAAACGAAAAGGAACGACCATGTCTGCCACCGGAACCGCCATTTCTTCCTTGCAACTCCCATTTCTCTAACGCAGCAATGGCGATTCGCTGCCCAGATTTGATTTCTTCAAATCTTCCCATCACAACGACAAGGGTGTTCTTTATCTATCAGGTCCGTACTCCATTTCCCGCTTCATGTTTTGGTTCCCTGAAGAACAAAGGCACGAGCTTTCCCCTAACCAGTTGGAAAAGGAAAGGCTCTCTGACTCTGATTGTTTGCTGAGTAAAAGGTTTAACCTTTACTCGCTGTTCTTACTGTCATTTATGTTTGTTTATTTGGGTGAGCTGAATTTTGTCTGTGTTCAATGTTGACTACTTAGAAGAACCGGTTTAGGTTAACAGCTTGAATCGTTGAGACTGGTGTAGTATTTGAAGGATTAAACCTTAAAGAGTTGTAGAACAGAAAATTCTGCTGCTGTTGCTTAGAGTTTACACAAGAAACATACATGATTCAGTGGGGTATTCTGGATTCAGAAACAATGGCCTCTTGTAAGTAGTATATAACAACCAGTCAACCACTTCTCTTACTTTCTTTATTTCAGCAGGAAAATGAAAGTAGTAGAGTCCTTCCTTATAGTGCTATAGTATGTAGTATGTACACATGCCATTTCAAAACTCCTTGAAATTTTGGTCTTTTAGATGGCCACTACTACCTACACACAGCCTTCATTCGTTCGCGACCAACTCACCGCGTCGCTGCACTTCTTCCTTCACAAGAGGAATGTTAACACTGCTGCAGCTGCTACTCCGTGATTAGCAATGGAGTCTCCTTCATAACTGGTACTGGAAGCTGCAAGATGATGATCACAAAGTGACAGATTAGGGTGGGTTTTCGAGAATGAAAGGAATCACAAAATGCATGTCATCTAAAGGGTGCTGCTAATCAACCATATGACTGCTTCATGGAGCGTGCACAAACAAGCCAATACGGATTATAATGCCTAAATCGGAATCCTGATTCAGGGCACACACCTAATCCAGCACAAACTCAAGCATATACTGCTGAAGGAATTTGGGAACCAAATGCATTTCAGGAGGCTCAGCAGATCATCTGAAGGCACACATCGTATTTGCATTTTCAGATAATGATCGGTGATTTAAGATGCTACCTACCAAGATGAGGATCCGGCAAAAACAACAAGATCAGCAGACATTTCAGCTCCAATCATGAACTTGAATGATGTGAAGAAGTTTAATTTGGCAGTAAATACTCTAGACCTATGATCCTTGAGCTCGCTCGAGGTTAGACACCAGTCACCAATTCCCAAAACCCCCTAGACCAGAACCCCAATAACTCAATAGAGAATTGAGGGCAAATGAGGGGCTAATTGCACAACATATGGGGGAGGGCTGGATTCATCGTTCTAATATTTTCAATTTGCCAACCTTTTTTGGCTCCGAAATCACTTATAGATGTGGAGCTGATACAGGCAATACACCTTCTAAGAGGCAAGCATAGACAAAGTAAAGCCACATCCGCCTTAAACAAGAATGAGCATTCATCTTTCACCACATACGACCCATTGTCAAGAGCAAAAGATTCATAAAGCTAATCTTAGGCAACTGATTGATTCAGAGCACAACCCAGTAGAAAGAAGCAATTTTTAATCAAAAGAACAAAAGTCAGAACTTCAATACCTCAATCGCCCGCTTCCAGAACCCTTTACAGGGCGTGCCAGAGACCCCATCTCGGCAAGAATGCACGGTCTCGAACTGGTCAACGTCAAGCTTCTTGTTGATGAACCCGACGTGGAAGTAAATCGAATCCGCAGGCGGCAAATCCACCTCAATCTTGTCAACATCGAGCCACAGAAAGAGCTTCTGGACCTTAATCCCTTCCAAATTCGTGATCGACCCGTAGCTCAGCTTCCCAGTAATCTTCTCGGCGTAATAGACCAAGTAGTCGAACTGTATATAACAGGGCTTCGCCAAGGACACCGCGAAGTTGCCATCGTCGTCGAGCGTGTAGGAGACCACCGAATCGGGCAAAAGCCCGCTGGGGAGGCCGTACTTGGGCAGGATTTCGTAGACGGAAGGAAGAGGTGATGCTGGGTCCTCGGAGAGGGCCTGGATTGTTGAAACAGAAAGGGTAATGACCAAGAAAGAGAAAATGGCGCGACCCAGGTCAAAACGGGGGATTGAAGGCGCCATTGTTGGCGGAAGCTAGAAGCTTTCGATTGACAGAGAAACGCGAGGGCGAATCCAGAGAATAACAGGGGAGAGTGAAGAGATTAGAGCGGGGAGGAGAGTGGGTTGGTGGCGGAGTTCTTCTTCTTTCTAGAGGCTGCAATGGTTTTTACTTTTCTCCCAATCTTGGTCGGTAGCTTGGCGGTGTTGTCGAGCCAGGATTATTGCTAAAAAAAAAATACTCTTTCCTCGTTTTTACAGAGGGGAATTTTGAATTATCGTTAGTGATTTTTATCGTTAACAGCCGCGTTTTGTGGGCCTAGTACAAGAATTGCTGGGTTTATTTTTGGGCCGACCTGAGACTTTTGGGACCTTTTCAGCTCGTTAGACCTTGGCCTTTAGGGATGAACGTTTTACTTGTCCCGTACGAACTTTCACCTAACCAGTTCGGAAAGGAAAGGAAAGGAAAAGAAAAGGGCTCTCTGATTGTTTGCCGAGTAAAAGGTCTCTTACTGTCGATTTTGTTTGTCTATTTGGGCGAGCTGAATTATGTCTCGCAGTAGGCGATGGGTTAGGTGCTATGCTAATCCCTATATGGCGATGGGATTAGGCACTGCAATGGTGGTAGCTGTACTCTGTTCTGTACTGTAGCAGAGTGTGTTAAAGAAGAGGGACCTTAGTTGGATGAGTATTTATTAACACACCCACCAGCCGGGCAGAGACACTGTATTTCAAAGTGGCATTAAGACTTGGATTTCCCATTGATTAAATTATGAGATGACAAAAGACAATACAGTAATGGCGGTATGTCTGATTATGGTTAGGTAGGTGGCTCGGAGCTCAGAAGAAGAATGGGAAGCCCGTGATTAATCCCCACAATACACCCACCGCCGTGACAGCTACCCACCCGCGCTGCTGCTTCTTCCTTGCCTGATCTCCTCCGTCATTACTCTTTTGATTCGCATTACCACCGCCGCCGACGACAGTTGCTCTGCCCCCGCTCGCCGCCGATGCTGCCCGACCACCGTGTAGTTTGCATTAATAACCAAAAAGAACCCATTTTTATGGTACAGAACAATAAAGGGTACGTACCAGCAGCAGAAGGGGCGGCGGCGGTAGTAGTACTGCTGCTGTTTGCTCCTTTACCGATGATTTCATCCAGTCCGTCGAACTTCTTCGCCTCCGTCGAATTGGGCTTCAGTTGAAGCAGACCTGCAGTTGAGTAGGACCACGCAATGCCGTAATTAACCAAACGAATTACTGAAAAGGAGAATCGATTTCGAGGGGAAATCTTTACTTACTGACGCAATCGGAGACGTTGACGGGAGATTTACAGGAACCTGGGAGGTTAGCGGCGAGGGAGATGTTGATTTTGACCCCCAAGTCTTCGTCGCGGTCTTTGATCAGCAAGCAGAGGCACTTCCTGCTCTTGTCCAGCACTTGCTTCAGTCCCGAGCAGCAGTCCAGCGTCGGAGCTTTGGATTCCCCGCCGACGTACGGCAGGCAGGGGGCCAGTCCGACCAGCTTGGGGGCGCACTCTGTTTTTTCTTGCTCCAGGTCCGACTCCGCCGTGCCGGCCAACAGCGCCGCCGCCGCGAACAGAAGCAACAGCCGTCGCAGCCGCGATGGATCCATGTTTGGTTTTGTTGAGGGAAAAGGGATCGGGTGTGGAGGAGAAGAGGGGAGACGCAGGGTTGATTTATACGAGTTGCGAATTGTGATGAGGCAAAGATGTAAACCACAAAAGAAGGAGGTGGGGTGACTAGTGAGTTAGTGAGTAACAATTGACAAGTGAGAGTGTAGTAAAAAAAAAAAAAAACTGAGATTTATCAACTAGGTAATTGTTCAAGTTAATTTATGCAAACTAACAAAATTGTTAACATGGGAATTCCGAATATAAGACAATTTTACTTGTATGAAATCATAACAACAATCGAGATTCACTTCAATTTTTATAGTAATGGTCGATATTGAAGATAATATAATGTATCTTAAGTTTTTCTTCTTGTTTTAGTATATTAAAAATAAGTTACATAAATTTCTTATCTATGAAATTCTTGTCAATCCTTAATGGCTCTATATTGATTGTTATACATGTATCTGCATTATTAAACTTTTATTGTTGATTGTAATACATATAAAGCATATCCACACCGCCGCATCGCATTACATATGTTCCTTCCTTGACTAGAATGTACAAATGCATCAATCACAGAACTAGACGTATACTACTTTTAGAAACAAAATAAACGAACAAAAAAAGCACAATCTATACAACTCGAACAAGAATCCTACATCTTGTAGAGATCAAGAATCGTCAATTCACTATGATACAAACTCAAATCCCATCCATTACATTTGAAGGTGACTTCTTTTTTTATGGTTTTTGTTGATGCCATTGAGATTTGAGGTAGGGGAAGAGCATGGATCTTGACTTATAACATCATCCATGGAATCTTGTGTTCAATTTGGGAATGGAGGAGAAAATGAAAGATGAGGGTTTTTTTTTCATACGATTGAGATTTGAGATAAGGAATGGGGAAGATGGGAAGGGTGAAAAGAGGATGGGGACAATGGACTGACATATGTCGACGAGTTATTACACGAATTGAATGAAGGTGTCCCTCCTACTCAAGAAATGAACATGCTCTCATTTGCATTATTCAAGGGGAACATTTACTTACACTCATTTTAATCGTGGGGAGACTTGTCATTGATTAGGGTTTGATGTATTTGGTTACAACAACAAAGTAGGGATGGACAGATGGTACTCATAAGTTATTGGGATAGGGATGGCTGGAGAGGTTTAGGGTGGGTTTGGTTAAATCATTTCCATTTTGAAATATTCAAAATTTTATCCGCCACATATTTATGTAGGGAAAGATTTTGCAAATCTATTTTTATACTCATGGTTTTCGGGTACCGTGGATTATACTCGCCCTGACATCCAATATTATTCCACCTAAAAATTTACATGTAAATCTGCAAAATCCTCTTTTGCCATTTTTGTATGGAATGGAATGATACTCATATTAGAGATGACAACGAGTTTGGGTGAAACTGACTTTACTACATCGAATTATAGTTTGAAAATCATAACAATCTTCATAACCAAAAGTAGGCGGAGATGTTGTATAACATGCCAAGAATATGTATGTATGCGGTTCGAGGAAAACTCACCATCTCATCTTCAGATAATCGTATCTATATTTCTTAATATAATGTAAATTATTTATTGGAATGTCGATGATAATTGATTTTTAGGGATATTATTTGTAAATTATAATACCCGAGAGATATAAATGATCGAATTGTTGAAGCAAGTGAGTTTAGAACATAATTTTAGGCTTTTAGCATATAATTGGATGGATAATATCATTATTATGTACCCGAAAGAAAATAATTGATGATTAAATGATATGTTGAATCTTTCAATATTTGTCCTGCTCAATAATGAACAGTACACACTTTTTAGTCCAACTTCAATCTAATTGCACCTTAAAAAATCAATCTAATTGTGGAAGACTTGTCATTGATTGGATTTGATGTGTTTGGTTGCAAGATCAAATTAGGGATGGATAGATGGTACTCAAAGTGAGCAACATTTGTTTCACATATAATTGATTAATCAAAGTTAGTAGCTGCCTCTAGCTGGATCTTCCAGGATATTGATCAAACAGGTAGGATCACTGGATCAGCAGCAGACGGCTGGCACAAAATGCAGACATCAAAGGCCCAAACCTCACACTGGACAAACTAAAGGAAAAAGAAAGAGGCTCAAATTTCTTTTTTGGGCCCATAACATAAGGCCCACCCAATAATAGTTCCCGCCCCGAGCCAACTCAGAGACCCGCCAGCCGGGCAAGCCTTTCATCTTCGCATAGACAGTCGCGAAGTGACGGAAAAGCACAGACGAGAATCAATCAGGTCCTCGTGCTTCAAAATCCGCTTCCGCCATTGCTGTCCGAAACTAAACCCTAACTTCCTCCATCTCCACCTGTCAGTGAATACTATCCCCCGCCACCGGTGAGCGCAATTTCCTGCTTGTCGTTGTTAGCTATTCGGCTCCTGTAAAAATTGACCGCCTTCTACTGCGTTCGAGTGTTTTCGATATTTATACGCTCTTTTGGATACATTCAAATACCGTTTCAGTTGCTTCTACGAGCTCTTCTTGTTGAGGAAGATGGGTACAAAAGTTGAGCCCGCATCGAGTTTGGAACTCCGTAATGACAAACCATCTACGAGCTCGTCTGTTCCGTCAACAGGCGCGCCAAAGGTCTCCATTTTCGCGTCCAAGTCTGGCTTCGTAATCCCCAAAAACAAGCTCTCTGGTTCTCTGGTTCCAATATTTCGAGGAGGTAAGAAGGTTGGTAGCAATGATGCAGCAGCAGCCGGTCAAGAAAGCGATGGTGATCCCCAGAGGAAGACGAAGTGGGGACCCGATTTAGCACAGGATGCTGCTGTGAAAAAGGGGAGGGTTTTAGCTTACCAGGTATGCGGAGGATTGATGCCACTGGCCATCTGGAACTGTGGTTACCAGTGACTGTGCTTCATTTCTGTTCATAGGGGTTTTTGTTTGCTTCTCTTCGCCTTTTTTCTTTGAGCATTTCAATCTTAAGCTAGATTTAGCCGTATCAAACTTGAATGGTCTGAGGAATTGGGGTTAAAAGGCCCTTGTCCCATTGCGTGCTGAAATGCCATGTAAGCTTCCCGTTCCAGGTGCCATTAAGTGATCTGCAAATTTTGGGCAGACTCGAGTGGATCAAATCGCACAACAGCTGAGTCAGGGGAATCTCGATCTAGGTGAATATGAGGACTCAGAAGCGTCTGTTGGACGTGCAGATTTGAAGCCTTCCAAATCACTAGTTGAGACTAAGGTGCAGTTAGGCGAATCTAGTATATCTCAGTGGTCTTAACAGTAATCGTAGTCTTTCGTCGACTTAAATGTTCAATTTTTTTATGTAGGGAAGTTTGGAACTTGAGAAGCGCGAAGTCATAGGTATGTAACTGCTTCTCACTTCCGAGCAAGAGCATGAATTTCTGTTTGTTTTCTTTTAATGTTTGTTTTTCTTATTTTGGTAGGCGAAATTCTCAAATTGAATCCAAGTTATAAGGCTCCACCTGATTACAAGCCTTTGCTTAAAGAAGCTGCAGTTGTTATCCCTGTATGTTGGATTTTCTTCTCTCGTTATATCTCCTAGTTATGAGTCCACTCAATAAACAAGGGAAATTAGTAGTTTCTGGCTGCTGCCTGTTGGTTGGACAGTGAGATTGCCCATTTAGTTCTCCTTGGTCTAATGGTGAATCTTATGCTAGGTTGTCGTGAGTAACATTGTTGATATGTATGCTATTTATGGAAGTTATTGTATATATGTAGATGACGTAAGAATCGATGGAGGAACGATTACTATTGATGTCCCCGTGAACATGAAGTAGATAAGTTTGGGTTCCATGTTGTGCTAGTTGCTAGAAATCATAGGCATCATTTCGGAATTGACAAATGTTGAAGTAATCGTGATTCACCTCATGAATCGATAAATCATTGTCAAAAGCATAAGTGCTTGTTGTAGCATTTTGCACTTATATATCACTTACCTCACGCCTCTAGCCATTGCTTGTAACAGGTGAAAGATCATCCTGAACACAATTTTGTTGATCTGATATGTGGCCCTGGAAATCAGACTCAGAAGCGATTGGAGAAGGTAAATCTTAGCTTATTCTACCCTTTTAATATGGGAAATCAGCTTAAATTGGGGTCTATGGATAGGAAGGTTTCTCTCTGTTGGTTGTTGCGGTTGAGATGTGTTTGAGTTGTGGCTTGTTGATGTGCATCTTTCTGATCAGGAAACTGGGGTAAAACTGCAATTATATGGGATTGAATCTGGCAGCACGGAGAAGGTAACATTTGTGTTTTTAAGCTGCATTTTGCTGGAATGCATCCCCTTAACCATGACTTATTATTGGAAGCTGCTTGCTAATTGTGTATACACATGTCCACAATCCTTGTGTTTTAGTCAACTCATGGTCTCTCTCTTGTTTCTGTAGGTTGAAGTTTCAGCTGCAGGTGCAAATCAAACCCATACTACTTACGACGAGTTGACCGTGCTGGTATCTGCTGACACATTCGAGAAAGTGGATTCAGCAGTCTCTGTTATCGAATTACTAGTCTCCTCAGTACCGGTAAGTTCACCCAAACACTTTTACCTCCCATCTTGATTTCCATAATAAATGACTGATACATGTTGGAGTGGAAATATACTTGATACGCAGGGAAATCAAGTGGCGGTTGATAACACAGCAGATAATCAGACTCCGACTCCTGCTTCCTCCGACGTTGCGAAACAGGAAGCTGCACAGGTGGCAGTAGGGGATGCTCTCCAAGGTGGTGAATTTCGACATCAGCAAGAACCGTGGATGCCACAAGCCATTTCTCTTGGTCCTATATATCCATCACCAATGCCTAACAATCCTCGAGATCCCAACTTGCCTCCTCTCTTCAATACATCCCCACTGCAGTCACATTTAGGAGGGCAACCTCCATCATTTCCACCATCTATGTTTAATTCAGTCCCTCCTCAACCTCTTCCAACTGGGCATCATCCTCGGTCGAACCCTTACCCACCCAGAAATTTTCCAACACCAGCCTCCCAACCTTTTCCAGCAATGGCCCCTTCTCAGGGACAAATGATGATGCCCCGTCCAAATTTTGCATCTCCTCTTACATCTCCCAATATATCTGGAACGGATTTAGCTTTTACAGGAAACAACATTCAATCCAGGCCGCAGCCGCCAGTTCATCAGTTTCCCGGTGTTCGAATGAGTAGTCATTCTTCTGCCACACAAAATGACTTTCAACCACCTCAACTGCCCAGGCCAAATGTCAGTCTTGCACATTTTCCTGGACCTCCGCCTGCTCCACCTAGAGGAAACGCACATCCAGCAGTCGGTCCTTTTCCTGGTACAACAACGAATTTTTATCCACCCATGGGCAGGCATCCGTCTGTAGCATCAACAACTCCACAACAGCAGCATTCTGTTCATGCTGACTTCCATTTTCAAATGCATCATCAACTAAATACACATCCTCAAGCGAATAGGCCAATGATGCAGCCAAATTTGGCTCTTCATCCTGGGGCTCACATGTTCCAGAGGCCACCTCAGATGGGAGGACAGATGGGACTGGATCGGCCTGATGTTGCCGCCTTTGCTGGATCTTCTTCATTTCAACCTCGGCTTCCACAGATGATGTCAAGGGACTTGGGGCCAATGAGGTCAGCAAATCAAATGCAACTTCACCAGCAAGCTTATCGGCCAGTTCAAATGACTATGCCTCGAGAGGTTATGGGTCCGAATCATCAACTGCTTGGTTCAAGAAATCTGCCTTTCGGGTCTTCTAGGCCGGTCGCTGGGCAGCAAGTCTATGACCCATTCTCCCCCTCTGCTGCTTCTCAGCAGCCAGGAATGGGAAGAAGAGCAGATAACAATGATCCCGAATATGAAGATTTGATGGCTTCCGTGGGTTTGAAGTAAAGCTTTAACAAGTGTTCTGTCGCTGTTGAACTCTTACTGTGAAGGAATAGTCATTTGTAATGTTTTTGCCTTGAAACCTTCACCTTTGGCATTCGCTGCTGATTCTGAACTTCGAATCGCAGAGTTGTTGCATCTGATTCCATGCACTATATTTGAATTGATCTTTTAACCAAGAGTTTTATGGTTCGTCTTAAGAGTATAATTTTCGCATATTGAAAGCACCTATAAATATTTGATGTTGGAAGGAGACTACTACTCTACTACAATTTATTTGTTAGGTCGAATATCAATCATTTGTGCGCAGAACTCTGCCTATTTGTAAGTAGCTAGAGTTATTTAGCATTCAACAAGAAATTGGAAACTAGCACAAGTATTCACATCAATCTATTAAGTTCCCTGGACTGCTTAAGCTCAATTAACAAGATCCACCTCAGCCCCTGTAGCGTACAGTCAAGTCATCAGTAGAAACGATCGGCATGGCAAAGTAAATGTTGTTTTCATGTACACAGGGAGAAAGTTTGGCTACATTCAGAAAACTTTGAGGCGTTTTCAGACAGAAGGCCCCGATCTAAGCACCCTTTCGAGCTTCTCAGCCTTCAGATAGTCCTTCTCAGTCAAAGACCCAGCGGGGAAAGGAGTGATCTCTACAATCAGGTGAGGGGTTGGCAGTTCGTCGAAGAGAGCCCTTACGTTGTTACAGCACACACTCTCACCATGTGCACTCTCCCTCCTAATCTGGCATCCCTGTAAATTTAGAGAAGAAATTGTGACTCTCAAGCAGATTAGACAGGAGAATTCTAGGGGTTGTCGTCATCTTACCTTGTGGGAAGTGGCGTCTGTGAAGTGATCATCCTCGGATAATAAAGCTGCAACAGATTTTAGGAGACGCCTTCCTTCAGATTTTGAAGGCACCCTGTAGTTCCTCCTGAGTGTGCCTTTGGTGGTTGGATGCCATTTGCTCACTAGCTTCCTTTTGTCAGATGCTTCTTTATCTGCTCAAGAACACCACACTATTGGTCCACCATATAAACACGCTGACGCTCGTCATTTTCAAGACAACAACCACAAAGCAAAATTTGATGAATTCCTAAATGAGAAGGTACATTAATCTGGAGTTTATCTTCTTGTTCCCAACACATAACTAGCCTAACTGATTGTTGAACATCTCACAGATCATAGAACAATGGTTTGACATGTGCTACAAACTAAAGACATTCTCCAAACAAGCTTACATGCGAACAATGTGAAGTGCTGCTGCAGAATAAAGTATTTTCAAAATGGGAAAACATGCTCGATAAGGCATGAGCTGTCTTTTTTATGCAATTGATTAGACGATTACCATTGAACAGAATGAAATTCCTATCTGAGAATAATAAACCACAAAGCTGCAATATACTTGGATAAAATTATGCATAACATTTCATTCTCAGACTCATAATTCCAGAAAAAGCATCACTTCCTTAGAAGATACAGTCAGTTAACACATTCCTTTTAGCTACTGAAGTACTACTCTACTCATAATGCGAGTCAAGGGTTGCAACTAAGTTCCAGTCATTAACCATCCAGCTGTACAAGAAAAGCAAGCATAATCATGAAAGCCATTGAAATACGTCAAGCACATTACTGCAAATGGGATCGCTGCACCAAAAAGGCAAGTTCTTCCCTTTGCTACCAGTCATTTGGTTCAATATTTGGCCTCAAAACCCAAATGTTCTGTGCAGTAGATTGACATCAACAGCTGACTAAAAACGAATTGACACTCCTAGTGTCTACAAAGAATCGCCAAATGTGTAACCTTTTGCTTCGATAACTCCAGAATTCCCACCTTCCATTTTCCAACAATATGAAGGGAATGAAAATGAAAACCCCAACTAACCTGGGTTGCCTTGAATTGACTCAATCCACTTTGAGAACCCCAAATCACCAGCTTCAGAAATACCAGCTCCGCTCCCGCCGCCGCCGCTCTCCTCCACACCATCTAACTCTAGACAAATTAAATTGAAACCCATTGATCTATGTCCCAATCTCAAACTAAGACAACCTAAAGCAACAAAAGGGAAAATAATATAAACCCTCGATTGTATTTGTACCTGAGACAAGTGGGTTAGCCTTGGATCCAGCTAAACCGATCTTCAAGAGCGCATAGAATACGCAAACCCTGCCAGCCCACAGAACAGGGGACTCGAGCAGAGAAGCTTGGATAAAAGCATTGGCTGCTGTGAAGCTCCGAGCTCTTGTGGACGATGATCGGCTGCTGACATGGAGCAATTTCTTCAGGGCATGGTCGGGATCGAAACCGGGAAACAGCGATTTCTGAAGCAGGGGAGACGAAGAAGAAGTGGGATTCGCGAGTGTTTGGAAGATGGAAGCGTGGGTTTTGGGTTGGAAAGTCGATGACGATGATGAAGAGCAGAGGGATTGGACGAGTGAGAGGAGCATTGCTTTGACGATAGATGGATCGAATCGAGAGTGAAATGAAATGAGCTCTGACAGAGTGTGGCAGATAGTGCGATGACTGATGAATGGATAATGATCTTTCGGGCTCGCTCCAGCGCCTCTACGGCGTCGTTTCCTGTGGCATTATTTGTCAATTTGTTCTGTCGAAAAATTTGATATCTAACTAAAAAAGAAAAAAAAAATTGACATCTAATTGCTAGTTAAAGCAATTTGTTTTAATTTGTCGAAGAATTTATGCTTGGGATTTTGCTCCAAATCGTTGTATTGAGCATTCTTATCTCAATTAACCTTATGTTTTACTCGAATAATTAAATAACTTAGAGCCAAAGTCATTTACAATCTTATCATTCAGTTTGTTAATATACACCTACCATGGGACCATTTCAGACTCCATTTAGTTTGTGGAATTTGATTACATATATGCAGTGGCGTAGCTAGACTTTGAATTGATTGGGGTCTTTAAAAATTTTAAAACGTTATAGTATGTGTGTCTAATATACATTGAGTTAATTGGTGTCCTTAGATGAGCTAACATCAACAAAAATATATGATCCTAAATACAAAAGATCATACTAAACCTTACGTATCTAAAGGATTTTGTTGTCCTGTTTTTTCCCAAGTGGGGTCCTAGGACCCCTCTCCTCTACATGTGATGTCTCTACTTGTTAAAGTCATGACTACATCAAAATAGTCAAGTTTTTATTTCCTACCCAATTCACCCTCATAAATAAATTATAATAATATATATGAGCTAACGAACAAGAGCTTGGTCTAATAGTACCACTAGTTTAGAACCTATAGGTCTCAGGTTAAAATCGCTTAAATAGTACCTTAATAAAAAAGAAACTTATATCACACTTATAAAAAAAATATGAAAGCGACAATGTAACACATAAATATATACCAAAACGATAAACAGTATTATAAACTCATACAATTTTGCAACCTATTCCTTCCATGCTATCCATGAATTGTCCTAATTAAGCAATGACTTTTTTCCTAAGCAAGGATTGAAATAGCATACGCGCATCATCAGTTTTTTTATTCCAACCTACACGATTGATATTTTACTTTACACAATATTTTGAATTCCAGGTGCAACATTGATTAAGTTTGTTAATAAAATGATTTTCCCCCCTTGGAACTTGGAAGTCGGTGAAGTATAATTAGTGTCCTATCCCAACTCCTAATCTCTACTTAACCTTTTACCTCCCCTCGGTTGTATAAATATAGCTACGTACTAGGGCTTCAGTGTTGGGTCGATGATCTCGACCGCCGCCGTCTATATAAGCCATCTCCCAGATGCCAAACTCAAAGCGGAAAACCCTCGCCGGCGGCCAATGCTCCGCCGAGATCCCAGAGGATCTCATAATGAGTGAGATCTTGCTAAAGATTACCGACGGCCCGTTCATGGGTCGATGCCGTTGCGTCTGCAGGTCATGGCGCAATTACCTCTCCGGCCCCTCTTTGATTCGGCGCAAGCTCCAACCACCCCGTTCTTCTCATGATCAAACTCTGATTATCAGCTCCGGCGACAATAAGAACCACGGCGATTTTTCCCGTTGGTACTCTCCCGACACAATGGAGCCCCTCCTTCCTAACCATTCCTCCACATTAATATTGGACGACGATGACCTTCTTAAATACACAACAAGATTTGCAGGCTGCTGTAATGGCTTGTTTTGTTTAAAACTCATCCCCTCTGCCGCCGCCGGCGACCAAGCCGCCATCCGTCTGGTAATTTGGAACCCGGCCACCTCCGAGACCAAGGTTCTGCCTCCTCCTCCTTCCTCTCTCCGTCATAACACAGTGAACAATCAGGTCGGGCTTGGTTTCGATCGAGAAACGAATGACTACAAAGTGTTGAGCCAGTTTTACGATGATCCCGGAGATTTTGTCATGCCGCCTCTATGTTGTCGGACGGAGGTTTATAGTTTAAGGAAAGATACGTGGAAGAGTTTACAAGGGCTTTACCAGAGACTTACGGATGGGCATGTTCCCACGTTTCACAAGGGGAAATTATTGTACTGGCACTATTTCCCCGGCGGCGCCGGAAAGAAGTTGGTATTCTATACGGTTGACATTAGCAGTGAAGCTTTCGAGATAGTCGAGGTGTCGTTTCCCATGGTCCGCGGCGGTGACCGGAAGTTGAGTTGGTGTTATGGAAGTTCGTTCGGCGAGGAGGAATCCATGGTAACTCTTTTTCAGGTCTACGATCGTGATTCCCAAACCGTATGTTGGGAGATGTGGATGCTCTTGAGATGTTGGGAGCCGGAATCTTGGGTCAAGTTATTTGTCGTTCCAATATTGTTTCCTGGAATGTGGATACTTAAATTCGGCGGAATATCGATGAATCTCAAGTGTATTTTCTTCGGGCGGATTTACACCCATTCTAGATATGCCACTTTCGTTTATGGTCTTGACACGGGACATCTCAACGTCTTCGAAACTGGTAAAAAGTATCCACTTCACGTCGTAGATTATGCACCTTCTCAGATTTCTCTTAAGGGACATTACTGATGATGATACGGTCTTTCTTGATGTCATATGTATTCTTTTCTCTCAGTTCAGAATTATTAATTATATTCGTGGGTGAAGCAAGGAGAACGATTAGGGTTGATTGTGTTTTTCGCTATTAGCATTCTTCTTCTAACACCGACTTGCTTCCAAGTTCTAAACCGGCCTTGACAATCATTAGTTGCATTATGTTGAACAAGTAATCATAGCAGTGAGGTTTTTCGCAAGCGTTGATTTGTCTTGTCCAGTTGCTAACGAGTGGAATACTAATATTTCTGAATGTTTGCTCAACGGGGAATCCATGGCGACTCTTCTCTCGTGCTATGAAGCTAACACCGAAAATTGGAGTCAAGAAATATGAATGTTAGATCGAATATTGTTGCCAATTGTACGAGGATGGTTAGGGTTGATTGTATTTCCGCCATTTGCACTCCTCTACTCCTTATATACACCGACTTCCTTCCAAGTTCCGAGCTGTCTTTGAAACCGTTGGTCGCATTGCGTCTAAACTCATTTCTTGTGAAGTTACTCATCGTCCTTAACAATTTACGCCGAAGAAATAATCATAAACATTATTAGCAGTTATTCAACAGAAAATTAAAGTTAGTTGCAGGCTCTATTCTCAGAAAGAGGTTGTTAGCAGCCTTTGTCATGTCCGAGTTGTTAATATAAATCTACGCTGTAACATCTTGCTGTTAGTAAACGGTATATAATCCACGATTGAAACTCTCCCAACAGCTCGAGTTATTGGGATCAACTGGTTCTTGACAGTTAATTGTATATAAGATTGGACTAAAATTTTGACAAAAAATATTAGCTTAATGATACACATCTATCGCAAAGTCGACAAACGAGATTGTGATATGAGATGGACAAGTTCATGTTTCGTCTATAAACTATGTCATTCACGATATACAATGTATAGCGACAAAAGTAGGGTAGTAAAAAAAAAAGCCTCAATATTGTGAGTTTAGATCTCCTAATTAATGGCAATTGGCAAGTGGGATATATTGATGTAATGGTAAATACCCTCTTTAACTATTCTTAATCCAAGTCGCTAAGCAACTAACTAATCAATTAATTGATTTCTTAATCACCTTTCAATATTGTCACGATCGAATTATCCCCCAACTACTCTTTCTCCATTTGAATGAAGCTCTTCGGGCCATTATGTGATTCAACATCTTCACTATTATCTTCCATCAACTCCCCCTTCGATCGTTCTCAATTTCTTGGCCGTAAAGTCTCTGCAGCACCAAGTAGAACCCCCACAGGCCACAACGAAACTGCAACAACGATCAGAAGCCAGCTGAACTGGATGTTCACGAGTCGTCGATGAAGCAACCCTTTGCCACGAGGGAAGGCGTACGTTCAGAGTGCGTGGCGCATGAGGGAGGGACCTCAACCAAGTCCTTTATTTTTTGGTTTCAACAAGAACGTACAACCTCTTTATCTTGGGCAGTAGACGTTCAGTTCTAATGTGAATCGCCAAATTGTTGCTGGCGGAGGGAGGTTTTGGAGGCGGGTATTCTATTATGGTCTCCATCTCTCTCCTCTGAAGTTTCAACAGTCTGTCCGCTGAAAAATTCATGGGGAATAATAACAGGGGAGAAGTGACGACTGATTCAAAAATCTGGCGTTGGTGAACGGGCTTCAGTTTCACCAAGGCCCAAGAAGCTACTTTATTTGATTGAATGGGCAAGGGAGAAGATAAAACGCCAACGTTTCGAAGGGAGGTAGGCATACGATCAGGGAAAAATGGGCTTCCATCTGACAAAGGGCTGGAAAAGCTATTTAATCAAAAGCCCAAATTGTTGAGAATCTGTTTGCGTTTCAAGAAGGAGGCAGGCCTACAACCAGCGAAAATAAAAAAATCCTTACAAAATGAAGAAACGGGTTTCAGTCCGAAACGCGAAAAGGACGGAAAAGCATCTTCTTTATTTAATTGAAGGCCCAAAAGGAAGAACAACCGGCATCGTTTTGGAAGGGACGTGGGAGTAAGGCCGGGCTAAATTGGGCTTCCGTTTGACAAAGGCCCAAACAAGCTTGTGTTCCATTTTATCAAAGGCCCAAAGAACCGGAAATGTGTCAGCGTTTCGGGAGCGAGTTAGGCCTGCGTCCGAAGAAACCTGATAACCTCCGAGAATGAAGAAACGTCGGTCAGAAACGGACGAAATGCGAAACGTTTCTTGATCTCAAAACCAAAATCGAAACGCGATAAATTGACGAGAAATTGAAATTGACGAGATATCGCGATACATCTATATATCGCGATAATTTTACGTTTTATTGACTTTTTGCGATATATTGACCCGTTGCTGAGCTTGCCGCTCTGAGTAGCAGAAAAACCGACGGGAAAACCAGAGATACACAGAACGATCGCATCAAAAATAGGGGGAAACAACACAGCAACGATTCTGTTCATGAACTGCGCCAAGATCCCGGCATCCAATTGTGATTGCGTTTCCTGAATGGATTCTTTATATCGTGAACTTGGGAGATTCAACAACTCTGGCTGCCGCCGTAAGCGGAGAAGAAAGCACTACTTCGGCGGGAGGAAGCGGCGCGCCGGCAGTCAAAGCGGCGAGGAAGCGGGTTTCTGTGGGGTGAAATTGAAAAAAAAAAAAATTCCCAAACATCTACTTCCTGACCGGGCCGCTGTGTAGCTGCCGTCATCTCTTCCTCTGCATCTCGCCGGCCTTTTTGTATCTCTCCGGTGGGCTGGTCTGGCAGTCGGGCAATCTTTTCAGTAGTTGATGAAATATCCAAACTAATTAAGAGACCTAAGTGTTGAGTTATGTATCTATGTATGTATTAGGCCCATTTGTACGTAATTGGTGGACTGCCTACTAGGGTTTCAGCGTTGGGCCGATGATCTCGATCGCCGCCTTATATATAGGCCATCTCCCAAACAAGAAGGAAACAAAAGAAAAAGATGCCAAACTCAAAGCGAAAAACCCTAGCCGGCGATCTCCCGGAGGAGCTTATCATGAGCGACATCTTGCTAAAGATTACTAATGGCGCGTGCATGGGTCGATGTCGCTGCGTCTGCCGATCATGGCGCCATCACCTCTCGGGCCCCTCTTTGATTCGGCACAAGCTCCAACCGTCCCATCCTTCTTCTTCTTCTGATGACGATGGTTGTCAAAGTGTGATTATCAGCTCCGACAAGATCTACGATGATGTTCACCGCTGGTACTCTCCGGACACAATGGAGCCCGTCCTTGCCAACTATTCCGCCACGTTGGGCGACCTTGGCCAGGATGTTAAATACACTATCGTTGCAGGATACTGTAACGGGCTGTTTTGTTTAAAACTCATCTCCGCCGACGACCTAATCATCCGTCTGATTCTCTGGAATCCGGCCACCTCCGAGACCAAGGTTCTGCCTCCTCCTTCCTCTCTCGGCCCTGACGACATAGTCAATCTGCAGGTTGGGTTTGGTTTCGATCCAAAATCGAACGACTACAAAGTGTTCGCCCAGTTTTACCATCCCGACGATGATTATGACAACGTGGGATCTCTATGTTACCGGACCGAGGTATATAGTTTAAGGAAAAATTCGTGGAATGGTCTAGAAGGCTATGCACCGAGGCTTCCGCACAATGGGGAGATTCTCACGTGTGATAATAATAATAAGGGGAAATTGTATTGGCTGGGGTTTGGCGGAAAGAGTTTGCTACTCCATACGGTCGACACTGGCAGCGAAGCTTTTGGAAGAGTTCACGTGCGTTTTCCCGCGGTCGCCGATGATTATTGGGAGCTGGGTTTCTGTTCCGGATGTTTATTCGGCGAGGAGGAATCCACCAGCATGATGGCTCTTTTGCGGCTCTACAATCGTGATCACGTGTGTTGGGAGATATGGATGCTCTTGCGATTTCGGGTACAGGAATCTTGGGTCAAGTTGTTTGTCGTTCAACAGCCTCCTGCAACGTCGTTGGGTAGAGCCGTCGGAATATCGAAGAATCTGAGATCGTGCGTTTTCTCTGGGTGTATTTACAACCCTTTTAGATGCGCCACCTTCGTTTTCGACCTCGACACCGGGGATCTGAACGTCTTCGAAACCGGCCATGCGCATCATGTCGTAAATTATACACCTTCTCGAATTTCTTTCAAGGAATATTAATTAGTACTGATACGGTCTTTCTTGATGTTATAATGTGTACTCTTTTCTAGCTTTTCTCATTGTCCGGAATTATTAATTATATATTCATGGGTGAAGCAAGGAGCCTATGGTTAGGGTTGATATATAGCATTGTAATCACATAAGAAAACAATTGCATTAATTAATATGGGTTATCTCTGGTTGTGCTAATAATTTGTTTTCGCAATTGATATAAACTACACTAGTACTAGTACTATAATTAGAGAAAGACGAAAACTCACAAAGAAATCCAACCAACTCCAACTCAATGACTTGAAATTAAGACGGCTCTACTACTACTATATATGATATCACACAGAGTAAATTTTGTATCGAGTGCGATCGTCGTCACCATCGACAGGTTGAATTATACTTGTCAACTTCATTTATCTATTCTCCTGACGAATTCATTGTCGGCGGAGATTCAAAGACTGCATGCGCCGGCGGCCGGCCGCCTACGTTATCTATCAGGTGGACTCGTACAGTTGGGTTTCCATTCCAGAACCGTCTATCAGAAAGAGAACAAGTTGGAAAATGCACGGAAGAAAGAAAGAAAGAAAGAATGAAAGTTTCTCAAGATTGAAATTTCAGGTTGATGTCAAATTCCAAGTTGGAGAGGATTAATACGCAAGTACGGCCGTATATTTTGAGTCCAAGGCAAGATGATGACTACTGAAGCGGATAGCAAGGAATTAGAAGCTTCCTCCATTTTCACGGTTTCCCATCCTAAAATTAAATTAAATTAAATTAAATTAAACACCCAATTTCTTTTCATATAGGGTCATTCATTGTTCCAAATAAGCAAAACATTCATATTGAGTACTTAATTGATTAAAAACTTGTATAGCTGACCACCCTCTCCACTCCCACCAACCAATCAAAGATGTACACACACCACCACTACCTAACTAAAAATACCCTCTTTTCTTTAACTTTTTCTTAATCCAATTTCATAATTAACTAATTTATTAATTGCCTTTCTTAATTAATAATCACCTTTCAACATTGTCACGAATTATCTTCCCCCAACTACTGATCTTCCCCATTTGAATGAAGCTCTTCATCGTGACGTCATTCTCCTGCGATTCAACATCTTCACTATCTTCCACCAACTCATCCCCTTTCATCGTCAATGAAGTGTACTCAATTGCTTGGGCGTAAAGTCTGTGCAACACCAAGTAGAACCCCACAACGAAAGCCGCCACAACAATCAGGAGCCAGCTGAACTGAATATTCACAAGAGATTTCGCCCTGTGGAGAGCGTCTTCTCCGCCGCACCTCACCACCTTGTGCCCTTCCTCCTCGTTGATGAAGCAACCCTTCGCCACGAAGGAAGGCGTCCACAATGCATACCCCATCACCACCATCCAAACACCCTATACACATGATTCCAAGAATCAGCGTATTATCGCGCGTCATAAACCAACTGGTTCCAATATTAACAGCGATCAAAATCCTCGATTCGTACGTACCTGGAAGAAAACGCTGGTGGACCTGACAAAGCTGACCATGAAGCTCCTAGGTAGGCCGATCCCCATGAGTGTCGTCACCAAGGAGACGGCGATGGCGGACTGGAGAAGCAGATGGTACTGCCCTTCCACGCCCACGTGGTCGGAGGAATGGAGGCGGAACATGAGGAGCTGCTGCCCGAACGCCACCGCGCCAAGCAACTGGGTCAGGCCGTGCTGGGCCTTGGGCCCGGCCCAGTCGAGGACGATGGAAAGGGCCGCGTAGCTGAAGAAGGCCGCGGAGATGGAAGCGTGCTCGAAGTTGTGGAGGTGGTTGGAAGGGATGGTGCCGTCCGGGTCCAAAGGCTGGTGCCTCTCGGGCCCGATGAAGAGCTCCATGGCCACGGAGGTGGAGCTCGCGGCCACGACGAGGTAGAGCTCCACGTACTTGAGCTTTGAGGTTGGAAACCATGGGTGGGCGAAGTAGGAATTTGGGTTTTGGGAATGGAGCTTGGTGTGGTTGAAAAGATGCCACAAACCGAGGAGGCAGAATGCTAGCCCTGGTGCTACGTGACCCACCAAAGTGCCCATCTACTCCTTTTTTTTCTTCTTCTTCCTTTTGTCAATGTAGAGAGAGATAGAGAGGGAGAGAGAGAGAGGGAGAATGGGTTTGGTGTACAAGGAGGAGTGTCGTGGAGATATAATAAGAGAAGGGGAATAAGCTAATAGTCTTAATGTGTCTGGAGGGTTCTAATTCTATGGTAGATAGGTAGAAGGGTAGCTTTGAAACGATTCTTGTTTTTTTTTTTTTTTGTCTTGTGGTATAAATTTCTAGTTGGTTTACGTAGCTTGTGAAATGGGAAAATGGAGAGTCCAATTCCAACCCGATGGTTGACCCAAAGATGGAAGCTATGGAGCTGAATAAACAAAGAGATGGAAATGTAAGGCACGGCAATGGTATGCAGTAGTCTTTGCTCACTCTTTCTAGAAATATAATGGTTTTCAAATGGCTGCTTCTCACAAACTCAACTAAAAGCTATATTCTTCAGGCTACCAACTTGTACCCTTTAATTTTCCTCTTCCATATATTTTGATTAGTGGTCAGCTGATAATGACCTCATTGCATGCATGTATTTCATATTAATAAGATTCTCGGAGCACGGAGTAGGCATATATATGAGATTTTGAATACTAGAAGTTTACGTTAATACGAAAGCTTTTCATAAATAAATGAAAAAGACTTTGTGGGATCGAAACGGATTTAATTAGCTACCAACCTAAGTGTATCGACAATATATATATATTTTATAATTTTTTCACAGTATAATAACACGTGGTGATGTTTGAAAATGAAATTTATACGATTACTAGATTTAAGCCCGCCCGTTGGCCGGATGAATCACGACAATAATATGAATAAAAACACTGATTAATCGAGCAAAGTTGTATTTTTATTTGGTACCATAAAAATCTAAATTATTAAATTATTAAAAATATCAGAAAATGACATACATCATATGTTTTATGACATTTTGATAATTATATTCAAGTAAGAAGTCTTTATCAAAAGTAAAAAGTACAACTCATTCAAGAAAATCGACTCCTGAAAATTAATATTCAAAATGCACTTACTTTTTGTTGTTAGAAATTTCTATAAATTATCCTTTGAGTTTCTTTGTGATTGCTCCGCCATAAAAAAATCTCAATACGGCTTCGTCTTCATTAATGAAATTCTTATATTCACCATCAATAGTCTCTTCCTTCTTCTCCTAAATTTCATTGAAAACCAAATTTTAATGTAAAATGTTCAAAAATATGAAACATCAATTTCGTGCTAGTAGAATGTATTTCATCCAAGTCATAAATATATTAACCACTCGCTCTTTCCTCTATCATTGGAGTTTCCATATCCACCATCAACAATCTCTTCTTTTATCTCAATAAAGTCATTATTTGCATTGCCAAATTCACTACACCTAAACCATTATCATACTCTTCATTGTTATCATGCATTTCTCTTAATGCAAAAATTTAGTGGCAAGATGTTTATAATTGTGAAACTCCATTTTCAAGAACTTAAATATACTTAGTGCATGTAATGAACTTTGTCTCATATAACTCTTTGTCACCTTCATTTTCTTCAAAACCTTGTGCCCGTTTATGGGGTTCATAATGTTGTAATCGATGAACTTGATATGAAAATTTAACTTCATTTCATCAGTCCGTAGGAGATGAGGTGGTGAAACTTCTCTCATTTTGTCACTATTTTGAGTAATTTCTTATTAGGTGTTAAAAAAACCTAGCTCTCTCGTGATTCAGAACAACGAAGTTAGATTCAACAATGTTGTATACATCTCGCAGCTGAATCCTGAATCTATAAAATATGTGCAATTGAGATAATATTTGGTCAAAAATTTCATGCGTACAGGATATAATTTTTTTCCTTGGTTAATTAAAATGATATTGACTTTTGTATTGTTTTTTCGTTTTGTCAAAGTCATTGACTTTTGTATTGTTGATATGTATGTTGTAAGGTTATTATTTTTTGTATGTTTATTAATTGAGCCCATATAATTATGAGTCCCTGGTGGCTTGCAGCCCGTAAAAAAAAGGGCCCACATAATGCTGGAATTTGTATGTTTATTAATTGAGCCCACATAATTATTAGTATCTGGTGGCGCGCGTTTAATTGCCTTCCCCGGGATAATCTATTAATTCGGAACCGTAGGAGCTCTAATGGGCTTTGAGGGAGGAGAAGCAATTTACAAAAGTCTCCTTCCGTGAATTGCGCACAGCGCAGGAAAAGAGAGGTTAAGGGGGTTCTGGCCAAGAACCTCTTTATAGTATTGTAGGGATTTTGCTATTGTTGAATTATATGTTTTTGAATATTTATTTCTTTTGCTTAGGCCTTGTGACACTGCCACTGTCTTCTGCTGCTTGATTTAGCACTCTGGCTCTGGGGACTGGATTGGTATGAATCAGCGGGCTACCACCTGCTTTAGTGATTTGTTTTGTTGGGAAAGATATATGGAGCTGCTTAATTAATTCTTCGTTACACCTTATGGGAAAACTTGTCAGGTTAGGGAAAACGATTGGAAGCTTTCTTCTATCACAAGTAACATTGGGTTTGTTTAATATACCCCACATTGTTTAACAAAAGTAATGATCACATTATCATCCATTTCTCCTCCTACGTACACATTAGTAATCGCCTTAAGTTTCATATAATTTTACAGTTCATCATTTGATCAGATGATTTATTGATGTCATTTACATACATGGGAGTCCAAAGATCTCTTATTTTATGTCTCTATCAAATTTGTTTCATAAAGGGGGTAATGTCTATTTTTTATCCAAACGTTTTTTCATATTCTTTTATATTATCCAAACCTATTAAAATGCTATTAATTAGCCAAATCTTTAGTAATGCATCAAAATATTAGCCATTTTTACGTTATCGTGAATAATTTTGTAACTCTTTTCTTAGTTAAATACTAAAATTTTGGAATGTTGACCTTTATCTGTCTCTTCCAAGTCAGTATCATGTTGCCAAGTCAATATTACGAACAAATAAAATTGCTAACTGAAAGTTAACATTTGGATAATTCTTAGTATTTTGATAGGTTTGGCTAATAAAAAAATCCGAAAAATATTTGAATAATAAATAGAAATTACACTTTCATAAAAGAATAAACGAATTTTCTACCAAAAAGAAAGAATAAACGAATTATGATCATCAATTCGTGGCCTATAAGATTCAACAATTTGCCAACATTCTTAGGAGATTTGTAATTTGTCTATAGTAGCTAGAGTACCAGCACTTAAGTTAAAAGCTCCACTGTAGTACTAACATCACATATAATTAAACCCCCTCAATTATTAACAAAACCTTAATTAGTGTTTCTTTCTCACCCATATCTCCTAACATCCTTTAAGTACGAAAGTTGAAAATGGAAGATAACATATGTTTAGTGGTTGCCTCTCCAAAGTGACGAAGTTTCCTAATCATATACCTTCAACAGCAAGTCATCACTCATGCAAACGAATAAAGATATATCCTCACAAAAGCTTCACAATCACTCCTCCAAACTATATAGCTTCAACCAAAGATCACTAGGCATGCAACTCCTCAAACCCTAATACTCGTTTTCTCTCAAGCAAACACAAGTACTAATCGACCATTATGGGTAGCTTCATAGGGCATGTCTTGCCAGGCATTGCCTTCTATGTATTTGGCTTGTGGCATCTCTTCAACAACACAAAACTCCACTTCCAAAACAAAGCCTCCTTCACAACATCTGCATGGTTCCCCACATCAAGGCTCAGGTACTTGGAGCTCATATTGATAATCATTGGGAGCTCCATCTCTGTCTCCATGGAGCTCTTCATCGGCCCCAGAAAGCACCAACCATTTGATGCAGACGGGACCATCCCTTCGAACCATCTACGCAACTTTGAACACTCCTCTATCTCAATGTACTTTGCAACCTATGGCATTCTCGCCATCCTCCTCGACAAATCAGTGCAAGGTTCAACCCTTGGGGACAACAATATTGCAAATCGAATGAATTCCCACCTGCATGATCATGTTCAAGGCCTCACTCTCCTAGCTGCATCTATGTGCTTCGGTCTCGAGCTCTTCAGCTTCCACTTCCACTCCACCGATCACATGGGGGTCGAAGGTCAATACCACTTGCTTCTTCAGATTGTGGTGGTGGTCTCTTTTGCAACAACCCTAATCAGTGTTGGCCTCCCTGGGAGTTTCCTTGTGAGCTACGTAAGGTCTGTAAGCATAATGTGCCAAGGCGGGTGGTTCATAGTCATGGGGTACATGCTTTGGACTCCTGAATTGGTGCCTAAAGGGTGCATGATTCACCGAGAAGACGGGCACGAAATTGTTAGGTGCTCGGGGGAGGAGTCGTTGGAAAGAGCCAAATCGTTGGTGAACATCTTCTTTAGCTGGTTCCTCATCGGGTTCACCATTGGCGCCATCTTGTTTTATGTCGGCATGGTTAACTGTTATTCGCCTAAGTATTATAACAATGAGATCACTACTGGTGCCAGTGCTGCCTATTGTTGCTTGCCAACCAAGCAAGAAGGTTGTGATGAGTTTGAAGGAGAGCCGTTGGAGCACCACATTGAATTGCAAAAGAAAACTAGATTTGTAGGTAAATAGTAGCTGTGTAGTAGAGTTTGTGAATCATGGTCCTAAGATTTGGAAGTAAAGATATCATATACTGGTAAAGTATTGCTTTTGTTGTACAAGGAGTAGTATTGTGGGATATAAGAGAAGGGAATAAGGTATAGGTAACGGTTTAAATTTGGGAAGTCCAAGTGTTTGGACTTTGGTGGGTTCTAATTCTATGGTAGATAGGTAGAAGGGTTGCTTTGAAACGATTCTTGTTTTCTCTTGTGTTATAAATTTCTAGTTGGTGTAGCTTGTGAAGGTGGGAATGGAGTGTCCAATTCCAAGCCAATGGATGACCCAAAGATGGAAGCCATATATGCCGAATAAACTAGAGATGGGAATTTAAGGCACGGCAATGGCATATATATTGTAGTCTTTCATGCTTTCTAGAAATATAACTAGCTTATTACCCGGCCCGTTGGCCGGATTACTGTATGTTACCCACTTGTGGAATGGGAGAGAAAGCAAGTGAGAGTGAATGGATTGGGATTCCACTTGATTAGGACCGACCCACTAATCCGATTCTTCCTGACCCGCCCCAACCTAAAGGATCAAATGAGTCAATAAGAAAATACGAATGGAAAGGATTAGTCATATATCTTGACTCTTCAGAAGTGGGTCAAACAGGATCAAGGTTGGGTGAGGGCAATTTTTAGCGCTAAGCAGAGTTCTGGGTTGAATAACCTTACTTAGGCCTAGAAATTGGTGCTAATGCAAACTGCAGTTTTTATTATACCATCATAAATCATCAAATTAGTCCTGGGCATCCCTCCCCATTGTCGGTCTGAATTCTAATGATGGCTTCATTCCTTGCACCAGCCATATCAGCGAGTTGTCATCTCGAGCATGATTTGCCTATGTACAAATGATACAATTAGAGTATGAAACTAAATTCAAAGAAAATGAAAAGAGAATTCTATCACATGCCAATAAATACACACATAATAGTTGAAGCTAAGTGAAAGTCATTACTCGCACATCAATTCTCAAAAATTACAGACTAAACAATGGCTAGAATGACACTGAAACTACCAAGAATCATGGACGAAACAACTTATCAAATTAAATAATCCTTATACTGAAACTACCTTCTAACTTGAAATAAGACATGATCACAGTTCATAACACTCTTATCACTATGAATTGGTTGCAACTCGTCCTTATCACTGCCTCCCAAGCTCAATTCAAACAGAATAGAGACCGTTATGTAAGATAACCATATCCTTACTGATCATAATTCCTTTCTTCACTCCGTTTTTGTCGGAGAAAAGAGTTATCTCCCTCTCCTGCATTTCTCTTTCCCCATCTCTTCTCCCTCTTCTTCACAAACTGATCCCTAAACCAGCAACAACAACACAAAAATAGCCTTAGCCTCTGCCATCTCCATCTATTGAACGCGTTGGTGGCAAGACAGGACTGCAGAAGAAAAATTTTCTAAAATCAAACTAAATTTTTTGAAGGTGACTCAACCACGAAAAAAGAGTAAAGCAACAATGCTAATAGTTCAGATGGTTGGTTTTGGTGTTATACGTTGTTTTTGTTATGGTCTCCAATATATCAACTGCAACAGAGATGTTTCCTCCAATCATCTTTAGTGCACGATTTAGAAGTGAGTTCTCTTGTTTGTGTCAAACGGAAACATTCATGGGTTCTTAACTCCCTTGTTAGTGTAAATGCAGCAGCAGCAAAGAAGTTTGACAATACAGCAAGCACCCAGGCAAAATGATACAATGCAGTAGGTGATATGTAGGGCTGCAAACGAGCCGAGTCGAGTCGAGTTTTTGCTTAGCTTGAGCTCGGCTCGTTTATAAATTTTTTAGCTCGAGCTCGGCTCGAACTCGAATTTTCATCATCCAGCTCGAGCTCGAGCTTGACTCGATTAAAAATAATCTAGCTCGAGCTCGGCTCGATAAAGCTCGGTAAATGCTCATTAACACAACTTGTCAAGCTGAGTACAAGCTCGGCTCAAGATAAGCTCGATTTGAAACCATTCTTGCTGAAAAATGTGTACAAATAAGAACATTAGAAATTAAAAATGATAAAAACAACACTAAAAATTAAAAATAACATCTAACTTCCATACACATCCTTATTAACAAGATAATTTTCATGTTCAGAAAAGTAATTAATCCTTTCACAAGCTTTAAACAAGCCAGCTCGCGAGCTTAGCTCAAACAAGCCACCGAGTCAAGCTAGCTCACGAGCTTATCAAGTCGAGCATGGCCTAGCTCAAGCTTGGCTCGTTTACTAACGAGCCAGCTCGCGAGCCGGCTTGTTAAACAACGAGTCGAGTGTCGAACGAGTTTTTTCCGATTCGAACGCCGAGTTGCTCGCGAGCGGCTTGGCTCATTTGCAGCCCTAGTGATATGTGTCTCGAAGGTTTTGAGTTACTAAAGTTCATGTTAAAAATAAACATGAATTAAAATGGATTATTCTATTAAGCAAACATCCCCTCTAATCATACAAAGATCAGATATCCAATTCACAAACAATTAAGCAAAAAAAAAATCATCACACATCCACCACCTTTGATTGCCTAAATTTGGTTTTTCGCAAAGTTATGGACTCTTAAGGGTAACGTTCATGGGTAGTCTGTTTCATAACTCTAGAGAGCACAGTAAGCAGCCACCGGCCAGACACAGTGCGGTAGGCGAATATGATTCTCAATTCACAATTTCTCACCACCGGAAGTAAGAACAGACCATAATAAGCGTAGCGTTCATTGGTAGTCTGTTTCATATCACTACTACACAATTTGTTAAAAAGGAAAGAAAGGTATTTAGCATCACGGCGGAACAACTTTTACAGGCCAACAACGACAACATGCTGCAACCACCAGAACTGGTATCACAACTCATAGGGAAAATCAAAAGATTTACTCTCAAATTAAGTAGTTACAACATCTAGCAATCGTCAAGCACATACACCATCACAAAAGTCACGGAACGTGATTCACAAAGCATTCAAACATTTGAGGACATTTCTGCAAAGGTACAACTTATATGTATTTTTTTCAAGCCATTTCCATCAACATGCTAATAATTTTGCAATGCATAAAACAAACGGGCCAAAATTTGAAATTCAGCATGTTTGACCGACCCATGCCAAATTCTAATTATTCTTTACTTTTAAACTTTCTATTTGAAAATAAAAAATAGTGAAAGAAAAGAGACGACTACAATTCGCCATTTGCACGTCACTTATTCGGGAATAAAACCATAGAAATTCAAAAGAAACTGAAAATGTTTAGGATCGTTTTAATGTTTAAAATAACCAAATAGATTTTTATGTTTAATTTTTTACTAACAAATACCAAACGATTCCCTATAAAATACACTATAATTTGATCATTATGATGTCAAATAATTATAAAATATATATTTGAAATGATAAAGATTGGACTAATTGGGTTGGTCGAGGTTGAACCATTGAATAACTTTAAAATACATTATATTTTAGCCACTAAGATATAAAATAATAGCATAATATATATATTATGCCAGAGAAAATAGCTTGTTTTAGAATGACAAACCAATGATGTTCATTTGTTTTACTTGATGGCCAAGTCTCATGTAGTTCAGGCCCATTCAACTCTTTTATTTTATGGTTAGTGGTTAGCCCATTAGATACCATGCATTAGTTTATTGTTAATTTTTTTTTATTTTTAACAATAAAAAGGAGTATTATTTTTGCCTTTTCATATATATTTTATCACCACAGAGAAATAAAAGGGTATAAAGAAAAAAATTGACACTCCTGGACCCGTTTAAATCAGCATGTGTACGGTAAGTTGGCCCGTTCCACAGAGGAAAGAGAAAAAATTTGACACTCCCTATTCTACCCTTACTACAAACGCTCCTGGAGCAGGAAATCTGAAATGGGGGAAGAGTTTTTTCCACCCTGCTATTACATGTTTTTAATTTAAAAGTATACAATAAATGTACTTAGTGTGATTGGTTATGATCCTTGCCTTTCTTTAAAATGGTCATGGTTCGATTCCCATTATGTATCTTTTTAATGAATAAAAAAAAGTAATTGTGAAGACCAAAATGTCCTTCCTACTTTCACTCTCGTTGCAGAAAATTTGAAATGGGACTCCCGTTTTTTCCTTCGGCGTATTATATTATGTGTAGATGGCCGGTTTTCAAATGGCTACTTGTCACAAACTCAACTAAAAGCTATAACTTCTTGAGGCTATCATCTTTGATTAGTGATCAGCTGATAATGACCTAATTGCTTGCATGTGTTGAAGTTAATTAGATTTTTGGCATACGAAGTAGATATATACGAGATTTAAATATTAGAAGTTTACGTTAACTTGAAAAAGAAAAAATCGATAATAGCTAGACAATGAAAAAAACTGTGAGATTGAATTAATTTACCTAAAAGTATAAAAATGAATGTGTAGTACGATTCTTTCATAATGTAAAAACACGTGGTTGTGAAATCAAATTTATAGTATATGATTTCCGATAAAGAATTATTATATGGGTATTTTTGGATTACATGTTTTAGAATTTAGAATATTTATTTCTATTGCTTATATGGCCCTGTGCCACTGTCTTCTTCTGCTTGATTAATTATCACTCTGGGGAATGGGGTTGGTATGAATCTGTTGGCTACCTCCTGCTTTAGTAATTTGGTTTTGTTGGGAAAGATATCTATATCTGATTAATTAATTCTTAATGACATGATGATTTTGTTTTGGGAATTTGAAGTGAAGATTAGGGAAAATGCAGATGGGAAGCTTTTCTTCTGTCACAAGTAATATTGGGTTTGTTTTCCCCCGCACTGTTTAACAAAAGTAATGGTCACATTATTAGCCATCACGGCCCTATGGTCCTTTTCTCCTCCATACACATTAGTAATCGCCTTTAAGTTTCATGGAATTTGGGAGACATTTGAGATTATTTATTGATGTCGTTTACATACATGGGATGACGACAGAAAATAAACTACGTATGTTTAGGTTGATCAAGGAAGTTAAATTCAACTTAGAACAATACTTGAGGATGAGTTTTAGTTTAGTGCTTTTGGGTATAGAGGAGATCTGACAGGTTAAGATAATATAGAGAGTCTTTGAGAGAAATTCGACAATATGCCAACGTTTGGGAGATTTGTAATTTATTCACAATAGTAGGAGTACCTGCACTTAAGTTAAAAGCTATACTCTAGTACTACTATTACAATTACATATAATTAATCCCCCTCAATTAACAAGAACTTAATTAGTGTTTCATTCTCACCCATATCTCCTAACATCCTTTAGGTATGCAAGTTGGAAACGGAGAATAATACATTTTTATTGGTTGCCTCTCCAAAGTGACGAAGTTTACTAATAATAACTCAAAACAACAAGTCACTAGTGCAAAGGATAAAGATATATCCTCAGTCACAAAAGCTTCATAATCACTCCTCCTCCAAACTATATAGCTAAGTCGCCAGTCAATGATCACTAGGCAAATTCCTCAAACCCTAATATACTCGTTTCCTCTCAAGCAAAGCACAATTACTAATCGACCATTATGGGTACCTTCATAGGCCATGTCTTGTCAGGCATTGGCTTCTATTTACTTGGCTTATGGCATCTCTTCAACAACACAAAACTCCACTTCCAAAACAAAACCTCCTTCACAACAACTGCATGGTTCCCCACATCAAGGCTCAGGTACTTGGAGCTCATCTTGATAACCATCGGGAGCTCCATCACAGTCTCCATGGAGCTCTTCATCGGCCCCAGAAAGCACCAGCCATTTGATGCAGACGGGACCATCCCTTCGAACCATCTACACAACTTTGAACACTCCTCAATCTCCATGTGCTTTGCAACCTATGGAATCCTCGCCATCCTCCTCGACAAGTCGGTGCAAGGTTCAAGTGTTGGGGACAACAATATTGCCCATCGAAAGAATTCCCACCTACATGATCATGTTCGCGGACTCACTCTCTTGGTTGCATCTATGTGCTTCGGTCTCGAGCTCTTCAACTTCCACTTCCACTCCACCGATCACATGGCAGTCGAAGGCCAATACCACTTGCTCATTCAGATTGTGGCGGTGGTCTCTTTTGCCACAACCCTAATCAGTGTTGGCCTCCCCGGGAGTTTCCTTGTGAGCTACGTAAGGTCTGTAAGCATAATGTGCCAAGGCGGGTGGTTCATAGTCATGGGGTACATGCTTTGGACTCCAGAACTAGTGCCTAAAGGGTGCATGATTCACCGAGAAGATGGGCACGAAATCCTTAGGTGCTCGGGGGAGGAGTCGTTGGAAAGAGCCAAATCGTTGGTGAACATCTTCTTTAGTTGGTTCCTCATCGGGTTCATTATTGGTGCAATCTTGTTTTATGTCAGCATGGTTAGAATTTATTCGGCCAAGTATTATAACAATGAGATCGCTAATGGTGCTAGTGCTACCTATTGTTGCTTGCCAACCAAGCAAGAAGGTTGTGATGAGTTTGAAGGAGAGCCGTTGGAGCACCACATTGAAATGCAAAAGAAAACCAGATCTGTGGGTAAATAGTAGCTCTGTAATAGAGTTTGTAAAAGTGAATCATGGTCCTAAGATTTCGAAGTTAAGATATCATATATGTGTAAAGTATTTTTTTTTATGTAATTACATATTGTACGTGATTGAATGTGTCTCTTATATCATGATAATTGTGTATGAACTCTCGATTTGGGGTTTAGTATTTTATCGTGATTGAATGTTTCTTGTTATAGTATTTGTTCAACCTTATATGTAGTGAGAACATTTATCGTGGTGCAAGATTGTAAGAAAAAACATTATTGTATCACCATTAAAAAAAATTAATTCGAGGACTTAAATAGGAATAACTTCAAAGTTCGCGTGTCAAATTCAGAACATGAGGTCAATTACTCAACTAGCCACTAAACTATGAGATTCGTAATTTAATAATCATTTAACTTTAAAATGTTACCAAACCGGTATCTAGTCTACAGAACTTCCAATAAAACAAATTCACTCCGACATCAACCAGAACAAAACCCGGCGCCGATGAAGCTACCAAAGCTGATTTCTCCGTTCCGACTAGCCTCTCTGCTGCGGATCCAGAAGGATCCGAAGCTTGCCCTAGACCTCTTCCGCAACCCGAATTTTGATGGACCCAGTTCTTCAGCATCCAAGCAATTTCGCCATTCTCCACTCTGCTATGACCTCATCATCACCAAGCTCGGGGCCGCCAAAATGTTCCCGGAGCTGGAAGAAATCCTCCTCCAGCTAAAAACCCAGACCCGTTTCGCCCCCAAAGAAGTGATCTTCTGCAACGTGATCCAGTTCTACGCCCGCGCCCGCCGCCTAGAAGATGCCACCAAGGTGTTCGAGGAAATTCCTGCTTTCCGGTGTCAACGGACCGTCCGGTCATTCAACTCCTTGCTGAACGCGTTTCTGATGTGCAAAGAAGCTGATAGAATGGTGGAATTCTGTGCAGGTGTCGAACAATATGCGGGGGGGCCCGATGCTGTTACCTACAATATACTCTTCCGCTGGTGTTTCTCCAAGGGGATGGTAGATGCTGCCCTGAAGCTGTTCGACGAAATGCTGAGCAGAAACATTCGCCCCACTGTCGTGACGTTTGTGACTTTAATTAAAGGGCTCTGTTCGGCTAACATGTTGGAAGAGGCTCTGAAGCTAAAGAGCGATATGGTTAACTTGTACAGAATCACTCCCAATGCTTACATCTATTCCTCCTTGATGAAATTCTTCTGTGTGAATGGTGAGCTGAACTCAGCGTTCAAGCTCAGAGACGAGATGATCATGAAAGGGATAGCACTGGACTCCTCAATCTACTCAACCCTCATCAATGCCCTCTTTCAGGGAGGTAAAAAGGAAGAAGCTTTGCAACTGTGGGACGAGATGAACCGGAGCAGCAGCGAGTGTAAACCCGACACGGTGACTTACAACGTGATGATCAGTGGGTTCTGCAGGAACCAGGATTTCAGCGCAGCTTACCAGATGTTTGATGAAATGTCGAGGAAAGGGCGTAAACCAGACGTGGTGAGCTACAACGTCGTTCTTGATGCATTGTGCAAGCACGGGAGATGGCAATGTGCGTATGAGTTGTTCGAGAGCATGCCAGGGAGTGGCTGTCTCCCAGATGTGTTGTCATACAGAATTGTTTTCAGAGGGCTTTGCGATGGAATGCAGTTTGAGGATGCAGCTTTTGTACTGGACGAGATGATCTTCAAGGGCTTTGCTCCTCATCCTGGCAGCGTGTGTGCTTTTTTTGGTAAGTTATGTGAGCAAAGGAATATGGAAATGGCGTGGTCAGTCTTGGACACACTTGCTAAGGGTAATGCGATCGATTTAGATACATGGGGGATGGCTGTGGCAGCTGTTGGATTTGAGGAGGATATGTTGAGTAGGATCCGTAGTCATGTTGATAGTTTGGGTAGATGTTGACAATTCACGAGGGAAATCTTATAACCACCAGCTCAATCATGATGAGGTGTTACTCCAAGCATACAGTATGGCTGGTACTCCTCACGACTCACGAGTGGTGTCTCTGCAATGGCGACAATGGGATTTGGAACAAAGATCATCGCCAGCAGCTAGTTTTAGCTTCAAGGCAACTTATATTGCAGTTGGATCAAAACAAATTGATTGAATCGAATCGTCGGGATTGAAGTTCACCAAGATGAACTAATTCAAACATATGATGATCAATGACGACATCGATCTAACTACAAGTGCATAAGTCACATTGACTTCAAAGTTTGAATGTAATGAGCTCATTGTTGTCATCCACTTAATATTGCTTTTATAGTGCTCAAGTTCAACAAGGTTTTTGCATTAGCCGCTTACACTCTATTAACAAGGGCTCAGACTTTCTTGAAGAAAGATAGAATGTTCCCTTGCTTTGGATCCCTTTTAGCTCCAGCTTTGCTCCCTCCTGCTTTTCCATTTCCCATGGCTAGGGTCGACTTCTTAGACGCAAGTTCCCTGAAATTAGAAATTGGCTTTAGATGATAAGAAACTATGACCAGCAGCTAAACAAAAATTAACTACAGTGTCGATTGACTAAATGTAACAAACGCACGTGAAACACTTTGGAGAAACAGTAAATGTTCTTTACCTGCTAGAGGGCTTTGTAGTTACATCAGCAGAAGCCTTTACAGTACTCTTGGTCTCAGAACTTTTCTTCTCTGTCTCGTCCCGCTCAGAAACTACTTCAGTCACTGAATTATACAACAACTCATTAGCACAGACGGGAAAGGAACTCTCAAAAGGCATTTCCAGGTAAGACTATAAGTTTACCTTCTCTGCCACGCTCATCAATCCATGTCTTCAACACTTTGTTCCTTTTCGAAGCATTAGGAGCAGCTTTAGAAGCTCCTGCATTATCTTTAATATCATTTGTCTGTGCACATGAACTCTTAGAGTCACCGGGCTGGCCGAGAGCCAAAGAACCTACTCCATTCAAAAGCTGGTTACATGCTGTAAAATCGGGTTTTTTGCCTTCATCGTGCACCACTGTATCTTCTATCTGTCCAGTAATATCAGCATTATTCACAGGTAATGTTTTACCGGGTGAACTCAGATCAACTGCATCTTCGCACTCGTCATCAGAGTCATCAAAGACTACCCTCCTTTTTCTGCCATTGGAGCCTCGCTTGACATTGACGTCCTCATCCTCATTATCATTCATCACATCATCTAGTGCTTCAATGGCATTACTTTTAGCTTCTGTGCCGTCTAATCCCAAGCAAATAAACAACGGAAAAATAAATTAGAAAGGGTGAAAAAGAATACTGGAAGTTGATTTGCAACATAATGGAGTCGAGTAATTACTGATTGCTGGGGCAATAGTTGGCTTCGACTTCACAGTTGCATGGCCCCATAACTTGGATAAGGAACCCCCGTTTTTTGATGAGTTGTTGCCACCTAGTCCCTTACTTGGCAAGGAAGGAGCTTTATCTACAACTGCAGAAGACTTTGTATTCTGATCATGACCTTTGATTCCACTCTTGTCAGTTTTGACTTCTTTGACCATGTTGGAAGACTGGCGACCAGCCATTAGTGGCAACTGCTGTACTTTGTTTTGATCAGATGGAGGGCCCATACTATTTCCACTTCCGGTTAAACCTCCAGATGGTCGTCGTATTTCAACATTATTGGCTTGAGGAGCTGAATTGATGGTGGCATGGCCTCCTTCGACATTGCGCTTGACAAAGGAGTTAATAATCCCACACAACCTGGTATAAAAAAAATTAGTGAAAATCAACTAACATCTACAAAATAATTTCAACATCTTGGCAAAAAGAGCTTTTGTATCCCAATTCACATATAAAAGTACCTGTTATCCCTCAAGCAATTGCTTTCAGGTGAGGGTTGCTTAGCGAGTTCATGTGCTTGTATGGACTCCATATTCCAAAGGACAGCTGAGTCCCTTGGAATGGAAGCTTGGACACTATAGACCTGAACGGAACAGTTACCATCAAAATCTTGCTTCGCTTCTGCAAAGGTTTCAAGAAACAAATTCCTCAAATCAGAATCTCTTGGTCTCAAAGAAAGAGCAAAAGAGATAACCAAGTTGAGAGCCAAATGGACTAAGAGACAAAACCATAGGAAAGCTTCCAGATTTTATATCATGCTCTATCCTACAACGGATTGGAAACTTGTTGACACAGGAAAACCAGCTGTCCCTCACATTATGCTTCATATCCTTGGTAGTGGTAGATATTATTGATATATGACAATCGAAGGCTTGCCTCTGATTTGTGATAGATAAGTTAGTTCACATAACTACATTCAAGGGATACTACAGGCAAAATCGCCCTACGAAAATCTGAATTAAAAGAAAATCAAACAGGACATTCAACCCGACGATGTTGCAAAACGAAGTGATCAAAGCACCGGACCCTCTTGCTAGTACTCATGCCTCCATGAACAACAAATAAACAGCACTGCAAGATGACAAGCATCTTTGACTGGAAACCTTACTTTCAAGTCCAACCCCATTGACAAGCCGGACTTTGTAACTTGGAGGGTTGTTATTCAGCCAACCAGACACAGTATACACTACGTCCAAACTGCTGCCGCGTCTATCAACAAGGTCTTGGAGCAACCTGACAACAATATCACCATTCTCCCCAAACGTATATCAAACATGCTCAACAGAAAATATAGGTGACAGCAAAACCAAACTGAACAAAGCAACACTTACCTCTTGGCATCATTTGATGGCACCAAAAAGTTGCGACTTAGCCACTTGTACGAAACCTAAACGGCCGTAAAGCTCAGATCCAATTTCAATGAATAAAGATTGAATAGAAAAGCCCAGGTGCTACCTAAATCTCAGATTGAATAAACTATCACATGAAAAGAGCCGAATAACTGGCATTGTAAACACATGAGATGATAACTAAGAGAAACTAAAACCTTACTGTAACTAAATTCAAGTAAATAACCTCCCTCAAAGCATAAATTCTTGGAACTAACAGCCATCGAAGAATTCCGAGTTAGTAACTCAACCCAATCCCAAATTCATCTTACTTTGCACTCTGAAGGGAATTAATAGTTCAATTGAGCTGATGAAATTCCTCCAATTGTTGCAGGAAGTAGAGAGAACGAAACCGCTATGGAATAGGAGAAACAGGAGAAGCTTACCACTTGATGCTTGTCAGACACCAGAGCCTCTACCTCTTCGAGGATGCCTAGGGTTTCCATTGCCGCCATTTTATCCCTTATCTCGCTCCCCGCTTGCTCTAATTACCCGCCCTAGCGTTTTCCTTCCCCACAACCAGCAGACCAAATTGAAGCGGCGATGGTCCAGACCAGATTATCGGAGCTTTTTGGTGACAGGTCAGATCCACTTCCCCTTTGGATTCGAGAGAGGCAGCGCGATGTATTTTTCCCGCCAATTTGATCGATTCCCCCCTTTCGTTATTTGGGAGTAATGTCTGTAGCTCTGTATCATTGTAGACTGTACTCGGTTGCAATAGCATCTTTTTTCAATGGGATACGTCTGGGCTTTAAACTCTGGCTGGTGGTTTTGGCTCGGCCCAAATATAAAACAAATCTAGGACGCACTCCGTTCGGCAACAGCCCATTATTACCTGGCGTACATACAATTCATTTAGCATAGCAACCCGGCTCAGACCGACTAGTTGGAAGGCAAATATTATATATAGGATCCAAATCGATGAACAATTTTAGTAGTTGGAACGATTGAATCACGATTAAACTACACTTTTCCTTTAGTATGGTTTCATGATTCTTTATTATCCTATTATATTTATTACTGGAAAATCTACCATTATCAGAAGTGGCTAACCTCCTTATTACAATAATTTTTTTTTTTATATCAGAACCTCTGATCATTACAATTGATCCCATATTAGAATATGACAATGAATAAATGGAACGACAAAACATAATAATCAAACCTTCTAAAGGATAAAGGACCACTCTGGGCTAAACTACAACATATTTCGAGTACCACAGACTATTCCTGACAATATCACGTGGACGGCTGAGATGTGTCCACGGCATCCCGCCGCTTCCCCCAGTCATGCAGACGCAGATGCAGCTCGGCCACCGCGATGAAAAAATGGACGGCCTGGATGGGAGTCAAGATCTCGTCAACAATCGCCCTAAGCGTCCTCAGCCGCAGATCATCCGCCGCATGCAGAACCTCCTCCATCTGCCTCTCCTTCACCACCAACGTGCTATCCACCCGCTCGTCCATACTCGGCGATCCTCCGTTCCGCATCATCTGGCTGACCGAATGGGAGAGGTCCACCATGGACGAGTCCGCAGCGGATTCCTGCACCTTGGCCATATCCTCCGTGATCTCCCTCTCCTCCCTCACCGTCCGCCGCTGGAGCTCGTCGATGCGGCGGAGCTGCTCCCCGGAGAGGTCGGCCAGGTCGTCGGTGGGGATCCCTTGGAGGATGTCGCGGAGTCCGGTCTCGAACTGGAGCCCGGACTTGGAGTAGATGACGTGGAAAGCCATGGATGGCCGCCACCCGCCGATCCACAGGAAGGCGTCCTCCAGCGTGCTCCTCCACGACGGGGACAGCATGGCCAGCACGTCTTGATGGACCGACAACGACTTGGCCCGGTAGTAGTGCTCGTACTGGTCCATCACCCGGCCCAGGAGCCCGCGGAGGAGGTCCGGCTGGTCGCTGGAGATGTCGGCCGCCGAGATCAGCTCCTTGAGGTGGCGCTCCTGGTCAGCCAGCCACGTGTTGACAGAATCGAAGAATTGAAGATTGCAGAGTTGCAGAAGAGAAGCAGTGAAGAAGAGAGGTTGAGCTGCTGGAGAAGAAGAAGAAATCCAGATTGGGGAAGGATTCGCTGGAATCACTAAAGGAGTAAAGAAGAACGACGACGTATGAGCAGAAGTGAAGTGAACAAGAGAGAACGACAACGTTTTGTTTATTTTCCATTAATAGCCGTTAAGTTACTGTTTAGTTTTAATTTGGACGAATGATGTAAGGACAGCTGGCTCATTTTGTTTAATCGAATTCCAGCTATAAAAGCTGAAGGGAGACTCAGAGATACCTGAGCTTCTTCTCCAAATCTCATTACAAAATTGTTATGGTATCAGAGCACAACGAGCTCTAGGGTTTTCCGCCGCCTACAGCACAATGTCTGCATCACAGACTCCACCAAACACGCCGCCGAACAATGGAACAGGTGGTAGTGCATCGACGACGACCACAGGAGCAGCAGGGTTTCAGTTTGGGACCTTCAACCAGAACCAACTTCAGCCTGAGACAGTGGTATTTGGTAACCCTTACTATCTCAACCCAAATGAGAATATGTCTCAATCCCTTGTTGCTGAGAGTTTCGATGGAACCAATTATGTGATGTGGAGTAGATCTATGCAAGTAGTTCTTAAAACTAAGAACAAACTGGGTTTTATTGATGGGTCAATACCCATTCCTCCTCGAGATGCAGATTTGTTTAACTTGTGGGATGCTTGCAACACTGTAGTTCTTTGTTGGCTACAGAACTCTATGATTAAGGAGATAAGAAGGTCTGTGTTGAACCACACAAATGCTAAGGCATTATGGGATGAGTTGAAGAGACGTTATGGTCAACCTAATGCACTTAGAATCTTGAATTTGGAAGATGAAATACAGGCTTGTAAGCAGGGAACTAGATCTATAAGTCAGTATTACACAGCCATCAAAGGGCTCTGGGATGAGTATGTTGAGTTTAGTCCTGTTGTTCCATGTGTTTGTGCACCTGGGAATCCCATACCCTGTGCTGCTGTGGCTGCCTTTATCCAAAAGCAGGAGACTGACTACCTTGTAAGGTTCCTGAGAGGACTCAATCCTGAGTATGAAGTGATCAAGACACAACTTCTGCTGCAGAAGCCATTGCCTACAGTATCAACAGCAGTGGATGATTTGCTGCAACATGAGCAGAAGTTGAAGGCAGATAACTCTGCAGGAAGCAAGAAAGGCCAAAGTCTGGCTTTGGCAGTTGGTGGAAGTACGGGTAACAATTCCAGGGATAACAGTTCAAGGGACAACAATGAAGGAAGAGGAAGGAAGTTTTGTCGATTTTGCAAAATGAACAACCACACTATTGAAGACTGCTGGAAGCTGAAAAGAAAGCAGGAAATGCAAAGAGATGGCAGTGGCAATGGGGGGTCCTCTTCTAGTTCTGGTTCAAGCTCCAGTACTCCAAGGTTTGCTGGTTCTATCTCTCAGAACAGTGGAAGTGACAGTGTGTCTGAAGGAAGTGTCATGAATGAGAGCAAGTCATCCACCACACTTGGTTTTACTCCAGAAGAGATGAACAGGCTCAGAGTTTTATTGCAATCTGGTGCTGGCACTCAACCTTCACCACCCACCTCACCATCCATTAACCACCAAGCATATTCAGCCACTCTTTACCCCACCACCTTCCCTTCATTCTCAGGTAAACATGTCCTATCTTCTTCTCAGAACTGTAAAACACAAAACCTAGCCTTATGGATTGTAGATACAGGAGCCTCAGATCACATAGCCTGTCATCTATCCCTTTTCTCCAGTTATAGACCTGTCCAAGATACCTTTGTTTATCTCCCAAATAGCACAAAAGTTGATGTCACATGTATAGGGACAGTTACACTAGATTGTGGATTAAAACTACATGATGTTCTCCTAGTGCCACAATTCTCTTTTAACCTTATCTCTGTTAGCAAACTTACCCTTGATAACCCATATTCCTTACATTTTCATTCTGATAAATGTGAAATCCAGGACCTCTTAAACCAGAAGAGGATTGGTTTAGCCCACACAACTAGAGGACTCTACCATCTTGCCCTATCTTCAAGACAACCAAAGCCTTCCTCACCACTTCTTCAACACCAAGCAGCCACCATCTTCAACTTCATTCCACAAGACCTCAACCTGTGGCACTGGAGACTAGGACACCCTAGCCATGATAGGCAGTCTTTACTTAGCCATGTAATTCCATCTATAGCTAGAACCAAGACCACTCACTGTGATGTGTGTCATTTGTCCAAACAAAGAAAATTACCTTTCCCTGTTAGCACCAGCATTGCACCTGAGGCTTTTCATTTGGTACACATGGATATTTGGGGACCATTGTCCACAGTTTCTTATGATGGATTTTCATACTTTTTAACTGTTGTGGATGATTTTACTAGATGTGTGTGGGTGTACTTGATGAAACACAAAAGTGAGGTAAGGGGGTTAATCCAAGGTTTTTGCAACTTGGTTGAGAATCAGTTTCACAAATCTGTTAAGGTTATTAGAACAGATCAAGGTAAAGAATTTGAGATGTGTGAATTCTTTAGTTCAGCAGGCATAGAACACCAGGTCTCCTGTGTTGAGACCCCTGAACAGAATGGAAGAGTGGAAAGGAAACATCAGCACATTCTCAATGTGGCTAGATGTTTGAAGTTCCAGTCAGGGTTGCCTTTGGTTTATTGGAGTGACTTTATTCTACATTCTGTTTACTTGATCAACAGAATGCCTACCCCCATTCTAAACAACAGAACCCCCTATGAAGTGTTACACAAGAAAGCTCCATTTTTGGGCCATTTGAGGGTTTTTGGATGTCTCTGTTATGCCAATACCTTGGTCCATGGTAGAACAAAATTTGCTCCTCGAGCAAAGCAGTGTGTGTTTATAGGGATCCCCTCTGGCCTCAAAGGTTACAAAGTCCTTGACATCCACACTAAGCAAGTCTTTTTCTCCAGAAATGTTTCATTCTATGAAACTATACTTCCCTTCAAATCTTCTGACACGACCTCCTCTCCTCCCAGTCCACCTACTCCTAATACTTCTGATACAGTTCCAGCTCCATCTCTGCATATTCCCTTTTCTCTTAATCCTGCTCAACCTGCTCCTCAGTCTCACTCATCCATGGATGAAGGGGGGAATCCTGAGCAGGAGTTCTCATCTGGTCCAAGGACAACACCAAGAAGTGAACACTACACCTATTTTGACTCAGATGAGCAAGAACTATATCCTCAAGCTGATCCAGACCTTAATGAACCCAGCATAGAGGATAATAGAAGGCCCTCAAGACACATAAAACTGCCAACCAGGTACAGTGATTATGAATTGGACTCTTCTCTCAAGTTTGGAGCATTTGGTGGTGCAAATGCTAGCACCAAGTACCCTATCTGTCTGAATGTTGATTCTTTAAGCAAAGAAGACAGATGTTTTGCACTGAGTGTTATCAATCTTGTGGAGCCCAAATCTTATTATGAGGCAGTGAAATCAGATGTGTGGAACAGGGCTATGAAAGATGAAATGCATGCCTTGGAAGAGAACCAGACATGGGACATAGTTCCATTGCCACCAGGAGTGAAGGAAATAGGGAATAAGTGGGTTTATAAGATAAAACTACACCAGGATGGATCACTGGAAAGGAGTAAAGCTAGACTAGTAGCTAAGGGTTATACACAGGTGTATGGGATTGATTTCCTAGACACATACTCACCTGTAGCTAAGATTAATACAGTGAAAACATTCTTAGCAGTTGCAAGTGTGAAACACTGGGTCCTAGAGCAATTGGATGTATCCAATGCTTTTCTACATGGAGATTTAGAGGAAGTGGTTTACATGAAGTTACCACTGGGATTGGAAGTGCCATCTGGAAGCAATCAGAAGATGACTTGTAGACTGAAAAAGTCACTCTATGGCCTCAAGCAGGCATCAAGACAATGGTTTGCAAAATTGACAGGTTTCCTCTTGAAGTTTGGTTTTTCACAATCTGCTTCTGACTACTCTCTTTTTACCAAGTGGACACATGGGAAGATTACAGTTTTATTGGTGTATGTTGATGATATCATATTGGGAGGTGATTCAAGAAAGGACATTGAGCAAGTGAAAGCAGCATTAAGTAAGGAATTTAAGATAAAACTCCTTGGACCTTTGAAATACTTTCTGGGATTGGAAGTGAACAGAAATGAGAATGGACTGGATGTATGTCAAAGGAAGTACTGCATTGACTTGTTAAAGGATACAGGGTATCTGGAATCTAAAGGATGTAAAACTCCAATTGATACCAAAGTGAAGCTGTCATCTCAGGGCACTTTACTAGAAGATGCAGAAAGTTACAGAAGATTGGTGGGAAGGCTGCATTATCTAACTATCACTAGACCTGACATAGCCTTTGCTGTTCAGCAGCTATGTCAGTACCAGAAGTCTCCTTGCTCAGAGCATATGCAAGCTGCTTACAGGGTCCTCAGGTACTTGAAATCATCTCCTGATCAGGGTATTCATTTTAGCAATCAGGCTGAGTTGAAGTTGACAGGCTACAGTGACTCAGATTGGGCAAGTTGCCCAGACACCAGAAGATCCATCACTGGATATTGCACCATGCTTGGTTCCTCCCTGATAACCTGGAAGACAAAGAAACAAACGACTGTCTCAAGATCTTCATCTGAGGCAGAGTACAGAGCACTGGCTCACCTTGTCTGTGAAGTGGAATGGCTGAAGAGGTTGCTGATAGAGTTAACAGTGGAGGTACCATTGCCTATAACAGTATACTGTGACAACAGATCTGCTATTCACATAGCAGAAAACCCTGTTTTCCATGAGAGAACAAAGCACATTGAAATTGACATTCATGTGACTAGGGAAAGAATCAAGACAGGTTTAATCACTTTGAAGTACATCAACACAGCAGAGCAACTAGCTGATTTATTCACCAAGGGGTTGGATCGATTCAGGCTAAGAGACTTACTTGTCAAGTTGGGGATCAAGTTGATACCACCAACTTGAGGGGGGCTGACAGAATCGAAGAATTGAAGATTGCAGAGTTGCAGAAGAGAAGCAGTGAAGAAGAGAGGTTGAGCTGCTGGAGAAGAAGAAGAAATCCAGATTGGGGAAGGATTCGCTGGAATCACTAAAGGAGTAAAGAAGAACGACGACGTATGAGCAGAAGTGAAGTGAACAAGAGAGAACGACAACGTTTTGTTTATTTTCCATTAATAGCCGTTAAGTTACTGTTTAGTTTTAATTTGGACGAATGATGTAAGGGCAGCTGGCTCATTTTGTTTAATCGAATTCCAGCTATAAAAGCTGAAGGGAGACTCAGAGATACCTGAGCTTCTTCTCCAAATCTCATTACAAAATTGTTACGTGTCGAAGACTTCCTCGTACGTGTCGCTGTCTTGGTCCGGTGGAGGACCAGGGCTGCTGCTGCTACTTCTACTACTGCCACCCAAGGGCGACGAAGAAGCGGTCCTGCTTACTCTCGTCGACATGTGAACGAACCGAACACAAGTGTAGTGTGGTTATTTTTTTTCTTCTGTGAAGAGAGAGAGAGAGAGAGAGAGAGAGAGACAGAGAGAGATCTTTGGGTTTATTTCCTTGGGGACGTACGGTATTTATATATATATATATGTAAGTGTTGGAAGGGGAGAGCGGATGGTGTAAGAATGAGAACAAACAGGTATTGATGATGTGTCGTTGAGAAGAAGGCATATGGAAACTTTGGTCTGCATACATGGATACATACGTACGGATCGTGTCTCGTGATTATACGCTGGGTCGCGCGCTAATGAAACGGCGTCATGCAATACGAAGAGAATAATAATAGAAATTAAACAAAAAAAACCTGGGCTATGTATGAAATGTGACTGGGTTTATAACTTGTTGGCTAAGGAACTACAACAGCAGCTAGGGCTGCTGTGGGGACTGTGCTGCCTGTTTCAGTTTGTTTCCGAAATCAATTTATTGTTGTGGCTCGGGTGTGTAATGATTCGGTTATTAGTCCCATGAATTTTATAAATACAAAAAAAAATGAAATGGAGTGACATTTATCGTATCGAATCAAATCAAATAATACGATGTTGGTCTGGTACGGTACTTGATTCATAAAAGTTTCTTACTATTGAACCGTGATTTGGTATGGACCATGTTAACACAATTAAGGGCAAACTGATGACATTTTTATTGATAAGAAACTCAAAAGGGTTAAATACAGGATTTGAACTCTGTAGAAACGGGTTCCGCTAACAGCACTAGCCCTCTATCCTGAAACTCAGCTAACCACTATCAGCTAAAGACCCTAACAACCTAACAAACTTGCCTCCCAAGATTCTGCATGCGACTGCAACATGAAACTCGGGTGGGACTTATTTGACTCAAGAGTACTAAACTCTAAGGACAAAAAACAAAGACTCAAAAAATGACGCAATCCAGAATAAGACTCTAAACTACACTTCAAACGACATTCTTCTTCGCGTCAAACTTCAAACAGATCTCCTTCGCGCCTAAGTTCTTCAGCAGCTTTAACAGACCAAACCAGTGCACCTTCCTAGCTACGAGTTCAAATCAAATTATTTGTCGTGGTTAGCTGGACTATTAGGGTTTGATTGGTAGAGTAAAATGTTGGTCATATTCTTAAAAGTAATCATGTGGTTGTGGTGTGTGATCAACTAATTGGAACTCTAATTGTGTCCATAAATAATATCATCCATATCGAATTAATATTCGACTGTATCTTATTATATCATCACTATAAAAAAAAAAAAAAAAAAAAAAAAAAGAGGAACATTATAGAAGGAGAAATAATACACAACAAAACCACCATAGCACATAGTTAAACACCTGATGAATCCTAGGAACCAAACAAGGATCCAATTAAACATCCAGAGAACACTGTCATATATAATCCTTCTTATATCCGGATTATTATATCATTTTTTATATTACACCCGACAGCATACGTGGACGTTGAAAGCGTGGTGGGACCCCGCTCCTAACGCTGCTCGTCCCTCCGCTTCCCCCAATCGTGAACCCGCAGGCGCAGCTCCAACACGGCGATCAGGAAATGGACGGCCTGGATCGGAGTCAAGATGTCGTCAACGATGGACGTGAGCGTCATCAGCCGTAGATCATCCGCCGCCGCTAGCATCTCCTCCATCTTCCGCTCCTTGGACACCAATGCCCTCTCCACTCGCTCGCTGATGGCCGCCACATCATCACCGGCCACGTGGCCCCTCCGCATCATCTCGCTCACCGCGTGGGACAGGTTCACCATGTCCGCATCAGCAACGGATTCCTAATACCAAAATGTTAACTAGCCACCAATTAACAACGTACAGGACCATATATGATATTACATGATACCTGAACCTTAGCCATCTTCTCAGTGATAATCCGCTCATCCCTGATCGTGACCCTCTGCAGCTCATCGATCATGTGGAACTGATCGACGGTAAGACTTGCCAGGTCGACTCTGGATGAGTCGAGCTGGCTCTGAGTCATCGAACTGGAGCCCAAACTTGGAGTAAAGGAGGTGGAAAGCCGTGGAAGGGCGCCACCCGCCGATCCAAACGAAGGCTTTCTCCAGGGAGCTTCTCCACGAGGGCCATAGCACTGCCAACACGTCTCGGTGGGCCCAAACCGACTTGGCCCGATAGTACTGCTCGTAGTGGTCCATGACCCGACCCGTGAGCACCCGTAGGGACTCGGACGTTGGGCCTCCGTCGGCCATGGTGGCGGAAATGAGGCTCTCGAGGTGGCGGTTCTGCTCGGCCAACCAACCATCGAATAACTCTTTGAAGGTCGTCGGAAAACTCGTGGACATGATGTGGAATTGAACAAGGTTTCAGTTTAATGATGCATAATTAAGGGACGAGGAGTATCTGTATAGTGGACTCACTGGAGCGTACGTCCCACGCTGGTTGGTAATTACGATAACTATATAATAAGCCAGAGACCTACCCTGAATTTTACGACCAAACACCAGCCATGAAGTTTACGTAACGTGCATGTACATACATGGGGACTTGCTCTACCTGCGACCTCTAGGAATCTCGATATAGGAGAAGGAATATTCCGTGGGGGCGAACTAGAGTGCATGGAAAAGGACAAATCTAGGTAGCGGTTCACCCAGCTGGTAAGGATTAGGAAATCGAAACCACGGTGGGATGGAACCAAAACCGCGGGAGACAAGTGGCCCAGCTACAGCAGTTAACCATGTGACTAGCTTGCATGTGATTTGTCTGTTCAATCGGCCTTCATTGAATCTTGCTAGCTATAGTTACCTAGCTAAGTCGGTCGTATGGTTCACTTTCTGGTATGTGCGAGAACTTATCTACTCGAAGAACTTATCGATAGTCGTGTTGGATTATATATCCCTTGCACATTAGCGGGTCGTTTGTTTCATGGATTTGAAAAATGAGGGTTTTGGTAAAACCTGAATTTTGGAAAATCATGGATATATGATGGATTTGGTGGCATTATGGATTTGAACAAGTCTATTGTTTGCTTGATGGATTTGATTATGGACTTTGTTTGATTAGATTTGTGGATATTAAATACAAATTACCTAGTTACCCTTATGTGGATTAATAAATCAACTACAAATATAGAAATGTATTACAATTTGGCACTAATTAACAATTCATCTAATAATGTACGCAATATTATGTATCAATTGCAGCCAATTGCCCGCTTTATTGCTACAACTCATCATCTTCTTGCTAACTCACCGATGTGGAATCCGACAATCAATCAAATAATAATGTACAAGATGAGCATAAAGTGTTTCTAGATGAATCTAACAAATCACATATACATTCATATTTAAATAAAATACGATATTACAAAATGAAATGATAAATTCTCATATTTATAAAATACGAAATTATAAAAGTTTACAGTTGCATGACCATTGAATTAAAATAGGACAAATTTGTAATTAAAGAAATAATTAAGGGTAGAAAGGTAATTTACCATCATGGATTTTAATCCATCACCCAAATCCCACCTCAAGAGGTGGAACTTCCAAGTCCGTGGGGTCCACGGATTTGGAACCCCAAAAGAGGTGGGCCCCACAAATTCCATCTCCCTAATTCCCTAAAGCAAACGATGGATTTCGGTTCAAGTCCATGATGGATATATTTCCATGACCAAATCCATCACCAAAACCCTCAAGCAAACGACCCCTTGGTTGTAATTATAACACCATTGTTATATGATTCTAAGAGTTCTAAAGATTATTTTTAAAAAAAGAGAGTTATAAATGAAAGGAGTTTACGACCTTAATTAGGTAAACACGTACAAGGGCGAGAAGGTTTAGAATGTGATTGATTACGTCTCAACTAATTAAAACGCTAAATACTAACAACTTAGCGTTCGCGCACGAGACGACATACTGACCTACTACATACTCTACTTTTTAACGAGAGAATCACTACAACAATTTTGGGATATTATGACAACGAAGTTCGTCACAACAGATCCTACATTTGTCATAATAGCTCTATTATGACAAAAATATTTGTCATACCGTTGGTCAAAACTACCTCGTCGACATAGCTCTATTATGACAAAAAATAGGCATCTTGTCACAACATGTTCCAGTGGCACGCCGTGCACATTTTGTCATAACAGGCATCTTGTTATGACAAAATGTTTTGTCAAAATACAGAAATGCTTCGTCACAATATGTTATTAATTTTTGTCACGATAGTTACCACTTTTGCTACGTTGTTGTGACAAATGTATAGTTTGTCATAGCAAACCTATTTTGACAAAGCCATGTGCTTGTCATAATATTTAAACTCAAACTCCATCTGACATTTGTCCTGATTAAACTTGTTTGTCATAACCTGATGCATATATGACAACCTGTGGGCATTATTATGACGACCTATTTTCCAAATCTGATACTATTCATACCATAAAGAAAACGGTACATCATTCAAATGTATCAAAAGCTACATCATTCATTGTCGAAATAAAAAACTACATCATCCATAGTTACAATATGTTCCAAAAACCTACTGATCCATCCATCCAGACACCAAAACAAAGTCTTCCAAAGCGACATATGTTCGTCTTTCAAAAGAGAGTAATAAATAACAAAAGCTAACAGGCTTCCAAAGGTCCTTGAGCATCCAAAATGCATACCTACTGCCATATACCTAGGTACCTGCGTAATACAACGGTCAAAGTTTGAGTAAAACTTATTAAATAAAATTCAATTGAGTAGTAACACCGATGACAGTATAAGTACAACTTATGAGACTATTATTTTACCTTCAGCTAAACTTGTCTTCCATCAATTTTTGTAGCTAGTGACTCGACATATTTAGCTAAACTTGTCTTCCATCCTCTGCCTCCTTCCCTTCCTCGTCCTCATCCTCCTCCTCTTCCATGTCATCCTCTGCCTCATTCCCCTCATCATCCTCGTCTTCCTCCTCGTCTTCCTCCTCCATCTCCTCTTCAAAATCTCCACTTACATCCAAGTCCAATGCTGGTGGGATTAGATTGTCTCTTTGGAGCAAGTTTTCCATATGTAAAATCTGGTCTTGGCTTAGAGTAATTGGGGCCTCATCAGGCAAACTTAAAAGTTGGATGTCTCCATCATCCGATTCAACTGGAGCTATGTCGATGCCTTCATGTAGTTGGAATGGATCATCATCATATACCGGATCTGTGCTATCATCTGATTCCATCTCAGGAACATCATACACATGCCTATGAGACACTTTTTGAACTATACGCCAATTCCCACCATTTTTCATATCTTCAATGTAAAATACCTGATTGGCCTGACTAGCTAATATATATGGATCATGTTGATACCACTTTCGTCCTATATTGACACTAGTCAGAAAGCGATCTGACCTTATGCCGTTTCTATTATCTCCTACATCCCACCAATCACATTTGAAGACAAAGACATGGCAGCCATAGCAATACTGGAGCTTTAAAATATCCACCAGCACACCATAAAAGTCAATACACACGCCATTATGTTCTCCTTCGACCACAACCCCACTACTTTGAGTACGACGTGTTTTATCAGTTTCATAAGTTTGATACCGAACCCCATTAATGATGATACCACTATATCTAGTCAGTCTCACATCTGGACCAATACCTAGACTATAAAGAGAATCATTTTTCCCAAGTTCTCCAACCAAGAACAGTCTTGTGACCTATACCATAACACAAACCAACACGCAAGTTAATATTAGGAGTTTTCAAAGTATACAGAAACATGAGGAATCTATCTCCTATAAAGATGGAATCAGATCTTACATATGATTTCAACCATTTTGGAAAGTTTTCTTCAATGGTTTGAAAACTAATATTAGGAGTTTTGGCCTTGCTCTCCTCTGAAAAGATACTGCACCAAGCTGCAAAGTCAGAATTTATTTGTTTTGTCTTATAATTAAACATGTACTTTAAGATTGGTTTGTCCACTTACTTGAAATACTTTTCAACCTCTTCACAGTTGTTCAATATGTATCTTTCAATCTTATTGAACTCAGATGGGGCTAGAGTCACATAAGTTGCCCCTCCTAATGGTTTAGTCTTGTGTGCAAAAATAGAAAAACAAGTAGAATCCATTACTTGACACCCTTCATCGTTTCTCTCCAGACGGGTTGTTCGTGTCTCAACCCCTTGTAAGTATCTGCCGCAAAAATCAGTACATTCCTTTGCTACATATTTTTCAGCAATGGACCCCTCCGGACGAGCTCTATTTCTGACAAGATTTTTCAGAGAGCCTAAAAACCTATAAATATGCCAAGACAGAAAACCAGAAAACTTTTTCATCTATATCAGTTCAAATAGAAAACTGAATCAAAAGAGAACTAATTAGTACTAATTAAGTACCTTTCCATGGGATACATCCACCTATACTGAACCGGGCCACCAAGCTCGAGTTCACGGGGTAGATGAATGGCTAGATGCATCATGACGACGAAAAAAGATGGTGGATATACCATCTCAAGCTTACAAAGTATGAGAACTATGTTCGTCTGCATCTTTTTCAGTGTAGCCTTTGTTATCGTTTTAGCACACAAATCTTGAAAAAATAGACACTAGATTATCCAAATCAACCTAATCACTTCCATCTCCATTCTTAAAACAGAATGTCTATCTAACACTGTCCTCAAGTCGAAAGATGCTGTAATAACACCAGAGTGGACATGACATGGGCAGAGATCTGTTCTGGTTACTGCTGCATTACATTACTCGTTCATGTGAGAAACTTAACTACTCAAACCAAGCTTGGAAATCTCCATCAGGACACACATCAAACACTTGCAAGCCTTATACAAAGAATTTGGAAATCTCCATCAGGACACACATCAATTGAATAGTTCATCCACAAAACAGGACGAAGAATTTCATTCAGATTAAAACGCTAACTTTGCTCAACCACCACGGGCAATCAGATTCGAAAGGGGCAAAAGAGAATCAGCTTCCCTGCTCTAAAGATGACAAACCCGAGCTGATCTCGGGAAAATCTAGCCCTCCAATCAATCCAAATCGTTAGCAATTCTCGATACAAACAAAGCCTATCTACAAAACAATCACCAGCTCTTATCAAATGAAACTCGAATCTGGCTTCCTACGCCATCCAAGCCGCTCGATTATCGGAGGCAATTTGACGAATTCCGGGCGTGAGAGAATTGGGGAAAACGGGAAGTACAGTACGAGAGATCGGTGCATGTCCTAACAAATGTAGATATATACAAACAATCAACCAAATCCCCAACAAAATCGTCTCACAATCGGCAAACCCTAAAATCCCCCAAAAAATCCCCAATGAAAGCTTCTCTCAATCGTCTAAAAACGATGCGACAGAAGTGGAAGAGGGTGATCGAAGAGAGTACAGTCGTCTTATTCGATTATGACGCGATGAGCTTGCTCGCTGCTGCGGGGAGGATTCGATGCGACTGCGAAGACAGACCAATTGACAGAGGGTTTTTTGAGCGGCGAAATTTGGGAGTGGATATGGTTTTGGAGCGCTGGAGGGAATTAGGTCCCGCGCCCTATGTCCTCTCTCTCTCTCTCTCTCTCTCTCACTTTCATTATCTGAACATAAAATGGAAAAGAATAAAAGCACCCCTGTTTTGACTAATCAAACTTTGTCACATTACCAAAATTATGTTACTTGAAATAAAGTACGAGAACAATATTGTGACAAACTTATAATGACATACACTATTTGTCATAATAAATATGTAATATGACAAAATATTATGACATCATATAAATTTGTCACAATATGGGTCTATTATGACAAATTAGTATGACAAAATGTTTCTTTGTCACAAAAACACAACTAATATGACAAATTTTAGTTCTGTCATATTATAGGTTCTATTGTGACAAACCTAAAATGACAAATTAAAATTTTGTCAAGACATCCCAAAATTGTTGTAGTGAATTCATCAACGATGAAATTGTGTCTAGTTAAATTCAATCTTATGTCCATCTAGAATACTACATATATCTCTATACAATTGATCAACATAGTGTTGAGTTGGAAGGACGACGTAAATGCTATACCACATACGACTAGCTAAGTTCCTTTATAATTTAAATGGCTCTCGATTCCCATTCTCGTTGTCACTGATCACTCTTTTTTTTTTGTCAAAAGATATCATGTATTGATAAAAAAAATAGACAGTTACACCCTGGAAACCAGCCAGGTCTGGAAATCAAAAAAGCGACTCATAGTCGGATACAAAGAAAGGGCTTTCCTAGTTACCAAATGAGCTACCCTATTGTTCTCCCGACCTACAAAACGCACACTAAACCCAGGTTGAGTATGAAAATAATGAACAATCTCTTCCAGTACAGCACCCAACCGGCTATCTCTTGTTTCGGCTTGATTAATTTTATCAATGATCACCTTCGCATCGCCCTCAAATCGGACCGCCGACAAACCTTGCTCCACACACCAAATAATTGCTTCCCTCAGCACCAGCAATTCCACTACTACAGGATCAGACATTTGAGGAAACTGGACCCCTCTAACCACTAGGATTGTCCGTGCTGGGTCAAAAAGGACTATCCCACCAGCCGAATGAGACCCACCCTTAGTAGCTCCGTCCCACATGCAAACCAGTTGGGCACCACCCACTGGAGCAGAAGATGGCATTACCGGCACTTGAACTCTAGGCACTTGGTCCGCAGACAGACCTACCCATTCTTCATACTGTTGGTGGAACTGCCGCATTAGCGATGGGATCCCAAATTGTTTAACTTCAAAGACTACCCAATTTCGAGATCGCCAAATCCTCCAAAGGACAGCAACAACAGCCATAACCATAGACGGTTGATGGATCAACCCCAACAGACCCTTGAGAAACAAAGGAAAAGTGTGCCGAGGCAAAGCCTCCCCAAGTACTCCAGCCCCGAATAGTCCCAGAGGGCTCGTGCCACCGGACAATAAAGGAACAAATGCTCCATTGTCTCTGGGCCATCCCAACAAACTGGACACCGAGGTAGTACAAGAACCTTTTTTTCAATAAGCGCCTCCATGGTCGGCAGGGCCCAATTTAGAATTTGCCACACAAACACCTTCAACTTCGGAGGGATCTTCGCCTCCCAAACTTTAATCCAACTCGCCCTGTCCATCCAGCTCACCGAGGCTCGCCACCCACCCCTCCTCCTATCCAGATCCACAGCCAAATGATAGGCTGACTTAACCGAGAAGACCCCATCGGCCGTAAAATGCCAGAGAAGCTTATCAGGCACATCTCTACGCTGAAGGGGAATCTCTTTAATAGCCTTACAAGTGGGTGGATCAAACCATTGACAGAGCTTCTCATCAGACCACCTCCCTCCCCCCGCAGCCATAACCTCCGCCACCAAAGGATCACCCCCCGCAGGCAAGATTCGCGGATTTTAGCATGGGGGGATCTATTTGGTTCCTAGGTATCCAGTTAGAGTGAAGGAGGGAGACCGATTGGCCATTACCAACCTGCCATCTCAACCCCCTCTCCAATAACTGGCGCCCATGAAGGATACCTTGCCACCCCCAGGAGGGACGAGATCTCGCAGTCGCTGTCAAGAAAGAGCCGTGAGGGAAGTACTTGCCTTTATAGACTTGGGCAATAAGTGAATGAGGTTCATTGAGAATGCGCCAGCCAATCTTAGCCAAGAGAGCTTGGTTGAAATGCTCGAACTGGCGAAATCCCATCCCCCCATCATGCTTACTCCTGCACATGTTACGCCAGGATACCCATCTGATCTTAGGGCTACCATCCTCCGCCCCCCACCAAAAACGGGCGACATGCTTGTCCAAAAGCCGACAAAGCGCCAGGGGGAGACGAAAATAGGACATCACATGAAGGGGCAGAGCCAACGCTATGGATTTAATCAAAGTTTCCTTAGCAGCCCACGACAAAGTCCTTTGTTTCCACCCCTGAAGCCTTTCAAGTAGTTTGGCCTCCAAATATCTAAATGTAGCCGTTTTGGATCTAGCCACCAGCGTTGGAAGCCCCAAATATTTATCATGGACCCCCACCGCCCCAACCCCTAGAATCGTGGCCAAGAACTCCTGGTCTGGCGTGGAAATATTCTTACTAAAGCACACCGCCGACTTCTCCAGATTAACGCGTTGACCACTCAGCTCCTCATATTCATTCAGTACCTCAATTAAATTTTCGCACTCCCGCAAAGAACCTCGTAAAAACAAATAAGAATCATCTGCAAAGAACAGATGCGAGATCCTCGGAGCACGCGGAGCTACTTTCACCCCCTCTAATTTTTTCTCCGCAATCGCCTTTCGGAGGAGGGCTGCAAACCCCTCCGTGCAAAGCACAAACAAGAGAGGAGAGAGCGGATCCCCCTGGCGAAGGCCCCTAGAGGCAGTGAAATATCCCGAAGGTGTACCATTCATTAGAACCGAGAAAGAGGAGGACCGAAGACATTCATGTATCCATCCTTGCCAGACTGAATTAAAACCCATCTTATCCAAAACTGCAAGCAAGAAGGGCCATTCGACTCTATCATAGGCCTTTTCCATGTCAACCTTCAGAGCCATGTACCCCTTCTTGTCACTGATCACTAAGAAGGAAGAAAAAGAAAAAAAAAAAAGAAGGAAACACATGCATGCTGATTTTTGAACATTATTATTCGAAAAAGTTACACCACCTTAGCTTATAATATTCCTCCCCGTAATCAGACAACTAATAGCCACCAATAGAAAACCACCATAATTAATGTACCTATTAATTTTCTGATCATCGAGACTACATGGACGCCGGAATGTATGCTAGTTGCCCTGAAGACGCTCGTCTCCCCGCTTCCCCCAATCATGGACCCGAAGGTGTAGCTCCCCAACGGCGATCAGGAAATGGACTGCCTGGATCGGAGTCAAGATCTCGTCAACGATCGACCTGAGTGTCACCACCCGTAGATCATCCGCCTTACGCAACAGCTCCTCCATCTTCCTCTTCTTCGGCACCAACGCCCTCTCCACCTGCTCCTCGCTGACCCCGTTGCTGGACCTCTCCACGTCGTCATCATCGTCGTCGTCGGTCCTCCGCATCATTTCGCTCACTGCGTGGGTCAGGTCCACCATGGACACGTCCGCAATCGACTCCTGATGAACGTGCCGGAGGTCAATGTTTATGGGTAGGTGATTGATATATTTCACATGAATGATCAAGTGGTGGAACTGGAAGCTTATACCTGGACCTTTGCCAGCTTCTCTGTGAGCCTCCTCTCTTCCTTGATCGTGTTCCTCTGGAGCTCGTCGATCAGGCCAAACTGCCTCGGCGAAAGGCCAGCCAGATCCGCCACCACGCTGTCTCCATTGTGGCGCCCCTGATGGTCTCGGATTTGGGTCTCGAATTGGAGCCCTGACTTGGAGTAGAGGACGTGGAAAGCCGTGGAGGGACGCCAACCGCCGATCCAGAGAAAGACTTCCTCCAGGGACGTTCTCCAAGACGGGGACAACACAGCTAGCACGTCCCGGTGGGCCCATTCGGACTTGGCCCGGTAGTACTCCTCGTAGTGCTCCAGCACCCGACCCTTCAGGTCTCTGAGAAACCCATCCCCTGCTTGGCCGTTGGCGGCTGCAACGACGAGGCTCTCGAGATGGTGCTCCTGCTCGGTCAACCACCGCTCGAAGAAGTCGTTGAAAGACGACGTGGACATGATAATGTCCCGCTGCGACTCGCAGTAGCTGAAAATTTAATGTAGAAAGTATGTGAAGCTAGCTCATTGTGTTGAAGCATGCATGCCTCTCGCTATGCTATATATACAGAAGCGCGAACTTGCATTCATTCTTTGCTATTATATGAGGCAAGTTGTATATATTATCGTCATGCATTTGGGAAAAGGACAACGATGCTAGTTAGTTTGCGTAACCAGGGGAGATCGATCGAATGAAAGCATAAAACAATGGGGAGATACAAGTGGCTATAGCAACTTGCAGCTAGCTAGCTAGGAATCAGCTGGCTTTTATTTCTAGTTGCATGTATGCATGCATGTGACAGCAGCTCCCTTGTGGTTTAATTACTGTCTTTTTGGCCTTTCGCAATTGAATGTCGGCAAGTGATGGGTAAAGTAATTTATTAATAAAAGTTCAACGCCGGCGTCGGAGGTATGAATCGGGCCATAAGTCCAGGATAGTCTATGGGCTTGCATGCGGCGGTGTGACGTACGTAGTCGATGCTTCCGTGGGCTTTGAGTCTGTGAGGTGAGTTGGTATAATTGTGAACTTAGGCCCAGTGGTTGGGCTTTCACTAAGTGACCATTTTGTGATGTTCTAAAATTATAGGAATGGTTTTGTTACTGGTCCAAGCATAAGTGGGCATTTCGGTTAATTACCCCTGTAGGAGAAGTGTGAGTGACCCAGGTCTCTGATCTACCACAGTTGTCCTATGTGGTCATTGTGCTTTGGTCCCACCAAACCCCATAAAGACGAGAGAGTTTAGCTTCGCTAAGAGTCTGATGTGATCAATAAAATATTAAGATTTGATTTTTGAACTAATGGAGGGGGGTAACGGTAAAGGGTATTACAGTATTTACGCAAAAAGGCATGGGTACCGGGTGCAGGCAAAACGTTAAAAATTACAGGGTTCAAATTTCACATATAACCGGGGGGCCTGATTATTTTGAGCTACTCAAACACGAGTCACCAAAGTTTCATGTATTAACTATTCGCTGCCAAATAGCTCACGAAAACCATCACTTCCTCTCGCGGCGCGGGTGAGCTTCATCTACATGATTGATTGAACCAAGTTTTTTTTAGGATGATCCAAACTTAACTCGCTTGGTCAGGTTAATAATGCTATTTGAGTTTGATTAAACTGTAAAACTAAATCTGTTCGGTTTCATATTATTCGTGTTTAGTTGTGGGCACAAAAATGAAAGCTTAAAGGTAGAGAGGTTCAGAGGGACGACCTGATGGAGAAGTGCAATGCCTGCAGTACTAGAACGAGCAGATAACTGCAGACGGAGAGATAATAGAGCGTACACGACGCATTGAGTAGTGAGAGCAAGGAAAGGAAGAGTCTAAGAGCGCTAGTGTTTTCCCTACGATATGGAATTCGTAGAGAATCAGTAGCCATATTGTTTAGCAATCAACTTTGATTCGATTAACAAAAAAAAAACATGTGTGATCATCTTTTATATCGATCGTGACGGAACAGAGAAATTAGAGAATGTATGTGAAAATATTATATTCTTAATTTGTATGTTTGGCACTCTAATATGAAGAATTTGTACAAGTATATAAAAAAATAAGGGCAATGTCTATTTTTTACCCAAACCTTTTTCAGATTCTTTTATTTTAACCAAACCTATAGAAATTCTATTTATTATCCAAACGTATTATAATTTATCAAAGTCTGGGCATTCATTCTGTTACCGTTACTTATTTCGTCCACGTGAGAGGTGGGATTTTGTTTTGTTTTTTTATAATCTTTTTATTAAAAATAGTAAATGATGGTATTCTGACCGCCACGTAAGAAGTCAACTCATTATGGTCATACTTAGTCAGCATTACTAACAAAAAAGTTGACGGAGAGTTAACGTTTGGATAATTTTTAGGAATTCAATAGGTTTGGTTAAAATAAAAGAATCTGAAAAAGGTTTGGGTAAAAAATAGACATTGCCCAAAAAATAAAGGCCCAATAACTGATTTGCCTATATTTTCAAAAGGGTTATAGGTATAATATGCCCCTCTACTATGTCGTTTTATCGAACATGCCCCTTTACTATTTTTTACATCAAACATGCCCCTGTACTTAAGAAAAATGATCAAACATGCCCTTCTGTTAATATTTTCATCCAAAAACAGCCAACCATGGTCGTATGTTGGTTTGGGCGACACAAATGTCTAAAATATCTCTGGTAATTTCACTTTAGAATTTTTTGGGTTCTTTTGTAGTGCCAAATACCTCTAATAATTTCACTTTAACGAGAACTAGAAAAATAAAATGGGGGACAAAACTGACATTTTTCTTCTCATTTGCCGATGTCGGGTCGTCTACATCTCGGTTCAACCATGGTTGACGATTTTTTTAATGGAAATTTTAATAGAAGGGCATGTTTGATAATTTTCCAAAGTACAAGGGCATATTTGATGTAAAAAATAATAAAGGGGCATGTTTGATAAAACTACATAGTAGAGGGGCATATTATACCTAAAACCCTTTTCAAAATTAAGTGACCATCGGAGTAATTGAGCTTGTGTGACTGTGACCAGACAAGAGTCTCCCTCAGTCACATGAGGTCCCCACTTTCTGCCAAAAATAAAAGTACAAAAAGACAGTTTAAGATCAGAAATTAGGGCTTAATGAATGGTATTCCCGTAAATAATCATCCTACTTGAGCCCTTCAATGTAAACACACCGCCCAAGATCAGCGCCCCCACGACACCACTAATCGCAGTGAAAAAGTACTCGTTTCCCGCAAAAGCCCCTTTGCATTTTAAAAATAATAATTTTCCTTTTTTTGAAGAAGAAAATGGTAAAGTCATTCTTTAGTCATTCCCATCCATCACTCTCTTTCCCACACTCTTCCTGTTTAGCTTCCTTTCTCCCGAAGTTGCTTACATTAGCAGCGCTCTCTATCTCCTCCAACCTTTTTTTTCCCGCTAGGGTTTAGTCGCTCGCTGCTTTGTCTCCATCGCTAGGAAGTAGGAGCGATGAAGATGGCAGGACGGTTGTTAGATTCAGCAGCTTGAATTTGAATTCCAAGTTCTTTTCTGGTTTGTCTGGTGTTTCCCCTTTTAGCTTCGCTTTACTTTATCTTGCTTCAACTGTTGTTGTGCTTCTGGCTCGTTCCTAGTTTAGTTGCTTCGGATTTGGTGTTGTGAGAAGCAAATCGAGGAATGCTCCTTCTTATGTTTCTAAATTTGGTTTGCTGTTGTTGTTGGAAAGGGCGCGGGAGTGCTTTTTCTTTGGTTCTTCCCTGGGTTTGGTGAAGAATGGCGTCGTCGTCCAGAGGCGGGGCGGATCAGCCGACCCCTCCTCAGCCTCAGCAGCGGAGGATTATGAGAACCCAGACGGCTGGGAATCTTGGGGAGTCGATATTTGATAGTGAGGTTGTGCCTTCTTCGCTTGTGGAGATTGCGCCTATTCTTCGTGTGGCTAATGAAGTGGAGTCCAGTAACCCAAGGGTTGCTTATCTCTGTAAGTGTTTTGCTAAGACTGGAGTTTACTTACTTATACATCTGCTTGCCTTCTGTAATTACTGCTTCCCGTTGTCTACATCTGGACCGTTGGTTTCTAGTCTTTATTCGTCGGCATTTCATTTGTGCTTGCTTCAACCTGAACAGTCAAGTCTATGCATGTATTTCGCTATGCAGTCTATGTTACTTGATGGGCATGTTTGAACCTTGAGCTGGGTTTTCGATATTCTGCTGCATTTCCTGGCAGAGAATGGGAATGTTAATAATTTAAGATAACAATTTATTCTATTCCATGCCTGGGGATCTTTAATTTGAATGTCATACTGTTTTCTCATTGCTAATTTGGTTTCCCTTTAGAGGATGGATGCAAGCTAGATTTGCTGTTTGCTTTCCCTGCACGTATTGAGTCTGGATAGTGTACGGGACGTTAACGATTCGAGATAGTGATATTTTTCTTGTATGCTCAAGGCGGGATGCCCAATTGTTGCTGCTGCCACCTCCTTTGAATCTTACCCTTTCCTCCTCTTTGTAGGCCGATTTTATGCCTTTGAGAAAGCTCATAGGCTGGATCCTACTTCCAGTGGAAGAGGTGTTCGTCAATTTAAAACTGCGCTTCTTCAACGTCTCGAAAGGGTAAGGACATTGGTTTTCATTTTTGTAGATGTGATAATTGAAGGCCTTCTTATTTGCATACACGAACTTCCTTCTCCTACCATCTTAAAGAATAAAGATGAATGTCCACAATTACCTATCGTTGCGTTGATTGTTTAATTTGATATCTTCCTCTGATTTAACAGGAAATATAAATTGGAAGCCCACTAGTGATTTTTTTTGTTGCTCTAAAGTGTTGATCTGTTTCGCTTGCAGGAAAATGATCCAACCTTGAAGGGTAGGGTTAAGAAAAGTGATGCTAGAGAAATGCAGAGTTTTTATCAACATTATTATAAAAAATATATCCAAGCTTTGCAAAATGCTGCTGATAAAGCCGATCGGTAAGTTACTCGTGGGCAGGGAAGATAGATTAATTTTTTACGGTTCCTTTTTCGAAAGACTGCTGTTTGAGGATACTCTTTGAAGAGTTGCTTCCATTGTTTCAATACCTTGCTTCTGTTGGATTGTAGAGCACAACTTACCAAGGCGTACCAAACTGCTAATGTGCTTTTTGAGGTTTTGAAGGCTGTTAATATGACACAATCCATTGAAGTTGATCGAGAGGTGATGCCATAGCTTACTATTGTCTTCTTTATGTTTATTGATGAGTAGTTGCATTGATGGTTGTAAATTTGGGATCATTGCCGAGTTTAGAGTCCACAGGTACTTGTGAATTTTAACACACTCTGGAATTAGTACAGATTTTGGAAGCTCAAGATAAGGTTGCGGAGAAGACTCAACTATATGTGGCTTACAATATACTTCCACTGGATCCCGATAGTGCAAATCAGGCAATTATGAGATTTCCTGAGGTACTTCTCCTATGTCTATTTCTGTTGGCTTCTCTGAACCTGGCTGGGATTCTATTCCACACATTCATAAATACTCTGTTTTGCAGATCCAAGCAGCCGTTGTTGCCCTTCGTAACACAAGAGGTCTTCCATGGCCCAAAGATCATAAGAGGAAAAAGGATGAAGATATATTAGACTGGCTTCATGCGATGTTTGGGTTCCAGGTTTCTGTTTATTTTTCCGCTTCACAAGTCTTTTGTTGGACATTTGTTTGTTGAATTTATAATATTAGTTGGTGTCATTTGCTATTTGCTAACTTGTTCCAAACTTCTTGCTGCTTCTGCTTTGTATTTGTAGAAAGGTAATGTTGCAAATCAAAGGGAACACTTAATCTTGTTACTTGCAAATGTGCACATACGACAGTTCCCTAAGATGGATCAACAACCTAAGGTTTGTTTCCTGGACATCTAACTCATGGCCTGTACACATTAATCTTGAGTTCCTTCTGAAACATTGTTTTATGACAAGCTTGTGTCTTATCCTTCCCTCTTAACTTGGCATTGGAGTGGGATTTTATGAGCGGGGTGCAGAGTGCTGCACTTGATTATAGGAAGGGTTGAAAACTGAGGCAAAGACTTATTAACATTTCTTTTGGTGGATTAGGTCAGGGAGATTCAGAATTGAATAAGAAGTAGCATGATCGGATCTATAATTCAATATCAGGAGAAGTATCTGTCATTTCCTTTTGTCATACAATCATGATCATTGTACTGAATGCAAGAACTATTTGAAAGCTGGTTCCATTAGTTACAAAATAAATCTAAAGGTATTGTACATTCAATTAGTAAAATTTGACCTTGTTTCTTTCTGTCGGGACACCTTATAACTGAATTACACGGGTTATCTTTCCTAGGCATTGCAAAATAATTCAAGTATATACCAAAAAAACTTATGAAGTGAGACCATTAATTTTAGGAGGAGTACATTCTCTGATTTTCATTCTAATTTCTTGTCTATCCATCTAGTTACTTGTGATTTTTTTGCAAATTAAGAATAAAAATTCTTTTGCTTTCTGAAGAAGATCTGTTTCATAGCCAGTACATCATGGTGCATTTCGTTTCAAACTTTGTACTTGCCTTGCAGTTGGATGACCGTGCACTGACTGATGTGATGAAGAAGCTGTTTAAGAATTACAAGAAGTGGTGCAAGTACTTGGACAGGAAAAGCAGTCTTTGGTAATATTTGTTGTATTGTCACTTGGATTTAGACTTTGGAATCTTTATTATGTCTTTTCATGGACATAAAATATCTATCCTTATCTGTTCAGTTTAGCTTCATCATTTCATAAATGTAGAATAATCCAAAGAGAATTTCTATGGGCGAAGAACAATGTTTTATCATGCTTTGTGTTGTGTGCGTATGTGCATTTGCTTTCCTTTGTGTTAAAAGTTAGATACCTCACCAGCCGACTCATGTATTTGAGACAACTAACTTGAAATGGCTTTGGAATGTCAATTAAAACAATGTTATACTCGGTGGAGTTATCTTCTTTTTATTCATATTCCCTGTCTGATATTGCTTCTGGAGTGTTATGGTTTGAGGGAAGGGATGGAACTTAACGAGAAAGTATAAGGTTCTGGATTCTAAGTCATTCTGCTCTTTTGATTGGCAGGATGCCTACAATACAGCAGGAGGTGCAACAGCGTAAGCTGTTATACATGGGCCTTTATCTTCTGATATGGGGTGAAGCTGCAAACTTGAGATTCATGCCAGAGTGCCTGTGCTATATATATCATCATGTATGCTTCAGGCTACATCTTTTAAAATGCAGATTGATCCTATCCCATAGTTCTAGAGCGAAATTCTGGTTGTATTAGTGCAATGGGAACGTAGCCACTTTAGAATGTGATGCTCTCATTTGCATTATTCTATTTATTACTTGTTATGGAATTAATACCATATTGAAGAGGCCGTTCTACTACCATTTAGTGTTTCTTCTAACGTTAGACCCAAGCTATTTTGAACTCGTTTGCTGTGTGCCTATTAAATCTTCTCTAAAATCAGTTATATTCCTGTAGATGGCGTTTGAGCTTTATGGCATGTTAGCTGGGAATGTGAGTCCTATGACAGGAGAAAATGTAAAGCCTGCTTATGGGGGTGAAGAAGAGGCTTTTCTCTCAAAAGTTGTTACGCCTATATACAATGTCATTGCAAAGGTGTGTTTATTCGTTAACGCTGAGTCCAAATCCAATGCCAATTCCTAGAAATTGTCACTATTCACCTTTTTATTTGAATCTACAGGAAGCTCAGAGGAGTAAAAAAGGGAAATCAAAGCATTCTCAGTGGAGAAATTATGATGATCTGAATGAATACTTCTGGTATTAGATTAATGCAGTTTACTTGGCTGTATATTCACTTTTGCATTAACTTTCACGTGCTCAGTTTACTTCCTGTATAAATTGTAGGTCTGTTGATTGCTTCCGATTAGGCTGGCCAATGCGTGCAGATGCTGATTTCTTTTCTTCTCCTGCCGAACTTCATCCTTTTGAGAAAAATGGGGTAAGCAATAAATTGTAGTTTGGCAAATATGCACAACAATATAACTGAAGGCTGATCCAATTTTTGATCTGTGGATCTATTGGGTCTTGTTATCTTCTCCTTCTTTGCTTATTAGTAGAAATGAACCTGTTAGAATTGCGAGAAGAAAATAGTCAAAAAGAGTTTACAAAGTATTGTTGAGGGAACGAATGTTAGGGACTGTTTTCTCGTTTGGATGGGAGAATACCATGAAAGTAGTGTGGTGGAAATTTCTTTTCCATAAACTTTGATCAACTGAGAATACAAATCTTACCAGTACTACTCTTCTAGTCTCCTTATGTCAATATCAGCTGATGTATTCTTCTCCATTTGACATGTCCATGTGTATTTACCAGTTCACTTATGCTTGACTTTTATGTCTTCAGGACAACAACAAACCAGCTTATAGAGATAGATGGGTGGGGAAGGTCAATTTTGTTGAGATCCGCTCGTTCTGGCACATCTTTAGAAGTTTTGATAGGATGTGGAGCTTCTTTATCCTATGCTTGCAGGTATATATTCTTCTAGTTTTCGTTTCGCTTCACTTTGGTGCTTCCATTTAACACTCCTTTTTAGAGGTAGTCGGGTTATATCTCATTTTTTCCAATTCTTTATAGGCTATGATTATCATTGCTTGGAATGATTCTGCTGGCCGTCCAATATTTACTGGTGAAGTAGTCAAGAAAGTTTTGAGTATCTTCATAACAGCTGCCATATTGAAACTTGGCCAAGGTAAGTAGCGAAGAACACAACTAGATTTATGCTTACCCCGTTTCTCTCTAAATTGTGTACACTCTATGATGCTAGATCATCCAACATGATTATAGTTGCTGAGTTTCAAAACCGTTCAGTCATGATTTTACTCATTGTGTAGATAGAGCTGGGGCTTTACTGTGTCCCCTGCGTTTTCAATGTTAAGTTAAAAGTTACATAATATTTCATAATTTCTCCCTAAGCTTATGGATTGCCAATAATATCACATTGTTTTCTTCCGCTTAAAAGTTCAGCTCTTTCTATTTAAAGTTACTGTTCAAATATATACAAGTAGCAGTTGGATAAGATTCCTATTGATTTCATTGGTGTCGGAAAGAACTGAAATGAAAGATTTGTTTCTTGTCATGTGAACCCCGCCTCAGTGTTTTTATTCTCATGTGAAGAACAATTCTATCTATTTGATTTTGTATCTTGATTCAATGCATTGTACTAGCAGCTTACGATTCTTCATTAGTCTTGATTTTCATTTTTGGAATCCACATTCCGTTAGAGTTGGTGGATTTATTACCAATGCTATTTTGTTGATTATTGCAGCTGTCCTTGACATAATCATCAATTGGAAAGCCCGCCAGATGATGTCTTTCCATGTCAAGTTGAGATACATTCTGAAGTTTGTTTCAGCTGCAGCATGGGTGGTTGTTCTGCCGGTGACATATGCTTATACATGGCGAGATCCATCAGGATTTGCTCAAACAATTCAAAGTTGGTTCGGCAGCAATGTTAGCTCGCCGTCTTTGTTTATTTTAGCAGTGGTTATCTATCTTTCACCAAACATGTTGGCAGCTGTGCTATTTCTTTTCCCCTTCATACGAAGGTTCCTGGAGCAGTCCCATTATAAAATAGTGATGCTTGTAATGTGGTGGTCTCAGGTATGCATGATTGCTTCTCTTCCCATACTTTCATCTATTTCTTCCTGTGCATACTTTTTGTTGTAACGTTGTTGCCTGATTGAAATTGTAGCCTCCGCTCTATGTTGGGAGGGGAATGCATGAAAGTACTCTCTCTCTTTTCAAGTGAGTATTTATTGTTAGAATAATTGCTTCAGTTTGGATTTCAGGCTCTGTGTGTAATACCTTCTTCTCTGATGCAGGTATACCGTGTTTTGGGTTCTCCTTATCGTAACCAAGTTGGCATTCAGTTACTATATTGAGGTTCGTTCTTCATTTATGCTTCCTGGTCTTATTCCTTTGCTGCTATTATGGATTTGGATAAAGAACAACATGTGTCATATCTCTCCCTCGGCTTTCTTTTTTTGTCCCACGTTGGTGGCAGAATTATGAGTGTCTACAGAGAGTGAAATATCTTTTATTAAAAGTAGTGATCTTTTGGCAGTCAATGCAATTGTGTGGCGCTCAAGTGCGAGACAAATGTGAAGCAAAGATCATCTAAATAATTGTGCTATCTTGTTATGGTTCAACTCTAAATATACAGCAAGCCGAATGCTAACTTGAGGAAAGCAGTCATAGCATGTTTGAATGTTTTTTCAACTATCCGGACTATGTTTTGTTGGAAGAAAGCTTATGTTAGTTGTGCATGAGTTCAGCCGAACATGCCTTGAATTTGTGAGTTCAGCAGTTGAAACTCAAAAAAGGTTTTTAGTTCTGTGCAAATGCAAGTCTTGATCTTTTTAGCTGAAAATATTAACAAGAAACTTGGAGTTGTCAGTTGGTGCGGTTAAGAGGACTCTTGGTTCATCTTTTAGTTAAACTGGTGAAAGAGTTTCTTCTAGTAAAGATGGAACTGGTAGAGGAGACAGAAGTGGGACAAAGCATTAGTTTTTATTTTTTATGATTCTCTTGGTGGGATTGTGGTTTGCTGCTCTGGTAGTTGTTCATAACAGGTCATTCAGGTTGGGATTGGTATTGGCTTCCCTCTCTGTTTCATTTTCAGGTGTGGGCGGGGTGTTGGATCATGCAGTTCCTACTCCAAAGAATTAGTTAGTCAAGTTATCCAGAATCAATTGCTTTTAGTGGCTAGGAATCACGTTTTATCGTTGAGACTTGAGACATTGTTACATATGATTGTTATACCTAACTGATAATTATTCTTTGATTTCTGATGCTGTTCTCTTGTTATCAATATTGTCTCAAACGAGGCATCGAACCTGTTAAGCAGCAGTGCAAACACTTTTTATTCTGCTATATATCCTGTTTCTAATAATTGTAATTTTTGGTTTCAGATAAAGCCTTTAGTTACCCCAACAAGAGCTATAATGAGTGTCCACATAACTACATTCCAATGGCACGAATTCTTCCCTCAAGGTATGTTCATGAATCAGTTGTTTGTAGTAGAATGCTTGTTCACAATATCTTTGTCATGTGAAATGGGATTGTCGTTGATTTTTCTTTTTCCTTTGCAGCTAGGAACAATATTGGTGTGGTGATTGCACTCTGGGCACCAATAATTCTTGTATGTACTCTTTTTTCCGTTTCCTTATTTTCACATCCTCTTACCCTAACCCTGTATTCAAGATGGACTGAGCACTCATCTGTCCGATTTTGTAGGTCTATTTCATGGATACTCAGATTTGGTATGCCATATTCTCCACATTGTTTGGTGGTGTATATGGTGCATTTCGGCGACTTGGAGAGGTTAGAGATCTGTTTTCCTTCTGATATTGTTCTGCTGCATATTTCACTTTCAGCTGTGCTTTGCGAACTTTCTGATTAAGTTGCTCAAATAATCTTTTATTGTTTAATTTAATTTCTGTTATGTAGTGAAAAAATAGGAAGTTCGTGAAATTTCTAAACTAGTTAGCTGTGCTCCAGCATGGCTGAAGAAATCATATTTTGATTGATACTAGTTCCTAACTCAACCTGAACATAACCCATAATGAGTACTCTGATCAAAACACTCATATTCTAATTGCAGAAACTCCTCCGTTTGAAGTATTTTGCTTTTCCATCTGACCATTCAGAGATCAATCAGTTCCCGCAAGTTATGAATGTGTAGGAGCTTTATTGGGGACATGGGATCTCCATGTTTAGTTAGAAAATCATCTTCCCGTTTTAGATTTGGACTAGTGTTTCCCACTGTCTGATTTGATTTCGTCATTGCTGCCTACAAATCTTTGACGGATGATTGCTGTTTGTTGATTTATTTTCCAACCTCTACTTTCCTGATCCGCGAACTTCTCGCATCTCAGATTCGGACGTTGGGAATGCTTCGCTCACGTTTTCAGTCATTACCTGGTGCTTTTAATGCCCGCTTAACTCCAGAAGAAAGGAGCGAGCCAAAGAAGAGAGGGTTAAAGGCTACCTTGTCTCGCAATTTCGCTACGGTAGTTACTTATGGCTGATGCTAATAGTTATCATTACTCTAGTGAACTTAAATAAGCATGGCTGTAACTTGGGTATCTGGGGCTGTTGCAGATACCATCCAACAAAGAAAAAGAGGCTGCAAGATTTGCTCAGTTGTGGAATAAAATCATTACTAGTTTTAGAGAAGAAGATCTTATCAGCGACAGGTTAGAAACTTGATATTTATGGAACCTTTTGATGTCTGCTGCTGTTTCTTTCAAAACTAATGCCTCCATGTTGTTAGGGAAATGGATCTGTTGCTTGTACCATACTGGGCTGACCGTGATCTGGACCTCATACAGTGGCCTCCATTTTTACTGGCTAGCAAGGTCTATTTATATATATATATATATTTTTCGTAAACATCTTGTACAGTTATCATACAATGTAGAAGATAAAAAATGTGCATAGTGAGACATTAACAAAGCTTACCACTCCAGATACCAATAGCATTGGACATGGCCAAGGATAGCAATGGGAAGGACAAAGAGTTGAAAAAGAGAATTGAGGCTGACAGCTATATGTCCTGTGCTGTTCGTGAATGTTATGCTTCATTTAGGAACATCATCAAGTTCTTGGTTCAAGGGGACCGCGAGAAAGAGTAAGTTTAGCTGTGGACTAATTCCTGCAGACTTACAGTTCACTGATATATGTTGGCTAATATATGAATTCTTTCCAGGGTGATTGATTACATATTTGAAGAGGTGGACAAGCATGTTGATGTTGGTGATCTCATCAGTGAGTACAAAATGAGCGCGCTTCCTAACCTCTATGAGCATTTTGTGAAGCTCATCAAATATCTGGTATTCTGCACGCACCTCTTATCTGATGTTCAGGATGGATATGAGTATTGTCAATTCCTGATCCATTTGCGTTAAATCTGTTGCAGTTAGTGAATAAACCAGAAGACAGGGATCAAGTTGTCATTCTGTTCCAGGATATGTTAGAGGTCGTGACAAGAGATATAATGATGGAGGATCAGATATCCAGGTGCATCATTAAATGTTTTGGTTCTGAGATATTTTTATTTCATTGAATTTCTGAGATATGTTAGCATTGAACTGTATTAATATTATTTATTTATTCTTGCAGTCTGGTTGATTCAATTCATGGTGGACCTGGCCATGAGGGAATGGTTCCACTTGATCAGCAATATCAACTGTTTGCATCTTCAGGAGCTATTAAGTTTCCTATCGAACCTGTAACAGAGGCATGGAAAGAGAAGGTAAGTTTGGTGGAAGGATTGGTGTCAATATGCAGCCTTTCTCGACTTTCCTTAAATAGGTTTTGATAGGCAACATTAGCTGCAAGGTCTGGATTTAGTGGGTTGTTTTTTTTTCATTCCCGGTTACCTCTCATAATCTTATATGTTTATGCTTGCAGATCAAGCGGCTTGATCTTCTGCTTACCACAAAAGAATCAGCGATGGATGTGCCATCCAACCTGGAAGCTAGGAGGCGGATTTCTTTCTTTTCAAATTCTTTGTTTATGGACATGCCGACAGCCCCGAAAGTTCGGAATATGCTTTCCTTCTCGTAGGTGTTCGGTTTATTCATTTGACTTTTAATTCAGTTTTCTAGTCCTTTAATTTTCTAGTCCCTATGGCTGGAACTGGAATTAGCTTTATCATCTAAAATATTCTCCATCCCTGTGGGAAGATCTTGTCAGTTCCTGTTATGAAAGCTTATCCTTATCGGGATCTTAAAGCAGACAACTATAAGCATAATGCAGTTTATGTGAAAGTTGGCCCTATGTCTAAATATGACCTATGTTTTTTTCTCCAAAACAAAGCGTACATAGGAAGGGACTTTGCTATAGTTTGATCATCTTGTTCTTAGTATTGGTTTAGCCATTGTAGTAAATACCTTGTACGTTGATCGATAAGAGGATTCTAAAATCTCCGATGATGGGTTTTGCAGTGTTTTAACTCCTTACTATACGGAGGAAGTTCTTTTCTCCTTGCGTGAATTGGAAGTGCCGAATGAAGATGGGGTTTCAATCCTATTTTACCTGCAGAAGATCTTTCCTGGTTCATATATTATCTCAGCATATTGACTTTTTCTCTATTCCTTTAGTATTTATTTATTCATTTGTTAAGCCCTCATGCACAGATGAATGGAATAATTTCCTTGAGCGAGTGAATTGCACTAGTGAAGAAGAACTCAAGGGAATAGATGATCTTGAAGAAGAACTTCGTCTCTGGGCATCATTCAGGGGCCAAACCCTGACAAGAACTGGTACCCTTTTGGTTACTCGTATGATGATGCAGTTCCTGGTTGTTTCCTATGTTTAGTTCCATTCAGCTGTTGTTTTACATATTTGGAATCTTTGCCATGCTTTGCAGTAAGAGGAATGATGTACTACCGCAAGGCGTTGGAGCTTCAGGCATTTCTTGATATGGCTAGAGATGAAGGTAATAGTTTTCTTGATGAATTTCTTTGTGCTGTTGAGAATTTCTGGTTTTATCCTTTTACTTGATTGTCCCTTGGTTTTGAATCTTGGCTCGTACTTCTCATTCTTTCTTAGATTTGATGGAGGGCTATAAGGCTGTAGAACAGAATACTGAAGATCACTCGAAAGGTGAAAGATCGTTGTTTGCCCAATGTCAAGCCATTGCTGATATGAAATTTACATATGTGGTTTCATGTCAGCAATATGGTATCCACAAGCGGTCTGCAGATCCTCGAGCACAAGACACACTAAGACTTATGACTGCGTATATATCCTAATTTAACTATTCCTTACTTATGCAAAATTTATGCAAGTGTGTTTGACTTATGCATATGTTTCCAATTGATAGGTACCCATCACTTCGTGTAGCATACATTGATGAGGTTGAAGAGCCTAATAAAGACAAGACAAAAAAGGTCAACCAAAAGGTTTATTATTCAGTCTTAGTGAAGGCTGCCTTACCTAAGGCCATTGATTCTTCAGAGCCTGTTCAGAATTTGGATGAGGTATCTTTCAACATGAACTGAGGCAACGCGATATACGTTTTTGCTGCATATTACGGTTATTTGACAGTCTCTTTAAGTAAATCGTTCATTAGCAGTACCTTATGCGATTATCTGACATCAACATTATAGAAAAGTAGTAATGGCTTGTGAAAAACTGTACAACAGGTTTTTATTATAAATATATGATATCACCGTTACCAAAAGAAAGAAAAACTGTACGCGAGGACCAGCAAAATACATAGACTACTTGACTGCCCTGTTGCTGTAGGGTCTTAGTTGATGCTGTGTACATTCTTCTTGTAAGCCTACTTTTAGAATTAGGTTTCTGAGACTAGGTCAGCAGAAGGTCTTTTGCATGACCTTTTCTGGTCTTCACCATGTAACTACTGCAGTCTGCTCTCTGGAGTGGGATTTTTTACATGTCTTTGTGGCTGAGATTTTACTTTAAGCTCAGACTAGCCTTAGGCCTCCCCTTTCCTTTTCCATAAAAGTTGAATGGGAACCCTGAGAAAGAAGGAAGATGGTGAATGAGTACACTGTGGTGATGATTGGACATAATGCATTTTAGACTCTTTGCGGGGTCACTCCATGAGTGGTAAATTCTGACCTTGATTGAAATTTTAGAACTAACTTTTACTAGAAAGCATATGGGGCTGTTATGTATCTTAGGGCAATTCTGAATCTTCATTCTTCTTGCTTAACTATCCGGTTTGCATCATGATGAGGGTAAAAGCATGTACGGTGCTGTCGATGTGACTGTGGTCCATTAAGGAATGGAAGGGGAGTCTTGCCATATAGCATGTCAGTGTTTATTGAGAAGTGTATCAATTCTAGTTTTTATTTCTCTTGATGGTTTGTGGGGATACTTGGTTGCGTGCGTTTTGGAAGCAATATTAATTAATTTCTTAATCTTGTTTCATATGGCAGGTTATTTATCGAATCAAACTCCCTGGGCCAGCCATCTTAGGCGAGGGGAAACCAGAGAACCAGAATCATGCGATTATCTTTACTCGGGGAGAGGGGTTGCAGACAATAGACATGAACCAGGTACAGTGATGGCTTAGCTGTATGGAATGAATGTTTGTTTCCTTGGTCAGTTAATTAAGTGTTCATAATCAGGATAACTACATGGAGGAAGCCTTAAAAATGAGAAATCTACTGCAAGAGTTTCTCAAAAAGCATGATGGTGTCAGATATCCTACGATTCTTGGTCTTAGGGAGCACATATTCACTGGAAGGTACAATTGGGCTTTTTACGTACCACCTATTATGGTTGTTTCTGTTTTTATCTACTGTATTGTTCATCTTCTTTCATCCATTGTGCAGTGTTTCTTCGCTTGCTTGGTTTATGTCAAATCAGGAGACAAGCTTTGTGACTATTGGTCAGAGACTACTGGCTAACCCTCTCAAGTAAGTATATTGATTGTCTAGTCAATTGATTCTTAAGCTCTTGGGCTGAAGACTATCATCCCAAAATAATGATCACATTGTCTAGGTATGATTTTGTGAATGGTTATCGAGACTGATCCCCATGAACTGGAGAGGTCTTAAGTTACTGTGGGACTTGTGTAGACGACTGAAGATTAGATGGCCGGTATCATGCATGGTGTTGCATTCTGTTTGTTTCTCGTTTTAAACTAGCAGTAGTGTGTAAATACTAGGAATATACAATTTAACTGATTAAAATGCTGCCAACTTCTTTAGACGGCTAGAAGCATATAAGTATTTCTGATATAGTGCATTTGGCTCCTGAACTCACCACATCAATCCTACCTCACTAGATTAGATTCTAGCATATGAAACTATGAAGTCAATTACAAAGTCTTGATAACAATACTTTTACGGGTCATTTGGAAAAGTCAATTGGAAAATGTGCCATTTCAGAAAGTGAGTCTTTTTCTAAATGCCACACACCCAATTGCCGTTTTCCCCGAAACCAAACGAGGCTTTTTGGTCCAAATGCTGCATTATGAGGCACTTGGGCCTAAATGCTTCATCCAATTCCTCATCCAAAATAGCCATTAGCTACTATTAACTGGGACCATGATGAGCTAATGTAATGTAACCTCTGGCCATTGACCATTTGTCCTTCCTTTCTTCTTCCATGAACTTTATTTGTTGATCCTAATCCTTAATTTTGTCAACTAGGGTTCGATTCCATTATGGTCACCCAGATGTGTTCGATAGACTTTTCCACTTGACTAGGGGGGGAATCAGTAAAGCGTCCAAGGTTATCAATCTCAGTGAGGACATATTTGCTGGTAAGTTATTTTATTGTCTAGAAAGCTGTATTGTTCCTTGTACAATGTACACTCTTGTTGGCTCATTCATTTCAAAGGCTGTTCCTCATCTGGGCCCTGTTGTGCAGGTTTCAATTCCACTCTTCGTGAAGGGAATGTCACTCATCATGAGTACATACAAGTTGGCAAAGGAAGAGATGTCGGTCTCAATCAAATCTCAATGTTTGAAGCCAAAATTGCAAACGGAAATGGCGAGCAGACTTTGAGTCGTGATATATACAGGCTTGGACACCGTTTTGATTATTTCCGCATGTTGTCTTGCTACTTCACTACAGTTGGCTTCTACTTCAGTACTCTGGTATGGTTGGATACATCGGAAGGTTAAATTTTCTTCATAAGCAACTGAGATGGTTAAACTGATCGGTGCTTTTTCTTCTTGCAGATAACTGTGCTAACTGTGTATGTCTTCCTTTATGGTCGTCTATATCTGGTTCTAAGTGGGCTGGAAGAAGGGTTGAAAAATCAGCGAGCTATCCGAGACAACAAGCCTCTTCAGGTGGCTCTAGCTTCCCAGTCTTTTGTCCAAATTGGTTTTCTCATGGCTTTGCCCATGCTTATGGAAATCGGCTTGGAAAGAGGTTTCCGTACCGCCCTTAGTGAATTCATCCTCATGCAACTTCAACTTGCACCGGTGTTCTTCACATTCTCCCTTGGAACCAAGACTCATTACTACGGAAGAACTTTGCTTCACGGAGGCGCCAAGTACAGGTCCACAGGTCGAGGCTTTGTGGTGTTTCATGCCAAGTTCGCCGACAATTACAGGCTTTACTCTCGCAGTCACTTTGTCAAGGGGATTGAGATGATGATTTTACTTGTCGTGTATGAAATCTTTGGTCAGTCATATAGAAGTGCTCTTGCCTATGTCTTGATAACCATTTCAATGTGGTTTATGGTTGGGACATGGCTTTTCGCTCCTTTCCTCTTTAACCCTTCGGGGTTCGAGTGGCAGAAGATTGTTGATGATTGGACTGATTGGAACAAGTGGATAAGCAACAGAGGTGGAATAGGTGTTCCACCCGAAAAGAGCTGGGAATCATGGTGGGAGGAGGAGCAGGAGCATCTACGTCATTCTGGAAAGCGTGGTATTGTTGCAGAGATTCTTTTATCTTTGCGGTTCTTTATTTACCAATATGGGCTAGTGTATCACTTGTCCATGACAAAGAAAGCCAAGACCAAGAGCGTTCTTGTGAGTACTTCTGACTGACTTGCACCGTACCACTCTCTTATTCTTTAATTGCAGAATATAAAGTTGCAAATCAATCTGATTTTTGTACTTTCACTTGTACAGGTGTATGGAATATCTTGGTGCGTCATCTTTCTGATACTGTTTGTGATGAAGGTGTGCTATTAATTCTTCACTCCTTGAATCTGACAATTATCAGGATTTTATATTTCTTAGATGGGTTCAGTATTGTCTATAATGGAACTGTTGCCAGTCTTGGTGCTAGTGTGAAGTAAAATGTTGCTTTGGGGATTCAAGCATCGAGAGGATTTTGAATTAACTCTAGGATATTAACTATAACACTGCAAAAGGGTAGACTAACCGAACCATTATGTTGGTAATTTTGTTTTGTTTATAGATATACTGCTTATTTGTTTCAGGCTTAGGTTGTGTTTGTTTGGTACCATTTTAGGATTTTGAACTTTGCTTTTAGATGAGTAGAGTGTTAGATCCGTTCTATTAAAGTAGGATTGATGTGATAGGAGATTGTTTATTAGTAGTAAAGTTACTGAGAGTCTGAGACAGTGCGATTCAATTTTTTTTATTGTTCAAAAAGAAGATTGTGTTTTGTAAAATGAGTATGACTGATGTGGGTTGTGCCCACTAATAAGACTAACGAGTTCCACCATCCATGTTTTTTCGTTTTGTTATGCGATTGAGTACTCTACTTTTTTCTTCTCTGTTCGTCTTACAATTGATCTTGATTTGTAATCCTCAGACGGTGTCTGTTGGGCGGCGAAGATTCAGTGCAAACTTTCAGCTGGTGTTCCGTCTGATCAAGGGATTGATCTTCATATCATTTATGTCCATTTTGGTCACTCTCATAGCATTGGCTCACTTGACAGTCCAGGACATCGTTCTCTGCATTCTCGCCTTCATGCCTACTGGCTGGGGGATGCTTCTGGTAAGCCAATTTCTTCCTGGCCTAAGGGGTCATTTTGATGTTTTAGTATGGAATTTCATTGAATGTGAAAGGACTTGATAGGAGTGAATTTTCAACACTCCATTGTTGGAATGCACTTTTTTTTTGTGTGGAAGTGAATGTGGTGATTGGAATTTAAGTAGATTATATGACATTCCTTCTTCAGGAGAGATTGAAATCGTAATGTTAGCATATGAGTGCACGTTTGCGAGGGTCCAAATACTTTTTCCAGCACCCTTCTAGTTTCATTTGATTACTTTTGCATGAATGGTCATATTGCTCTGATGCTAGATCCTTGCATTCCCATTTGCGAAACAAGTCTTCTGATATGTTTTACATATGAATCTATCTGATGCACAGATAGCACAAGCTTGTAAACCTGTGGTGCAGCGAGCTGGGTTCTGGGGATCAGTTCGAACTCTCGCTCGTGGCTTCGAGATCGTTATTGGCCTACTTCTCTTCACCCCAGTTGCATTCCTTGCTTGGTTCCCCTTTGTCTCTGAGTTCCAAACTCGCATGCTCTTCAACCAAGCCTTCAGCAGAGGTCTCCAGATTTCACGTATTCTAGGCGGGCAAAGGAAAGACCGGTCTTCTCGCAACAAGGAGTAAACAGATTCTCCTGTATCTTGCTTCGGCAAGGCATGTACACTGTAACCTCCTAGTGTAATTATTTATTTAGAGAACAGTCAGTAGCAAGTCAAGTAGTAGGGGGGACGTTCGTGAGGTTTTTGAGGAGCAGTTTTTAGAACTGTGAAGAAAGGATCATTGAGTCCTGGTAGTAGCTTAGCTTCTCCCTCTTTATAACGTGAAATACTACTTGCTGTTGTAAGTTGTAACCTAGTTCGTCTTTTATCTATCGATTGGTTTTGCTGGTCATCTGCCTGCAAAAACCAGATATTGCTGCTAATTTAGTATGAACCGTCAACTAAATACCTTCATTTTGCGCTGTTTTCCTTGAATGAACTGATGTGTGTTTGAGCTGGCTACTATGTATTGTTCTGCAGCGAATGCTTTGAACTGTCAGTTGTACAATACATATTACTGAAATGATCTGTATGTTGATACCTTTTTCATGTAGATATGGTTTTGTTTGGTAGTGTGTTTGTCAACGGATACTATTGAAGCTTGCGTGCTACTAAGGTTCATTTGCCAAGATATTGGTTGAGAGTTGTATCACAGAACTTAGTTACTTACCTTGGCAGTAGGGTCTCATGCTTGATGGATTAGAGAGTCGGGACCAATTGGAATCAGTCGAATAATTCTGTTATCCTCGAGAAGTTCCGTGTCCCTATTGTCATAGATGGTGCCATGGTGGAAACCTGATAGTTGTAGTTGTTGGTTTTAGAGAGTTCTATAAGATCCAGCATAACCTTCTCCTCCAACAACTCTAGTTATTGGGAGCAGCTGATTTATGACATGGTATTAGAGCTGGTTAGGCAAGTGGTCGTGTGTTCGAATCTCCACGACCCCCAACATTAATCATTGTCTTCAAGCACATGATATGGTAGGGCCTGGCCTGTGCAAACTTCAAGCTCTTAAGTTGGCTTTCGTTTGAGGGACCGTGTTAGAGAGTGCCATAAGATCCAGAATAACCTTCTCCCAACAACTCGAGTGATCGGAAGCAACTGGTTTATGACTATTGGTAATAGGGTGCAGTGAGAATTAAGAGGCAATTGATCGATTTGGAGCCAAGTTTCATTTAAGATGTATTTGGACAACACTTGCGTTTTGTTTTGCCAACATCGGGGGTCAGATTTTGTGGTTTGGGGATCTGACATATCTAGTGGTAATGATCACATGATTATCTCTAGTGGGATCTGTCAAAAATTGACCCGGAAGAAATTCGCGTAATTTAGTGCTTAATGGAATTAGTCATCGTTGAATAATAGCTTTAAACCGAATCCATGATCTGTAGCCTTCAAAACTAAAGGGAAACGACCTTTCAAAATAAAGCACCCAAATAAATACGAAAATGAATTCGCCCAAATCGGTCTCTAATTGACTTAATCATTAGTGGAGAATAGATCAATAAACTTCATTACCAATGGAGAATAACCTCGGGTTGAATCCGTGATATGTAGACTTTAAAATCGAAAGAAAATGGTATTCCAGGAAAATTCTTTGAAATATATGAGGGTACCACTTTGGATTCAATTCTCCACCGATAATGAAGTCTATTGATTCTATTCTCCACAGATAATAAGTCCATTAAGCATGCATTTTAGCCAATTTATTTTCAGATGACATTTTCGTAATTTTTTGGGCGATGAAAGGACATTTTTTTTGGATTTTGAAGGCTACAGATCACGGATTCGGCCTGAGGCTATTCTTCAACGATGATTAATTTCATTAAGCGGCGATTTGGGCGAATTTATTCCGGGTCTTTTTTTGGCAGATTCCAAAGGGTGACCATCATAGAATTCAGGCGATTTTTCCGAAATGACAGTTTCTTCGATTTTGGGGGCTGCAGATCACGGAATCAGGCCGAGCCTATTCTCCAACGATAATGAACTCTATTGATCCTATTCTCCATGGATGATAAGTCCACTAAGCACCGATTTTAGCAAATTTATTGCCGGATGGCATTTTCGTAATTTTTTGGGCGGCGAAAAGCCATTTCCTATGGATTTTGAAGGCTACAGATCACGGATTCGGCCAGAGCCTATTCTTCAACGATGATTAAGTCCATTAAGCACCGTTTTGGGAAGATTTATTCCGGTTTAATTTTTGGCAGATTCCAAAGGGGTACCATCACAGATTTCAGGCGATTTTCCGAAATGCCATTTTCTTTCGATATTGAAGGCTGCAGATCACGGAATCAGGCCGAGCCTATATACACCTATAATGAAGTCTATTGATACTATTCTCCACGGATGATAAGTCCATTAAGCACCTATTTGGGCCAATTTATTTTCGGATGGCATTTTCATAATTTTTTTGGCGATGAAAGGCCATTTTCTTTGGATTTTGAATGCTACAGATTAAGGATTCGGCTAGATGCTATTCTTCAACGATGATTAAGTCCATTAAGTGTCGATTTGGGCGAATTTATTCTGGGCCCATTTTTGGCAGATTCCAAAGGGGTACCATCAGAGATTTCGGGCAATTTTTCCGAAATGCCATTTTCTTTCGATTCTGAAGGCTATTCTCCACGGATGATAAGTCCATTAAGCACCGATCTGGGCCAATTTATTTTCGGATGGCATTTTCATAATTTTTTTGGCGACGAAAGACCATTTTCTTTGGATTTTGAATGCTACAGATCACGGATTCGGCCTGAGTTTATTCTTCAACGATGATTAAGTCCATTAAGTGTCGATTTGGGAGAATTTATTCCGGGCCCATTTTTGGCAGATTCCAAAGGGGTACCATCACAGATTTCGGGCAATTTTTCCGAAATGCCATTTTCTTTCGATTCTTAAGGCTGCAGATCACGGAATCAGGCCGAGCATATATCCATCGATAATGAAGTCTATAGATACTATTCTCCACGGATTATAAGTCCATTAAGCACCGATTTGGGCCAATTTATTTTCGGATGACATTTTCGTAATTTTTTTGGCGACGAAATGCCATTTTCTTTGGATTTTGAATGCTACAGATCACGGATTCGGCCAGAGGCTATTCTTCAACGATGATTAAGTCCATTAAGTGTCGATTTGAACGAATTTATTCCGGGCCCATTTTTGGCAGATTCCAAAGGGGTACCATCACAGATTTCGGGCAATTTTTCCCAAATGTCATTTTCTTTCGATTCTGAAGGCTGCAGATCACGGAATCAGGCCGAGCCTATATCCACCGATAATGAAGTCTATTGATACTATTCTCTACGGATGATAAGTCCATTAAGCACCTATTTGGGCCAATTTATTTTCGGATGGCATTTTTGTAATTTTTTTGGTGACGAAAGGCCATTTTCTTTGGATTTTGAATGCTACAGATGACGGATTCGGCCTGAGGCTATTCTTCAACGATGATTAAGTCCATTAAGTGTCGATTTGGGCGAATTTATTCCGGTCCATTTTTGGCAGATTCCAAAGGGGTACCATCACAGATTTCGGGCAATTTTTCCGAAATGCCATTTTCTTTCGATTCTTAAGGCTGCAGATCACGGAATCAGGCCGAGCATATATCCATCGATAATGAAGTCTATTGATACTATTCTCCACGGATGATAAGTCCATTAAGCACAGATTTGGGCCAATTTATTTTCGGATGACATTTTCGTAATTTTTTTGGCGACGAAATGCCATTTTCTTTGGATTTTGAATGCTACAGATCACGGATTCGGCCTGAGGCTATTCTTCAACGATGATTAAGTCCATTAAGTGTCGATTTGAACGAATTTATTCCGGGCCCATTTTTGACAGATTCCAATGGGGTACCATCACAGATTTCGGGCAATTTTTCTGAAATGCCATTTTCTTTCGATTCTGAAGGCTGTAGATCACGGAATCAGGCCGAGCCTATATCCATCGATAATGAAGTCTATTGATACTATTCTCTACGGATGATAAGTCCATTAAGCACCTATTTGGGCCAATTTATTTTCGGATGGCATTTTTGAAATTTCTTTGGCGACGAAAGGCCATTTTCTTTGGATTTTGAATGCTACAGATGACGGATTCGGCCTGAGGCTATTCTTCAACGATGATTAAGTCCATTAAGTGTTGATTTGGGCGAATTTATTCCGGGCCCATTTTTGGCAGATTCCAAAGGGGTACCATCACAGATTTCGGGCAATTTTTCCGAAATGCCATTTTCTTTCGATTCTGAAGGCTGTAGATCACGGAATCAGGCCGAGCCTATATCCATCGATAATGAAGTCTATTGATACTATTCTACACGGATGATAAGTCCATTAAGCACCTATTTGGGCCAATTTATTTTCGGATGGCATTTTCGTAATTTTTTTGGCGACGAAAGGCCATTTTCTTTGGATTTTGAATGCTACAGATCACGAATTCGGCATGAGGCTATTCTTCAACGAATATTAAGTCCATTAAGTGTCGATTTGGGCGAATTTATTCCGGGCCCATTTTTGGCAGAGGCCAACGGGGTACCATCACAGATTTCGGGCAATTTTTCCGAAATGCCATTTTCTTTCGATATTGAAGGCTGCAGATCACAAAATCAGGCCGAGCCTATATACACCTATAATGAAGTCTATTGATACTATTCTCCACGGATGATAAGTCCATTAAGCACCTATTTGGGCCAATTTATTTTCGAATGGCATTTTCATAATTGTTTTGGCGATGAAAGGCCATTTTCTTTGGATTTTGAATGCTACAGATCAAGGATTCGGCTTGAGGCTATTCTTCAACGATGATTAAGTCCATTAAGTGTCGATTTGGGCGAATTTATTCCGGGCCCATTTTTGGCAGATTCCAAAGGGGTACCATCACAGATTTCGGGCAATTTTTCCGAAATGCCATTTTCTTTCGTTTCTGGAGGCTGCAGATCACGGAATCAGGCGGAGCCTATATCCACCGATAATGAAGTCTATTGATACTATTCTCCACGGATGATAAGTCCATTTAGCACCGATTTGGGCCAATTTATTTTCGGATGGCATTTTCGTAATTTTTTTGGCGACGAAAGGCCATTTTCTTTGGATTTTAAATGCTACAGATCAAGGATTCGGCCTGAGGCTATTCTTCATTGATGATTAAGTCCATTAAGTGTCGATTTGGGCGAATTTATTCCGGGCCCATTTTAGGCAGATTCCAAAGGGTACCATCACAGATTTCGGGCAATTTTTCCGAAATGCCATTTTCTTTCGATATTGAAGGCTGCAGATCACGGAATCATGCCGAGCCTATATCCACCGATAATGAAGTCTATTGATACTATTCTCTACGGATGAGTGTCCATTAAGCACCGATTTGGGCCAATTTATTTTCGGATGGCATTTTCGTAATTTTTTTGGCGACGAAAGGCCATTTTATTTGGATTTTGAATGCTACAGATCACGGATTCGGCCTGAGGCTATTCTTCAACGATGATTAAGTCCATTAAGTGTCGATTTGGGCGAATTTATTCCGGGCCCATTTT